CCGTGAAAAGACTATATACGATGTTGACTCTGCTATGGCTGCCGCTGCTGCTACTGCAACTGCAACTGCTGCTACTGCTGCTGCTGCTGCTACTACTACTACTACTACTACCACCACTACCACTACGACGACGACGACGACGACGACCACGACGGCGACGACGACGACTACTACTACTGCTACTGCTTCTATCACTACGACCTTCTACGGCCAGCAGAACTGCTAACCCACATCAGCACTCATGCCAGAAGAAGCCTAAAAACGATCCTAGTATTCGTAGTCTTAGTTTCCTATCCCGAAGGCCTGGAGGACGGAGCTCCGTCGGGGCACCCAGCCACGGGCCTCTCCCAGGCGCCTCCAGGCGAGGAGGCCGGCCTCCAGTGCCTCTGTAAGAAGGGGTCAAGCAGGACGTTTTGGAGGTGCGAGCTTCTCGCTCGCATTATGCGCGGAACTGGGAGGGTGAAAGGGAAGTTGGATGCTGAACATATGTGCATTACTTGTAATATGGATCGCATGCATGATGCAAACACTGGAATTGACGTGTCTCATATGTGTCCAATCGACGGACGAAAGTGGCTGGTCTGCTTGAGCTGGCCTCACCCTCAGCCCGGAATGGCGGAGTCACTAACGGCCTGGTCGCGATTCGATGCTTGCAGGCATTGGGGCAGCTTCGCGATTTTCGAAATCTGCTATTAGAGTCTTCTGCGAGAAGGAACATCAAATAGGACTCGCGTGACGTGGCCACGCCTGGCCCAAAGAGGAGCCAAGCAAACGCAGAAGCGCAGACCCATGGCCTCAGCTGTGAAGCAGCGCATTGGGGGGCAGCACGCCTATCCTAAACGTTGGGCAGCAGACGCCGGGGTTCAGCCTGTGCTCATCCAGAGAAAATCTCAATTCTTGTCGAAACCTTTGCGCAGATGGCATCAAATTTGTCGGTTGCAGAATCGTCACAATCATTAACTGCGGGTGTGCTAGAGGACACTGTGAGTCCCAGCCTCTCTTCGAAAGAAGCCTGTGCAACACCCTCCATGCGTTTCTTGAAGGCAACCTTGTCAAGATGAAGGGCTGTCATCGGATGTCACTGGGCTCCCCGGTTGCAGGCCAGTCAGTGCTCAGGGCTCGGGGCGCCACCAAAGCTGCATGAAATGCTTTCACTACCTGTTCGTGGCCGGATAGGCTCCCGGCTGGGTGCAACAGAGAAATTCAACCGAAGCTATGCACCGCTGTGCCATTCGGTCAAGCAGAACTTTGAAAAGCAAGGATTTATCGGCATGCTTTGATCCAGCACAACGCATTCCACGCAGTAGCAGGTATTAAAGATCTTAACACCAAGGCATGTTCTGCAGCTCTACTGGCATGTTCAGTGCAGCTCAAGGCTCCGAACCTGCCTGAAGATCACGATGCTCTCGTGTCAAGAGGCGGATGCGTCCGACAGTCAGCACCACGGAGTAGTATCGCTCCTCATACGACGGCTGTGGCTCTGTCTGACAAACACCGCTTGGCGAGTTGTGCGAGCCAGGCTATGGAGGATCCTCTCTACCTTGACGAGAGTGGACGACCAGTCCCGGCTGATGCCTTGGAGGAGACAGGCCGAGTTGAGAGGAAATGACCACAGATTGAAACAGGCAGCACAGAAACTGTGAACTTAAGCCGTCTGCGGAAGACCGTTCTTCAGTCTGCACAAAGCCGCAAGTGAAGCCTGAACGCTCAGGTTAAAATCGAAAGGAAGCATTGCTTCGCAGGTAAATTGCCTTCTTGGAGCCTTTGGACGGCTTCCGATGTTTCCTTCTCTCCTGAAGATGCACTTAGCAATACCTAGCGGTTGCTTCTTGCTGCAAATTGTGCTGGCCTTCTGCACTTCCTGCTTACACAATTGCGTCCTGGCGTGTGTAAGCTCATGATGCACCGGACTTGGCACTGGAGTGCTTGGCTTTGTTTGAAGCTACTGATACTACGCTGTAGAGCAAACCACCCTCTGTTCGTCGCTGACCTCGGAAGAGGCGATCTGCACGATACCACGGAGCGAGACAACCTTGGTCGCATGCGTCTTGAATTGGATTTTACCCGATGCCGTTGTCCAGTCTTGCAATGCCATGCGAGCAGCATCCAACGTTCGAAGTCATAGCGTTGAGCTTCTGTGAAACGCGTTTCCAACACGGTGCGGCGCACCTGGTGATTCAAGCCTCGCAGGTCCGGCTCATGCAATGATGTGTAGCTGTGACACGGGAGACAGCAAATCTCGGCATGGCGATGGGAGACTCGGACCGCTCAGCACTCCAGCATTGCGCTTCCAAGGACGTGACGCTGCAAGAGCCTGTGTAAGCCTGCCAGATTTCACTCGATCGCTGCAGCAAAAACATTTTTGCACGACTGCCAGAGTTGTGTGACGCGGCCTTTCAGGACGGCGCCAATGCGGTGACCTAGGACACACTGAACTGCCAACGGAAAACTCTCACAACACCTGTTTGACATGCACACCCACATGCCACATACCCACTCTCCCCGTCTGTCTTTTTTTCCGAAGGGCCAGAGCAAAGGGACCATCTCCATTCCCGCATGTGCACGTCCGTTTTGCTTGCATCTTGTGGTCCGGCGGTGACACATGCACGTCTGCGCATGCACGCCCACGCAACCCACACCCACACCCGCGCGCGCTCTATCTCTCTCTTTTTCGCTCGCCCTTTTCGCGCAGGCCTTAGAGACGAAGGGCGATCCCCCTACGCCCCTTGCGAGAACCAGTCTGGTCCGCGTCCTTTGGGTGAAGACTCCAGCTCGAGAATCAAAGAGGAATGGTTTTGTGTGCATTTGGGTTCGGTCTACGATTTCTAAAACGGGATTGGGTGTTGCGCCTTCGAAACGCTCGAAGCGCCTCACGTCTTAGTAGGGACACAGTGTAAGTCTTTCAGTCCCCGCATGCATACGACTTTGAAGGCGGTGCGTTCAAATGGTGGATGCTTCTGTTTTATTGTGTTTGGGGGTGATGCAACCGAAATTCAAAATGCTCACATTGTTTGAACTTAAAAGACACGCCATCATTGGCGACAGCGGTTGATCACCTGTCTGTCCAAACTCGCCCTCACGAGGCGATTGCCAGGAGCCACATTTACTCAACTCGCCCCCTTGCTGGGCGATTGCGGGAAACCAGCCGCCCCCTCATTTGGTGATGGCCGTTGATCGCGTTTCTGAAAACAGAAATCACGCTCAACAGTCCCCTCTCTTCTTAAACCCGCAAGGCGGTTGATCATTTTCTTAGACCCGCACCCTCATTAGGCGATGGTGGTTGATCCCCTAATTCCGCTATGACTGATCGCATTTCTTCAACCCACCTCCTCATGAGGCGATGGGGTTGATCGCACGTCTTCAATGCGCCGCGCTATTAGGCGATGGCTCTTTTTCAACCCGCACCCTCGTTAGGCCCACATTTGCCAACACAATACCCGAATGACTGGCTGAGAATGGTTTTCTCTGGTTGCAACACCTCCTGTCGACGGCATTAAGTTTTTCATTGCAAGTTTTGCAATGTATCTTGTATAAGCTGCCCCATCCAATGTGGGAGTCCACATGCTGGGTCCACTCGCTGTGTGATGCCCCCCCATGTTATTCTTCTTCAGCACAGGCAAAGGGAAGCTGCGAGGTCAGCTTCTTCTGCGCGATATCCCGCACTGGAGAGGGTAACAGAACGGAGTGAGACGGGCCAACGACAAAGCCTCGGTCACGGGACCTCCCGCAGAAACCACTTGGCTATGACCCCCAACCCGCCTTCGACGAGTATGACCCAAGATCCCCCTGTAGTCGGTGGCCGAGCTCTGCCTCTTAGCCAGCAGATCATCTAGGGACAACTAGTTCAAACAGTGCAAGCTCTGGGTCCCCGACTCTGCGTTACTATACAGGTGCGAGTCAGTGGCAGGCCCCCGGAAAAAAAGAAAAAAAAATAGCACTCAGTACTGCAACCACGACGCAACATCACTGAGTAAGGTCCCGCAAAGTCATCTGGAGCGCTGTGACTCAAGACTCAACATTACGGCACTGCATGTACAGTCATCATCATGGCCCTCTTGCACTCCAGACGTGTCTCTACTTGACCCCCCTAGTCACTATCGTCTGTGCGATCGGATGCGGGTGCCCTGCTCCACAGCCCACAGCGCGTCTTCTTCTTCAGCGATCTATGGGCGTCGGGGAGATCTTGTGCACTCGGCTCCCACGGGCTCGTTTGCTGGGTGTCCCCCTGCATGTTACTCTCAGTCTCTCTCAAATCGTATGGTCTGCCGCTTTCGCTGGGGCGGCCGGCCCTTGTCGGAAGGGCAGTGCTGGCAAGTCCTCGCAGTATTTTGCAGGCCTTGGCGCGAGTTACAATGTCTCCTGCGGTCCTTGCGGGTGCCCGGGTGGCTTCTGGTCGCATCAGCACAGCTGAGATCTGCCCGGATCCTAACATCCATGCTCCAAAATGCAACAAAACAAAGCACCAATCATGGCCCAATGCCGCCTTCGCATGTGGCCTCATTTCTGTCATGAAGCTCCGCGCGCCTGTCAGGCATCAAAGCTTGAGAGATTGTCATCTATGACCGACGGATCTGCTCAGAGTGCCGCCTGCTTTGCGGATACACTTCGTCGATCTCAAGCAAACCCTTTTGGGCTCTGCTCTGTCGGCGGCAATGAGCTTTCTGGCCTGTTCAGGTTTCATTCGTCCGTTATAAGAAAAAACCCTCACCTCGCCCTACACCATCTTGCGAGGTGCCGGTCTTATTTGGTGCGACGATTTGCTCAAGTGACCAGCTTCGATGGAACATGCACAAGTAGTCGCTGCGAGAGAAACGCCTGGAGAGCTCGGCAGAGCACAGGCCCAGGTTGCGGTTGCCATGCTCCCGGCTCGGAGCCAATCTGTCCAGCATGATGCAGTGAAGCTGAGACTTGCTAAGACATGCCACTAGTCGAGCAGAACAATACTTCTGGTTCTGCTTGGACAGAGCAGACATACATGCTGACGGGCCCCGCCGTTGTTCTGCAACTTTCTTGGTGTAGGCTTGCATAGCCTGTACAGGGGACACTGCTTAACATCTGCAGCATACCCGGGCGAATGAACTATCGATAGCAGAACTCTCATCAATACCTTGACCAAAGGTGTCTGCATCGTGCCTGGAGTCTAATCACCTTGTTTGCGCGGCAGAGGAATCAGCTGCTGCCGAACAGCGTGCCTGACTCTGTTTGTTGCCAAGATACGCCGGCGCCACCGGCGCGACCGGTGGTGGTGGCGGGCGCGGCCCTGGCGGTGGCGGTAGCGAGCACCTGAACGCCGTGTAACGACCCCATTGGAGACCGACCACCACGCTCTGGAGCCATTTCGGATGAACCCTCTCACGGCCATTCCTGGATGCTCCATGATCACCCTGGATGTGAGAAGCACTGAGCAGTCAACTCTGCAAAAATGCTGTCGCCTTGGCTCGCACAAATTTCCAACTCTTCTTGTCAAGCGCTATTGTGGCCACACACCTGCCAAGACACACGAGATGGTTCCGGCAAAGTCGAGAACGGAAGACATCATGATGGTCCTGTACAGCTGGATATCTGCAACTATGAACTCCACCCTCAACGCGCAACAGAATTCAGGCCGCAACATGATTTTCTGAAGGACAGAGACGAGGCCAATGTGGCCGGCTGCGGCAGTTTCTCTGAGCCACGGCGCAGTACACGGCTGAGTCTCGCGAAAGCCCTTGCAGAACAACGTTTGCGCTGATTGGAGCCAGTCGACGTTCCGGTGACGAATCCCGGTACTCGATTTGGGCTGAGGTAAAACTCAGTGGTGGTATGATGTGGTATGTGGGACACCAAACATGTCCTTCCGTTTAAGCCAGAAACGGGAAAGTGCCATTCCAGCTGTCTCTGAACACATTTTTCATTCTCACATGAGCAACGTGAGGCGAAGTATGCTATTCTGCTTTTCTGACTTAGCCAGAAGTGCAAAAATCTGTTTCATCTCTTCACTCTTTGAGTGCCGAAAAGACCGAACAAAGCAATGCCGCTCGGAAACAGTGATCGTTACCAGATCCCGCAGAGGAGGGTCTGTGTAGCTATTGCACGCAATTGTACGCATGAAGATTCTAGCCTCTTGACATCGGCAAACTCACACCTTAACTGACCGGCCGGAGCAGAAGCTGCGTGCCGGTCAAATGAGCTCCAGATCCTGCAATTCTGTACAGCCGTCGCCCGTCCATGCTCAAAACACCTTACACCTGCCGATCCGCAGCGGCGTCAAGAGTCTTGCGCTCACAATCTTCCAGCTTTCCAGACTGACCCATGGCATGAGAGAGCAGGGCCACGCTGGCTTGTAGCACCAGCTCTCCCAGCGCATCCCCTCGATCTACACTCTGCGGGAAGGTTGGACAAGGCTCCTCCATCGGCATGGCTTCTTCGGCATCTGCTGCACAAAACTCGGGCTTCACCGTAAGATTCTGCTCATGGCCTGGCTCTCCAATGATATCGCTCCGTGGTCCTCGCGGGCCCTCCGACAGTTCGGGATGTTGCACTTCAACTTCAACGTCTTGCGTACCAGGCGGGTGCAACAAGCGGGGGAACCACTCCGGCAACTTTCTCACGCTCGAAGGCTGGGGAGGCAGAGGAAGGGTGACGAATGTGGGACTCTCTGCGCGCAAAGCTACAGGTCCTGCTGCAACGCGTGGTCCCCCTTGCACCATGAGCTGGATGCACTCGCCCCCCTCCAAATTGTAAAATTCGAGTGTGTGCTGATTCTGGAGTCTTCTGCCTGAGTGGAACAGTATTTGCTGCTCCGGGCTCACCTGGAAGAAGTCTTTGAGTCCCTCTTTGAGTTGGCCAATAGTGCGAGCCTTCTGCAGCCAAAGACGCTGTTTGCGTTGCGGTGGCCATGTCTGCAGAATCGTCAAGAAAAGACTTTCGCCTTGACAACGATGCTTCTTAGCACTGGCATCCAACTGCGCTCTGGGTGCTCGGCAGCCAGACACCGCAACGGACGGATTCGGCGCACTAGCGGCCCCGTTTGTGCAGGTGACTTGGAGGATGGAGTTCTCCCGAATTCCACAATCGGACAGCCGTCGTTCGTTTGCCAAGGTATGGCCACTGAGAGTCAGGCGTTGACTATCCAGTCTCAAGCCAGTGAGCTCCGCAATCTTTGTCTTTGCATGGATGACAAGATCGCATGGCTTTAACTGGATTACAAAAGGCTCCGCAATACCAGATCGAGTCGCATCAATTAGAATATCCAGAAGGCGTGCGTGACCGACACCGGAAGCGATCGTTACATGAATGCACTGCCGTGCTTCCACGCCGCCATCCAACAGGGTCTGGCGATTTCCGAGGATTCGGCCCTGGAGCGACAAAACACATTCTCATGCAATCTTATGCAGATTTATGCAGTATGTGCGGGTTTCTGACGTGTTAGGTCGTTCGAGAGCCTTGTAAGAAAGGGTCATCTCCTCTGCGGGGATTCCAAAGATGCCTTCGGCCACCTGCTTCACTGCGGCGACTCGCAAAGCCAGAACCAGGCGCAGCGGCACCCGCTCACCGCTGATGCCGTTGCCTCAAAGGACGGGACGGGCACATCCCGTCGCTGCGATGCTTCACGTTCTACATTTACCTTTCTTCCGAGGGACACATGAAAAGAAGACTCGGTTGATCTGTAACTTGCAGCACTGACAGCTTGGCATCTTCTTCCGCCCAGTCTAGGAGTCGCGTGGGCTCGGTCTGGATGGAGCCGCATGAGCGAAACTTCTTGCGGGCCTTTTCGAAGCAATCCGCCGTGCGACAATCTGCTGCAATGCTTCTTTTCAACCAAGCGGCTGCATGGGATGTGGGCATGATGGAGCGCCATGCAGGTTCTAGATTATCGATGCAACATAAGTCCGGACAAATCGCATGAGAACGTGTTCGTGCTTTTGAGTGCACCACACCAGCAAAATTTCATAGTTTGCTCATGTTTGGTCTGTCACTCTAGATACTCTAGGCGTCTACTCTAGGCTTCATGGCCATGTCTGCTGGATGGCTTTAGGACACACTGAGCGGCGATCTCAATAAGTTCTGTGCACATTACGTCACCATGCCGTCCTGCATCGCTTGCGGGCTAAAGCCGGGCAACTGCGACACCAAAACATCCACAATCGCGGTGGCTGCTCATACTGTACAGCAGCATAGTCTGCTGCTCAGCTAGGCCCGCCAGGAATGTGATTATTTTGGCGAGGGCGAGGCGATGCCAAGCCCAAGGCAAAATCACTCATGTAAGTTCTACACAGTTCTACATTCCACAGGTATCTGCATTTTTTCAAGCTTACCGTGTAAGGCTCCCCTGAAACACAGCTCAACAACGCTCCTTTTGAGTCATCTCCGTGGCGCAGTCGTCCATCGCACTGCAGGTGCAGCAGAACTCTCTTTCCGCCCCCTGCCGACTTGAGCCGATCATCCTTGAAGCCCCAATTATTAGCCTGTATGCGAACTCGTTGCTACCAGCATTCCCCTGTGGGTCGGATGTTTCGGCAGGGTGGCGGAAAGGAGCCCTTCTGTTCCGCCCTGGAAATACTCCGGAACCATGAGTGCACTGCAGGTTGTATGGTCTATCAAGAGCTTACCCTCACTTCCTGGAACCTGCTGTGGACCCAGAGATACCAGAGAACCCAGGGTGCCGTGCCGTCCTCTTCAACGAAGGATCGGGATGCAGGCCCCGACGATCGTTGGCCTCACAATGCAAGCACTATGCAGAGCAGCCTTTCTTGAAATCGGTCGAGCCATGCAACCACAGCCCTGGCCTGCTCGGCAACCTCTCAATCATGTCCAGCATCTTGCCGCCCAAGGCTTGGCCCCTGCCTCTACCACTCGCTGTTTCGTGCAATCTTAACCAGAGCCTACATAATCACGCAAAACAATAATGGCCAGTCGCGCAGGTCGGCAGTGACAGTGGATGCAACTTGAGAGTGCCGCATCTCTTTCGAGCTGGCAGGATGTTGCCGGACGCGCTGTCGGCAACCAGGTCACAGATGATGCCCTCGTTCTGTATCAGACGGGATCTTTAGGAAATGTGGATGTTGCGACAGTGCTGGCGACACAGGTCACAACACCAAACCGAATGGGGCAGCTGAACACTTGTTGCCAGTGTTTGCCATGACTGAGCTTCTTAACATCACAGACAAAATGGATTGTGCGCAGCTGCTCCGACAACGACTGAAATGGCCGCATGCAGTCTTTTCGAAATGTCTGAGAGGACGAGTCGAGTTTCTGCGTTGCACATCGCTGGGTACCAAGCGGGCTCGATGCAACACCCGCATGATTTTGCAATGGTGCTCAACTGTCGAACATTCGAGACTTTCAACATGATGTCAGTCTCTACCAGGACCAGGAGATTTAAGCATGCCAGCAAGCTGCCGAGACAGCTTGTAGTGCAGGCGTGCTCGTCAATCGAGCTTTTTTCCTCCGTGTCCTAGGCCACTCACCACAACACCACAATCTCGGTCAAGCTGCATGGCATCCGGAAATCCCCCGCCGGTGGACCTCGAAAGCGCTTTCGAGACAAGTCCAGGATCAAGGGGAAGTCCTTGATTTGTTCAAGAAGAAGTCTGGACAGCTCTGTGGCTGTATGCTTCGACTGCTCACTACAATCCCTCGGAAGTCCTCCAAGGTCCTGCGTGTGCAACCTTGGATGCATGCCGTGTAAGAAGATGCACCTAGCTGGACCTAGCTGCTCCAATTCCTTTCTCCCTGCAGTCAGGCGGCCCTCACCTTTGTACAGGCAGCTGCTCTTCATACACTGCCGTGATGACGATCATGTCGTCTGGCGCACCGAGAAGTGCAGCAAGCTCTGCCTTCATCTCTTCCTGCATCAAGATGATGAGAATGACTGATGTGCGCCCAAGGCCATGCCTTATGTGTTATGGTGTCTGGAGACCAAGCACGCAGGCCTTGCATGCGACTTCGGCAGCAACACCAGCACATCTTTCCTGGTAGTTGATGTCAACCTGCGGAAGGACAAAAGGACAGTACTGGAGCTCCTGCATCTGCTTGGAACAGCAAGGTGAGCATGCGGCCTTGATCTCGAAGGCAAGGGGTGTGGCAACTTTGCCCTCTGGCACTGTGAAGTCGAAAATCTGCTCCTAGGCCATGGCACGACGGTGTCTCACAATCTCTCTGAAAAGCTCCCCGTGCCGAGCGTTGCACCGCCACCACAGGTGTGAAGGTGTTTGCCTCAGACACCGCGGGCGAATCTTTGCTCGACCTGCCACTTCCGAGCAGTGCCAAGTGCCCCGCAGACATCAGGTTCACTCCGGTTGCCATGGTCAGCACATCGTACCTCCACTCCCGGCTAGTCGAGTGTTAGGAAGCCGGCCGTGCTGCACAATGAGGTGTTGTGAAAGGAGCGGAGGCACCTTTGGTAGCTCTGCAAATCGCAGGCTGCATTGAGTACCTTGCCGGTCTTCAGCCTCAGACATGGTCTCATGGCCAGGCTAGTGGAAGGGACACATAGTGACAGCAGAAGGGTGGCTCTCTTCATGAGAATTCAAGCGTGTGCCTGCTTGTGTTGAAGACGGTGGGAATGTTGGGCTGGCCGACCCACAACCAGCAGCAGCACTGGTCTGAGCCAACCTGCTCATTTCGATAACATGATCTGCAAGGCCGCTACCAGTAGCTGTAGCTTCCATTCAAGGTCCGAGTGCGATTCGGGCACTACAGGCACTGTTGGCAGAGCCCTGGTAGTGAGCCTTCCGGCAGTCAAAGTCCGTCATGCCTGAGCTCGAATCTGGGTCAACATTCGGGTTCCTTGCTCGCACGTGCATCCGGCCTCCGGACCCAGGATCTGTTGCTGCACCATTGCAAGTGAACGCTGTTGGCCTGAGCATGCGTCAAATAGGCAGAAGTACACATGAGCAATGTTCTTGCGAAGGCTAAGCCAACAGCAACAGATCCAGGGCTTCTCCGGTCTTCAAGATAATTTGGAGGTAGATGGCCTACCAAACTGCGCAGTGATCAACAGCAGCAGATGGTAAAGCGGGTCCACCAAAGTTCAAGAACCTTGCATCCAACGTCTGCCCAGCGGTTGCATGAGATCAGCGGAGGCTCAGGCATTCCAAACGCACGATCATGGTAGCAGCAACAACAACCACCACCACCACCACCACCGCCACCGCCACCGCCACCGCCACCGCCACCGCCAACACCAGCAGCAACAGCAGCAACTTCTTCTTCTTCAACTTCAAGACAATAACAAAAACCCACCAGGTCCCCAGCAGCGACCGAATGCACAATCATAGTAAACATTGCGTCAGGCACACCAAGGATCACACTACACGCCATATGAGAATCACTTTTCAGATTGGCAGGAGTCCCAGAAGTTGCATTAGTAACAAGGCCAAGCACAGCACCTGGAACACCAAGGATCCTCACTTTTCATCACCATCACCATCAGGTTTTCAGCAGTCCCAGCAGCAATAGGGCCAAAACTGCACTTTGCAATATCGTGAGTAAAGATAGTGGGTTCCAAACTCTGCAGGAAACAAAAGCTCCGGCGTGCATGCGAGTAAGGCTAAGCCCGCATCAGCACGGAACAGTGCACGGAACCCAACACACCTTCCCGTCTGCTGTGCACCTCAACCTTCATGTTGTTGGCGTCATGAACGATGCAGTTCACCATGGCCTCGCCCAGGGGGCCAAGACATTTCTTCGCGATTTGCCGGGTACAGTGCGTGCTCTACCCATGGCAGAACTAAAAGCTCAGCTCCTGAGGTCTCAAAATCTACTCAGCTATTCGTGCGGCATCTCTTCAGCCCGTCTTGTACTGCCTCCGTACTCTTGATGCTGGCGAGGCCGCACTGAGCTGGCTCCTCGCACTGCGACTTTCGTCCCCATGAACGTCGCATGAAGGGCAAGCGGCACGGATTCTTGCTGTGAGAAAGATTTTTGGCTTTTCGCATCCTCGCACCCTGCAGGCAGATGCAGCCACAATCGTGGAAGCTGATCTGGAAAACGATGCACAGATTGTGGTTCTACTGCATGAAGGGATCTGGAAAACACCTACATGCAGGACCGGTGTTGTCAGCCGGCTTGCAGGCCTTTCAGCTTCTGCATCATTTTCGTCAAGTGCCGGGATCGAAGCTGAGACGGGTCGCCCGCAGGACCATATCTCCCGGTAAGTGGGCTATCCTGCAGCTGTTGCTCCAAGCCATTGAACCAATTTAGCAGCTCGGCGGTTGACGGACCACCTTGAACAAGCATCCAACGGTCCATCTCGTCCATGGCATTCACGAAATGTGCAGTTTGACAAACCCACAAGAAGTTGTCAAACCGAGCAAGGCCCTCCCAAGCTTCACCGGCCAAAAGCTTGGACTGGATCGGGTCTTGTTCTTCAAGAGCACCCAAGACGTGCATCCAAAGAATCACCGCTGAATTTCCTGGTCAGGGCACCCTTTGACAAGACTGCGGGAACGGGCGGCACGGGTTGCCTTTAACATCCTATAACCATGCTCTGCTTAGACAGGGTGTCACCTCGCGTTTGGGATCGTCAGACTTAGAGTCAATTCTTTCAGAAGAGCCGAAGGGCCTGGCCTGCTAGCCGAGGCACTTGGCTTGCAAGGAAAGCCCTCTTGACCGCGGCAAAGAGATCGCCTCCGTCAAGACTGACCCCGGTCATCAACCGGGCTACCGCTGTTTGGGTTCGCCACTGACCGAATTGGGTTGAGTTATCGACGCTGACTAGCCACTCCCGCATGCATAGGAGAGCTTGGTCGTCACAACGTCCAAAAAGTTCTCGAAAATGCTCTCTGGCTGCACGATCTGGAACTAGTTCCTCGAGGGCAGCCTGACATCTCAGCTTTACGTGGCTTTCGCACTCTGGCGACAGCCGCTGAGATGCCGTCCGCAGTTTTTGAATGCAGGGAACAGGCAAATATTCAAGGAAGATCTCAAGGTGTGCGGGCGGGAATTCATCTGCCATGGGTGCTGGTTGGCCAGGATAAGCTGCAAACGCTTTACGACCTTGCGTTTAGAACTTGCAAACTTTCTGCTGCTTAATCGATAGTCTGCGCAGGCTTGCTCTCTCATTACCTGTTGAATCAATCCGACTGTTTGAGGCTGACTGCAGTTCCGGCACACATTTGGTCTTTTGACCTCGTTACTAGTTACTAGCAGTTACAAACTGCGGGCCAAGCCTCTGAGCTCTTCGGATCGTCCATAGCCCATGCACGAGAAGACCCACACCGCCTGTCCTCTACACCCAGCCGTAACGTTGTGCTCGTGGCCTTGAGGACGTCGAACTTGCTTTGGGCCTGGGACCACGTCACCCAAGACTTGCTTGGTTACTCTCATAGTTCCTGTGCCTTGATGACGAAGTCTGCTGCCGGAAGAAGTTGTAACGGGACAGGCTCTGACTTTATGCCCTGGCCGAGGTTTCGTGATGTCAGGCAGCAGGCTTGTTGACAACAAGACTGCCGGAAGCTCCCCGTTCTGCGCGCTGATGTCAAGGCCATCTGGGAGTGTTGGCGTGATGGTAAAGGTCACCTGGGGCTGCAACACAGGAAGAGCGTAACTCTGGAAACTCTGAGCTGCAGCGCCTCGTCGAAGTAGTAGGCCGGGAAGCCCGACTCCGACCAGAGCACAGCAAGTGTCGGGAACGACACATTGCGGGCGAGTACCACCTGTGACCAAGGAATGTTGGACAACTCTCAAAGGACCCCAATGCCAGCCTGTGTCAAAGGACTTCCCAGAGTGACATACTGAAAGTTGGGTGCAGCGAGGACCCCCAGGCTGATCGCAATGCCGTTGCCATCCTTCAAGTGAGTCACACACTCTCTGATCAAAACGAGAAACCTGCCCTGCGGGCGCCTCTGGGAATACCACGAGAGACTTCGAGTGCTTGCACCAGACGAAGACCTGTCAGCGACTGCTAAAGTATAGCTGCATAGCTACACTGCTGCTACAGGTGAAAACGTCGAGAAAACCAGCCCGTACGAGGAGCGCAGGGCACCTGCGGTGCAACTCCCAAAGGCATTCGCTGAATGTTGGCCGCATTCTGCAGGCTGTTCTCAATTCGGACCTCACTCAAAGCGAAGTGTGATTGGCTTTGGACTGTAGACTGATGCCGGCATGTCTTCAGCAGTCAAACCACCGGACACCTTTGGGATTTAGGACTGCCACCGTGATGTTCTCACCTGTTGTTAGCACCTGGGCACAAGTGCATCGCACACAAAGGCCGCCAAAGTGCCCCGTACTGCCTTACCCACAAAACAAATCCATGCCAAAGGCACCGGTATGTTCACAGCTCTGCCGAGAACCTGGGATTCCTCGAACACGGGCACGAAATCCTTCGAGCATCTGTTGGGCAATACGTTCCAACTGCTTTGCGCTGGTAGCTGGATCGCAGCGGGACCATGAGAACGTGCTGTGTACGTGCATTGCAGAAGTTTCCGGTCCGGAGGCATGCTAGTCGCATAGTCGCCCACTAATTCTTCGGCCTCCGAAATACACTCGGTTTCAGCGCGTGAACGGCTGTACAAGATCTTCCCCGAGCCACTGACAAGCAAGGGGCGATCGAAGGTGCGAGTCGTAGCAATGCAGCTGACTGTGCCCATCAGTGACGCCTTGCAAGTCGAAGGGCTCTTATTGCCTAGCAGGGCCTAGCAGGCCTAGCATTCTGCGGCTTCCCCGGATTATGCCTGGACCATGGCGTTGATCTCCTTCGAAGTGGCAGCTTCGTCTCCCAGTGGCCGTTCTTCCTGCAGTAAAATTTGAGCTCGACATTCTCCATGGGTCTTAGCTTCATGCGAAGCACAAGATCTCGATGGCGTGACATGAAAGCAGTGAACGAAGAGCTCTCCTTGTCCAACGACAAGATGATGTCCATGATGCTCAAGCTGCGACCGACTTTGTTAAACACCTCAGAACTCTATGCTATGAGATGTCCACGTGCTCGCTTAAACAAGCACTCAGGTAGGGGCCCGAGTCGTGTCGGCGGAGGAGCCCACATAGCAGAGAACATACTTCGCCCCGATGCGCAACCTCACAAAAGCATGGATTCTCTGCGTTCTCTGCAGTCCATGTGCGTATTTTACCAAGGGACGACTGTGTCTCATCCTCCGCGATCGACACCTGCTGCGAAGCATGATCAACCTTTTCTGTTTCATGTCCGGGGGCCTTGAAAAGGCTTTGTGTGACCAAATGCAGGTCAACTGTGTGCACGTACCGGCTGAGACTGAAGCAAAGTGTGTGGCGCCGTTCACCGGGCTCGGCAGAACGGATACTGCCTTCAATGGGACCTCAAAGGCCGTGGTCGACAGTCTCTGGCAGGCTTCATGCGAAAGACGGACAAAGGAAACAAAGGAATCTTTTTCTGATAGGTGTGGTGTAGAGGCGACTTGAGAGACCATGAAGGCCTGAACCACCCTGCACCATGCATCCCGGCCACCACCAGCTAGACCGCAGCACGATGCACTGGAAATGCCACAACCCCATCGCAAGCCCGTCCTCCACTCCTCATCAGATCTTACTGACCACCAGCCCACCACTTTGCGGCCCAAAGCTCGTTTGATGGAGTTGCGAGGTGCCCCAAAGCCCTTTCTTGATCTTGCTTCCAACCGCTCTGCAGCTGAGAGGCCCTCCAATTCGGGGTGTCGGAAACCCTTTCGTTTGTTTTGGAAGTCGCTTGTCTTTCCTGCTAGAGTCCTTCCATACATATCCCAACGACTGAGCCAAGGCCGCCAAAGGCGGTCTGCCAGGAAACAGGGACGTCTTGCCACATGAACGTGCTGAAGCCGCCACTGCCGCAGCTCGTTGAATGTAGTTCGCGGCAGTCTGCAAGATCAGTCAGATCGGTGACAAGGAACAGTAGGGTGGAGGGATGCAAATGCCGTGTCTAGCCACTAGTCCAATCCCGCCCCATCTACCTCTGCGACCATGGTTTCGATGCCGATAGGAGGCAAGCAATGGCCGCCGTTGGCCTGGTACACCTCGCACGTTCCGGTTCCCATCCGGTGAAGCTGTTCCGAAGGGCCGGGGGTGCTGCCGCTTCCTCCAGCAGGAAGGCCTTCCAAGCAAAACTGATCCAGAAAACCGTCATGACAGCTGAACTCCGTCCTGTGAAATCGGATGCTCTGACTCGCCTGCCTGTGCAAGCTCCCCAACCGCCACGTCGTACAAAATCAGGTTCGAGGCCAGGCCGCGGCTCCTTTGCAACGACGTGAGAGCCAGCAGCCATTTGAACAGAAACAAAAACACACCCAAACAAACAAACACACACACACAGACAAACACTAGCTTGAGGCAGTCAACACATGTCTTATGCAAGATTACAGCAGTCCATAAGAGAGGAGGGGGTCTTCAAGCTGTTTTCTGCCAAGTCTCATGTGCTCAATAAAAGCATCATCGACGATCAAGGCCAGGCTCGGCAGAATATCCTGTGCGGCAGCGTAGCAAGGGGCCCTTTACATCACAGATCCATTCTTCATTCCGGTGCCTGTGTGAACTGCATGAATCCTCCCGCCGCAGCCTTTGTTCCATGCTCCGTGGGGGCACTGTGAAACACCTCTGGGTTCTGAGACAGCTGGCATTCACGGCGACTGGCAGTGACGTCGGAAGCTCGAAGAAGCAGAACAGCCGCTTGAACCTTCCCGCCATGGTGCTAGCAATGCCAGCTGGAAGGCCGGTGCAAGCACTTCTTTGTACATCAGCTCAGCCGCTGGCGGGTTTGCACTCAAGTAAGCCCGAATGGGCTGTTCAATGCCGGACATGTTCAGAACAACGGGGACCGCCTGCACTAAATGCAATTCACTGAGAACCGCAGGCTGCGGAAGAGCGAGCCTCTGAGTAGGCTGACGCATCACACTCCACGGTGTCGTTCACCATCTTGATACGAGACTGCGAACTGTCGGCGACGTTTTCCATGAACACCTCGAAGGTGCGCCCAGTCGACATAGCCAAGCCGGAAAAAATCATTGCTTCGCAGTGCTCCAGGCACCAGGCCAGGAACGAGGATCCAGGCCAAAGAAAGCTTGGCAAGGTATGAGCCAAAGGCGCCTGCCATGGACAGCAGATGACTGCAGCGCTTTTTCTCCGTCTTTGAAGATTTATCGCGACGTCATGACTCTCCCTGCCTGCCCGGGAAGAGTGAACTGCTGGCCATTGGGATCACTGGGTGTCACCATCTTCGTCTCCTGCAAACACGCGGTAGGACCAACACAGTGAACTCCGATTACACACAGTGATTCGAGCAAGACCTCGGTGGCCGAATGCCAACACCAGGCAGGCACGTGATCGGTCTGTAACAAAGTGGCCTCCGGGTGAGCGCTGCGGCAGCAGCAGGGGTTCTTGTGGTCACTGCAGGCTGCCCGGTGCCCGGCCAGCACAAGCGAGACTGTGACGTTTGGTGGCACCGCTGCCGGAATCGTGACAATGGCCAGTGCCAATGTGTCTTCCTCCATAGGCAATGCTGGTAGACGCGGGGCTCGAGTAATTATTGAATAGTCATGAATAGTCTGAAGGCAGATAACATGTCAACTGCAGAATTTCGTCGGCCAACTGTCCGGGCTCTGCAACCAGTCGAGCAGGGCGGATCTCTGCGCGAAGGCATACAGCCTGCAGAAAATGAGTAGAGAATGCCGTTGCTCTGCAGCACATGGAGGCTGCAGAAGAATCTGAACAGAACTCAGGCTGCGACTGTGCTGCGGCTGCTCCAGTAAAGCCCTCCACTGCGGCTGCGGCTGCTGCCAGGATCTCTTGCGCCTTTGCGGAAGTTACCTGCGCCAGCACAGCTTGCGTGCCCATCCAAAAACAAAGAGAGAGGGAGAGAGACAGCGAGCGAGACTGAGCTGAGACACATAAACACACACACACACACAGACACACAGAGACACACACACACACAAATCTGGAGTCTGCTCAGCTTGTATTTCAGATCGTGTGAGTTTAATGGGCTCAGATGTGCATATGATGCACTGCACCATGACAAGCACCTTGTAGATTGTGTCTGCTATACACATATACGAGCTCTCCCTCAGCAAGCAAAGCATGATCTGCAGGCATGTGGACTTAGCTAGTTTATCCTTCAGCTCGTTTGGACATCACAGGTGCACTGTTACTGGCGAAGCTGTTTTGTGACAGTTTTGTGATTAGAACATTGACATCTTGTCGTAGCTGCAAGTACAGGTGGATAATCAGAGCATCTGCTCTAAATTGTGCGCTAGTGGCTTCATTTCCAAGCTTTCATGTAATGAGACGTGGCCAAATGCATACTATTGCTTGCGGGCTGCTTTGCATCTCAGCGATGTCTGCACATGCAGAGTGCATGTGCACACACACACACAGGCATGATGTATGTGCGTACACGTGTATAAAGTATATGTGCATACATCTACAGTCACATATATAACTATATGTTTATATACATACACTCAAACATGCGCTATGTCTGCTCTTTTGCTGACTGCTGAAACTGATCAGATCGTCAAGATAAAAGGCGATAGTTCGCTGCCAAACACGGCAGTCTTGCCACATCTGTCAGACTTAATCATGCGACTCGGATGAAGCAGCATGATTTCCCCTGCCTGTGGATCCTTCACGACACAAGTAAGAATGCCGGCAAGTCGTGCCGTCACCTAAGTGTTCTTCCACATGCTTGGACCTGGTTGTCTGAGAAACGCTGAAGCAGGCTTTCACAAATGCTCATCCGATTTGCTGGAGGGCAATGTAAACACACAGCTGTGCTCGTTTTGCAGGGCCGGTGCCTCGACTGCGTTTGTATTAACAGTGCAGCTTGGGGGCATCCAGTCGCAATGTTGTCCGCGTCGATGCCAGGGCACTTTGCTCCATGCTCTCGATGACCTAAACATCACCATCGAACGTCATTGCCATCTTTTGGCCAACACGAAACAAACAGCTACACGTCATGCCAGAGTCTCGGACCTCACTGACAACAAAGCTTCCCACCTTGCAGCAAGGATTCTAGCAAACCCTTGAGGTGAGGAGAGCCTGCACTCTAACTTGCCGGGTGCTTGGCAGACTGCAGTGGAGCTTGCTGTTCTGCGTCTGCTATGTCGTCGAGAATGCAGGCATAATACCTTCGCAGACAGCACGTCTTTTCTCGGCGCCCTCTATACTTACCCACATCGACTGTCCCCATGGGCACGTTCCCGCGGGCTCGTCGAGCAGGAACGAGTCGCTAAGGCCCAGCGGAGACAGGCCCACAACCTGCGTAGAAGCATCATGATTGCATTGCTGATTTCGGCTACCTGACAAGCATGCGGAGGCTTCAAGGCCGTGGCCCTTCCTCTTGCCAACGCATCTGACATCTCCGGACCTGGCGATCGCTTCACTTGTCAGCTGCAAGTTTGAAGTCGAAATGCCCGAGGAGTGGACACACCTGCCCTGCATCCAGAATTCCACCTGTGACTTCAGCATACTTCAGCCATGTCGGCACAGCCAGGACTCTGCGCCTAAGCTTTGGCTCTCTTCGACGGAAATCCAGCTCATGTTCCCCGAGGTGGACGTCCTGGTCGCCGGCGCCCAAGGCTCGGCTCAGCGCAAAAACTACACCAAACAGGCCAGGCAGGCTGCTTTTGCACCTGAATCCTGGCGGTGTTCTGACAAAATTTTGAAAAGCACGAAATCCTTTCTTGCAGCCAGCCTGTTCCTTGCACCACGATAAAGGGTTGCTGTCTGCAGCACCTAGCAGTTTTTTTCTGAAGGTTGGTGTTTGAGATCTACTCTCTCTCTGCAAGAATACCAGACTGAGGCTCGTGACAGGAATGATTCCGATGTCAAGGGTTTCCCTCATCGGGATTGGATATTCCTTCACGATCAGTTGCTCATCGCGTGAAACACAAGATCTTCAGAACTGAAGCATCAGTCATGGCCACACAATACTCTCACGAACGCCTGGGGACTGCCGAAATAGCAAAGCAGGAGCTTGCAACCTGGATCATCCATGCCTTGGTATAAAATGTAAAGTCGTTGCGGAAAGTACGAAAGTGCTTAGGCATCAGAAGCTTGGACAGAAGCACATTGTTGTGTCCAACTGTGCGAGCGATGCTGTCTCCAACATAAGGTTGCCAAAGTTGTCCTTCTGAGCAGCACCAATGAACTCAGAAGATCAAGGCAGTGCCAACCGTTTCTCTGCCAGAGAAGCAGCTTGCGAGTCCTTCGACTCTTGAATGTTCAGCATGCCTGGGGCGTCAAGGCTCTCATTCTACCATGCCGTGTTCAATCCGCTCTACGCAGCACTCTCAGTATTTCGCGGTCATCCATGTGGTACGCCATGAAACTGCAAGTCTCCGTGCTCATGGCCGTCACAACCTTAGTCTTCACCAAAGCGGGGCAATTTACCTGCTTTGCCCGACACTGCAGCACTCCCACAGCAATGAGCTGCAGACTCTGATGTCCTCAACTGCCAACCTTCGGCCTTCATAGCGTGGCGCATCCAACGAGCAAATCTAACACATCAGCCCAAGGCGACATCTTCTCAATATTGTATAGTTGATTTTATCTTCCGCACAGCCTGCCAGGCCCTGCGATGTAGCAACATCAAAGATCTGAATCCTCAGCTGCACCCTGTCCATCGCTGCCATGTTCAAGCAGTTCCCCTGCTCTCGTGTCCTGTCTCTGCCTTGCATGAAATTCTGGCAAGCAACCTGTGCAGGCTCGAGTGCCAGCCCTTGCTGGGCAAGAAATCCGCTCTGGGCGTTTTCATGCTCAGTGGAACGGCCACCTTCTCGCAGGTTGGGTCAAGCAAAGAAAAGAACACACACACCGCGTCTTGTCTGAAAGCACCAGGGCCAGGCCTGTACTCCTTCGAGATCCGGTGGGAAGACGTAGGCAGGTGAGTCGGAAAGGAAGCACCAGACCCTCAAGATCTGACCGGCCTCCCGGGGGCCAAGGCACTGCAAGAGGCAACGCAGCACAGTCAGCACAGGCTCTATTTGGAGCCTCCACAAACTGGGTCAGGTGTATGGTCAAAGCATTCTTTCCAGAGCCCGCCTGCATGGAAAGAGAAGAATCCTTCAGCCCGTCCGGTCCCTCACCATGACTCCTACAAGCATCGTCACCTCGCCTGTCCAGGTGATGCTCCCCAGCCAACGTCGCTGGTGCCCGGTCCGAAAGTGAAGAAGCTGGAATCAGGATACAGTCCCCACCTGAATGGCGAAGGCGCTCAACCCTAACCCTTTTGTTGATGGGATCAGTTGCAACCCATCACGTAACAAGCTCCAGACTCCGTTGCAGGCCCGTCGTTGACGACACAACGTATCAAGCCACCTTCGACGGAGTAAGGCACGTGGAATGCTAGCGTGGGCCTAAAGTCGCTCAAGAAAAGCAGAAGGTGCCTCCGTAGGAAGAGTCCACGAGCAGGCCAAGTGAATGTGACGTCACTGCCTAAGGTCGCTCGTGCTGAAGACAGTTCTTCTGACGGAATGCCAGCGGAAGGACACACTCCGGCCGAGGATCGAAGGAGGTATCGATCTCGATCGCCCGAATAGACTCGGTCACCCGTAAGGCTCCTCATGTCATATCACATTTCAGCCGTTCCTAGGGCTTCTGCACATGGATACCTGCACAAAGCACATTGCATCACTGACTGCAGCAAGACATGTCATGACGCGAAAGGAATCAGCCTGCGGTATGGGTGTAGGAAGAGCCGTTGGCACCTCAATTCACCACAGATAACAGATCCAACAAGCGGAGTTGGGCTGAATCGACGAAGAAGGCTGTGACTTACAGCGCCGACTTGTCTGAGACGCCTCTTGTTTCCTAAAGCGACATCTTCGGCTTCTTTCGTTGGTGCCTTGAAGGGGTTATCTTGTATTCGTCCAAGGAGCAGTTGCCGATGCCTGGGCAGTAGCACAGCTTGTAGCCGCAATTGACGTCGTCGGGAAGGCATCCTTCTTCCTGTGTTCCGACCTGGATATTTTTGGCAGTCATGAGCCAATCGCCTGCAACAGCCGAAGCAAGTCCGCCTTAGCAGTACCGACGTTGAACACGTTGATGCTGGTGGTGTTCGTCTCGTCAACGTATGTGGTGACCTGCGCTCGTATCGTGACAATAATTCTCTCCGAAAGTCACCACGTTTCAGAAAAGAGCCTGCCCCTGCACCCATGCCGGATTCGATCCTGAGCGCAAGCTACCTAACACTAACACTGTATCCTGACAGTCAACATCCGAGCCAAGTACCGAATCCGAAGGTCGGGGAATCTGTCGCGCAGTTGCTTCCCTCTGCAACAATCTTGAGGCGATCGTTCCTTGGAGCTCCGTCTGACTCATGCGCCTATGTTCTAATGGTTGACTCACTGCTGCCACGCGTCGGACCCAAGCGCCATCCTCTCAGGTCGATGAGACACTCGGAGCCGCGTCGGCACACGTAGACCTGAAAAAACATCTGCTTGGAAGACCTTTAGAGTATTCTCGCTTAAGGGGCTCTCTGTTCTCATGGCTGCAGCTCGGAAGATCTAACTCAACGCAACATCCGCATAAAATCATCCCCAAATCAGCCGGTAAGAGCTGCGTAGATTACAAACGGACCAGCGGCCGCCCGAAACCCGGCCCAGAGTACTTCCCAACTTGCCGCATCCAACATCGGGGCCCAGGCTTGAGTGGAGTCAGCTCCAGAGACCATCACAGTTCCGGCCACCCCGCCATAGTCATATGGGTTCGAACAGGACAAGACGCTGGAGCAGTAGCAAACCTTTCAGACGAGAGACATCCAAGGAGTTTTTACTCGTCTGAGACTCGGTCGCGGCCTTGTAGTCACCACTTTCCCTGATACCGCCAAGAAGGAACCTCTGCACGCTCTTCTTCGCTCTTCGCTTCGCAGATGGCTTTGGTTATGTCGCAAAAGCCAAGTCGACACTGTTGCAACTGCGGCCCCGGCAGGTTTTGGGAGCTGTTCTGGTTGGGCTCAGGCGCAATGCTGTTGGTTTGCAGAGACTGACCGCTGTTGATAAGGACCTCCTGCAAACAGCTTTATTTTGCGCAGCAGAACGCAGGTCACAGGCAACCTCCCAGTCCCTGCTCACCTGTGCCGGCACCCCAGCGACTGGATTGCCATTGCAAGGGAAGCCGTCTCTCACCTGATCCGACTTCAAAGTGAAGTCGAAGCTCTGAGCCTCTGAACCTCGCCTCGATTCTGCTGGGGACCTGGCGAGCTTGGCACGGTCGAGAACTGAGAGCATGAAGCCAATGACAGTGATGTCGCAGTCGATGCCGACAACGCAAGCGTAAGCCTTTCAGACAAACTGAGCAGCTTTCCCTGGCACAGCATAAGCAGAGCCCACCTGTGCTCCAAGAGGGCCGCGCACCTGATGCGAGCAAGCTCTCTCCGGTGCACTGGACCTGTTCAGGCAACGAATTTGGACGGCCTGGAGGTTGCTGGCGAAGCTTGTGAACTCCGAGGGTTCCGTGCAAGGCAGCGTGTCGGTACCATTGGTGTCCAAGTAGGTCACACAATAGCAGACCTTAAAAAGTCCGCCATGCTGCGTCTCGACGCTACTCAAACTGGCTTCGCAGGTCGTCAGCTCCAGATTGCAGGTGACTCCCTTAGGCTCCCCTTGAGCTATCTGCACGTCGGCTGCGCTCTGGCCGCAAGTGTTGCCGTCGGGAATGATCAGCACATGGTCGGACAAAGCAAGCAATGCTCCATCCCACGGGCCCAGGGTGCATGTCTGACCCGCTGCACACAAAGTGTCGACCCGGGCAAAGGGACCCTTGACGATGAGTGCACCAGCATCGACCCTAAAGTCTTGGCTGCTATCACACGTCTCTAGACCACTTGCGGCGGGGCACCAGCACAACCGATAGAAACCGCCGGGAGTCGATGTATTGAGAGCGAAGAAGTCGGTGCTGTTTGAACCGTCTCCCCAGCCGTATTGCATGCCACCCTGGGTGGCTGGATTTGAGATTGCGCCGTTTGGAAAGCCGGAGACTCCTGCTCCCAGCCCGCAGACTTCCAAGACCATGATCTTCTCGCCGCTTTGGAGTCCATAACCCAGGAAATTATCGAAACTGCAGGTCACACCTGGATAGCATTGCTGCAGTTGGTACAAGTTGGGGCCAATCATGTGCAGCTCACCGCTGTCGACCACATAGTCTGTGGGAGAACTGCACTTGGACGTGGCGGCACACCAGCAAAGCCGGTATGTTCCTCCAGGTGCTGTAGCTCGCAGCGGGCCCCAAGAGACCGAGTTTCCCAAGTTGGAGTGCTCTGTGGAGAGGGCACTGTTGGGCATTCTGGGAAGCACGAAGCTTGTTCCGCAGGTCGCAAGGACGGTGATGCGGTCGCTGATGAGCAAAGACTGACCGAAGAATCCGTCGAAGCGGCACACCTGACTGGAGATGCAGGTCTTTGTGTGATCCAAGAAAGGGCCGATGACTGTGAGATTCCCGGTGTCGACCTGGAAGTTGTCTGGGGACTGGCAGGGGGAGCCTGCAGGACACCAACACATTGCATAGATACCTCCAGAGGCAGTAAGTCGTCCTTCAAAGTCAAAGCGGGAGCCACCGGCGGTCCCCACCGATATGCCATTGTTTGAAAAGCCGGGAATGAAGGAGGCATTTGAGGGCAGACACGAGGGACTGATTAGGAGGCGATCCCCATTCTGGAGCTCATAGCCACCAAACTGCGTGATGCTGCAGACCTGGCCACTGGTGCAGAACTTCCTCTGGCCGATCGCCGGGCCTAGCATCTTCATAATGCCGACCTCCGTACGGAAGTACTCTCCAGAGGAGCAGTTCGGAGCAAAAATCGAGCACCAACACATGGAATACTCGCCTCCGGCACCAGTAACATGTAGCCCGCCGCTGGAGATGCCCCAGGCATACTCTGTACCCTGAAAAATGGCAGGATCTGTTATGCCGTTGTCGGGCCAACCTGGCAGTATCTCATTCGTGCCGCACTGATTCATGACCATTATCCGATCACCGTCTGCGAGCCCCAGGCCACGCAAGTTTGAAAAGCCACACTCCGTGCCGCTCCTGCAGGTACGCTCCTGTCCCAAGTACGGTCCTGGAAGTGTGAGCAGGCCAGACTCCACGTTGAACAGATCCGCTCTGTCGCAGGAATACATATTGGAACACCAGCACATCCAATAGATGCCTCCACCTGCTGTCACATAATCGTCCCACACGAAAGTTGTTCCGTTGTCGATTGACTCACCTGAAATGCCCATGTTTGGAAACCTTGGAATTACGCCATTGGGGTCACCGCAATTGGTGGAAATCATCATTCGATCACCGTTGCTCAGCCCGTAGCCTGCAAAGTCCTCCACAGCGCAAAGTTCACCGCTTAGACAAGTCTTGCTCTGAGTCAAAGGTGATGGCCCCACGACATACAAGAGCCCGTACTCCACGCGGAAGTTGGAACCGCTTCTTGTACAGGTCTGAGAAGCTCCACACCAGCACAGCTTGTAGAATCCACCTGGTGAAGTGACCGGAGTGGCGTCGGAACCAGACCACGTGATGGTAGTGCCATTGTCTACGGCTGGATCTGAATACCCTTGGTTTGGAAAGCGTGCAATGTACAAGTCCGTGTCACAGTAGCGCAAGACCATCGTCCGGTCTCCGTTGCTCAAGCCGACGCCACTTACCTGGTTGGCCACGCATGCAGCACCAGAGAAGCACGTCTTGGCCTGGTTGTGATGCGGTCCAATCAACTTCATAGTGCCCGCGTCAACGGCAAAGTCGATCGGGTCTGCACAAGTGTAACCGGCAGCACACCAACATAAGCGGTAGTAGGCACCCTCAGACCGAACTTCACGCTCACTCGTCGTTCCTATGACTGCCCAGTTGTATGTCTGATATGTGATGTCATCCAAGGTGGTCTCAATTATTCCAGGATCGCTAATTCCCCAAACAAAAGTGTTTGAAGGCCAGAACGGAACAGTGGAATTGAACTCCCAAGCCGGACTGCAGTCACGCTTCACCATCAGGAGATCACCATCACTTAGGAATTGACCTTGAAGCCCAGAAATGCTGCAAGCTTCATTGGTCGTACAAGTATATCTCTGCAAGCGCTGTTCCAGCGTGAGGAGACCCGTGGGGTCAGGCAGCTCAAGGAACGGTCCAACGACGTTGAGCTCTCCGATGTCCGTCTGAAAATCTCGTGCTTCGAGGCATGGATAGTTTGCAGCACACCAGCACATCCGGTACAAACCGCCTGGGCTGGTTATCACCTGATTTCCAGATCCCCACGAGAAGCTGGATCCGTTTGAAGAGGCATTGTTTGAAGGACCATCAAACCAACCGTACTGGCCAGCAGCAACCAAGTGCTGGTTGTATATACCCCACTTGTCAGAACTTTGAATGAGCTGCAGGGTTTCGGGATGTGCGCAGGTATCCAGTGCCATGAGTTTGTCGCCATCTTGTGTGTAATGGCCTTCGATGCCAAAAAACGCACAGGGCTGCCCTGCCACACATGTCCGAGAATATGTGAGAGGATATGGACCCAGGAAGGACAGGTGCCCAATGTCGACGCGGAAATCGCTTGCCAAGGAGCAAGTGTAGTTGTGTGCGCACCAACAGAGCCTAAAATTTCCACCCTGACTGGTGGGCCGGACTCCACGGCAGTCAAAGTTGTAGGGCTCCATGCATGTCGGCTCCTGGCCCCAGGTCGCAAGAGTCCCGTTCTCGGACATCAGGTCTGAGACCCCGCCTCCTGTGAAGCGGCGAGGTGCCGTGAACAAGCCACAGGTCTCCAAGACCATGAACCGATCCCCGTTACCAAGGTCTTGTCCAGTGATGTTGTAAGCGAAGCACGGCTGGCCAGACACGCAAGTGTTATCTTGATATTGCGGCGACGGTCCGATAATTGTCATGGCACCGGCGTCCGTCTGGAAATGTCGAGACAGTTGGCAGTTGAAGCCAGAAGCACACCAGCACAGGCGGTAAATGCCGCCCGCGGACGATATCGCATGACCGTTTGTCGTCTGCATCTCAAACGAGGTGCCACCAGCAGTAGCCTCAGTGGCAATGATTCCAGCAACCAACAGCCTTTTCTACTCGTACCAAATGCAAGAAAAATGCCATTCCTCCGAGCAACTGCGTTCGACAGGCCGCCGGCCGCAAATCGCGGTACCACTGCATTCAAGGCAGTAAAGTGGTGGTTGGCCTCGAATTCCAACTCAAAGTGCTCTGCACAATTTGCTTTGTCTCCACCCGTACGATTACCTAGTATTATCCAGGCGTTTGCTGCGAACGAACTCAGCTATCTCCCATGACAAGATCTTGACAACGTTGTCAGAACAGGATGGCTTAAGTGGCGGACGGTTTTCAAGCGCTGAGTACAGTGAAGTACCGTCTCAGGCACCGACACAGGTGCTCAAGACCATGATCCTGTCACCGTCCTCACACAACTTCGAAGCACAGGCTCTGCCTCATGGCTCACCAGCATTTCTAGGTCCCCGGCTTGAAGGTAGGCACCGGCAAAGCCTTGGAAGGCACATGGCTGACCAGCCACGCAGGTCCTCAGCCAAGGCAATGCTTTGAGTTTGCTTTCCTGAGGCTCCACTGCTCCATGACGCGCCCTCTGAGCAGCCGACCGGCTCTGAAAGCTTGGCCAAGGACCAACAACATGCAGGGTGCCGGCGTCTGTCTTGAAGTCTGACCTGAGGACACCATGTGTCTGCTATAAACAAGGCTTCATCCGCCACTCATGAAACGTGAAGTTGGGCATCGCGCGGTCGGCTGCATGGACTATCGGGCTGCGGATTGGCACACCAACACAAGCGGTACAGCCCGCCAGGAGCAGAGACCTGCAATGCCGACAAGAAGCGAAACGGGGCAAAGCAGTCTCATCGCACTTCACGAGGGAACCTCAATGTGGCCCCACGAGAAGTTGCTTCCGCCGCCGGTGGCTGGCTGCGAGATCGCAAGGGACCTGACGTGCAGAAAAAGCAGTTCCCTTTGCGACGTGCTGCATCAGATTGTGAATCTTTAGCCGGTCCTGGGAGCTTCTGGATTGCTCCATCTTGGTACCATGGCACCCATTAGCCCGCAAGTGTCCAGGACCTCGGACACGAACATGGAGATTGAATCCTTTCCGATGTGTCTTTGGGAAGCTTCAAGCACCCTGCCATGATTGCATCGCCGTCCGACAACAGATACCCTGCGAAATCCGACCAGGAGCAAACCTGACGCGAGCCGCAAATGCTGTGAGCACGACGACGCGAGCACCGACAATCCTTTCCGAGGGCCCAACCTGGCCGCTCACACATGTTCGCTCTTGGTCGAGAGGAGCCGGACCGACCAAAGAAAACGTTCCCGCATCGATTCGGAAGTAGCCGGTGCCTCGCGTCCAACAGCAGGTGAACATCTTGTGATCGAAACCTCGGATTGCCCTGTGCAGACAAGCGGCTGAGCTCCCCAAACTCGCGTGAAGCCCAACAAATGCGATAGGCGCCGCCCTGCGCCGTGATGTAGGCTCCGAGGTCTTCACCTTGTCCAAGACTCTCTCACACAGACAATCGCAGTGTAACACAATTTTTCTGATTTCGGCTTGCCGCACGGCACCTCCCCATGAGTAGCTGCTGCCATCTGCCAGGCTGGTATTGAAAGCCGGCAGCGACCTGACTTTGCTCAGCGCACAAAGGCCTGACAAAACCAAACTGAATCGGCCTTCCTTCCCACGGAAACCGCGGCACGACGTTCTCTGGGTGATCATAACCCAAGTTAGCACCCTTGAAGGTGCTGCACCTAGGCTTAAGAAGCTCTAGCCAGGGTCGTGTTCAAACAGGCCTGACGACGAAGCCTCCCTGCAGCAAGCTTAGAAGCACGCTCGTCGAGGATCATGATGCGGTCAGCATCCTAAAAAAGCGCAGATCAACTGGCGCTCGGTGTTTGGTTTTGCTGTCAGATTTTGCGGGGCCTCCAGTCCGAAGCCCTTGAAGCCACTCCAGGCGCAAACATGACCTGCTCATGGGCCCGCTTTTGGGATCGACTCTGCTCCAGGTCTCGTAAGGCTATGGCCGCTGATGCAGGTCCTGTTGTTCTGGAAGCTGCCAGGGCCCAAGATCTCAAGCAAGTGCTGGCACAGCTCGTGCATGCAGCAAGCCACGTGAAGCTCAGAAAGTCTGCGAGGATCCTGGGGTCGCTGCCTGTATGGCACCAATGTCCACGGCAAAATCCGAAGGGACTTCCTCGAACAGTGCTGCAACTTCGTGGGAACGCTTCGCAAGGCCAACTTCAGCATGAGCAACGCCCGCTCCTGTGAGAAGCCGTTTGCTGCCCAGCAGAGGCGGTAGAGACCGCCTTTGGCCTTGGCTTGCGCCGCATTGCGCCGCGCCGTGCAGAAACCCTTCTTTAAGTCACCGGCAGAAACTGCCACGGCATTCTCACCACCCCAGGTGAAGGCAGTTCCGCCTTCTGTCGCCGCATCGGAGATCCCACGAGGCCTTGAGTTGCATCTGGCATATGCACTTCTGGGTGGCCTGTCTTATAAGGTCCTAAGATACGAACTGCCCGGGGACACCAGGTGCATCTCCAACGAAGCGCGGCACGTAGTCCACCTCGGAACACGTCGGTAATAGTGCCGAAGTGCTACACCCTTGGCCAGCTGTTGTTTGGGTCGCGGCATTGAGGCCTGCTCGTCCGCACGTGTCGAGGACCATGATTCGGTCCCCGTCCTGCAGTACAGCATCATCAAACATCTAGCTTCCAACATCTGGACCCACGGGCTTCTGTAACCACAGAGAGGAAGCGGATGAGAGGCCGACTTGCAGGTGAAGTCCCGTGATGTTGGTGAAAGCGCAGGGCTGCCCAGATGCGCAGGTGCGCCGTTGATCTGAGCACCACACTTACACAGAACATCACAGACTCATGTGCACCCTACAAGATCGCGTATGTACGTCGTGTATATGACTACGTGACTACATGACGTGCGTGTGTGTGTACGTAATCACTTATATTATGCGTGAGCGGCTTGTATATTCCTCATCTTACTATGGTCAGTGGCGGCAGGACGCATAATCCAGGTACCCCGCCTAAGGGTACAGGACCGGCAAGATCGAAGCCTCAGGGCTCGCAAAGATCTTGCCCAAGTGAACCGGCAATGGACTATTGCAATCCCGGCAATCCCCATGTGTTCAGCCAGGCAGCGTCCGAAATCCACTCGAAACTCTGGTGCCGCACTGCAGGAATATCCCGCAGCACACCAGCACATGCGATAGCGGCCTCCCATGGCAGTGATTGGCACGCTGCCCCAGGAAATGGATTCTCCAGCATTCGTGGCACCTTCAGAGAGAGATTGGATGCCACTGTTGCTTGGGAATCTTGGCAGGTGAAGCCCAGAATCCGAGCTGCTGTAGTGGTCGAACTTGGACACATTCACGTATGAACCACAGGTCTCGAGTATGTGAACAAGGTCGTTATTCTGCAAAAAGCTGCCAGTGAGAGGCTTTAGCTCGCAAGGCTGCCCTGAGACACAGGTCTTGTGCTGGTTCAGCGGTGCTGGCCCCACAAGGGTCATATCCCCAAAATCCATGCGGAAGTCGGCCGGGTCGTTGCACTGGTACCCGTAGGGGCACCAGCACATGCGGTATTGGCCGCCAGCACTAGAAGGTGGTATGAGGTTCTCAAGAGCTGTGCGGAAACCTCCGAAACGGAACTCGTCACCGTTTACCGCCCCACTGAAGGCACCATCGCGCTCACAAATGTACGTACGCGCCACCGTGCAGGCATCATCGTGGAAGGTGCCGTCTCCCAGCAGGTAGACACAATCCTCATTGTTCGACAGAGTCAGTGCTGGTTGATGCACTCCCCAGTTTGAGAAAGAGAAGACACTAGCATCGGTGTATTCGAAGGTGCCTTCAATCGTCTTGTCGTTCAAGCCGATCCAGTAGCTCTCAGACACCTCCAGAACCCACTCCACCAGAAAGTCTAAGTCACTTTGTGAAGAAATGCTGGCCAAATGTCCACCGTAGATCGCATCACAGGCAGCTTCCGCATCATCCCATGTGAGCTGGCTGGAGAACACAGAATAGCAGCGGCTGTCTGGATGATATGGTATCCACCTCATCGAGGAGCCACAAGGATGTGCAGAGGAAATGGCAGGCTCCGACGAAGCCAGCCCCGAGGATCCGTAAGAAGATCCCGGCCAGCGCTCTGTGACGACTCCGCAGCCCTGTGCGGCCAACGTGGCATTGTAGCCGGGCAGCTCAGATTCTGCGGCATCCTCGAGGGGATGATAAGGGCACATGGGTCTGTACGAGCCTTTGCCACAATCATCCAACACCATCATCCGGTCTCCGTGCTGCAAGCCATGACCTGCGACGTTACTGACAACACATGCCTGGCCAGCCACACAGGTCCGGTGCTGCTCCATTGAGCTGGGTCCAAGAATTGTCAGGCCTCCAAGTTCAACTTTGAAGTGCTCGAACATCGAACAAGTTTGGCCATGCGCACACCAGCACACCTTGTACGACCCACCCGGTGGAGTCGGGTACACTGCGCCTCCCCCCCAAGAGATATCTGCTCCTGCATTGACTGCTTCATCCGAAATGCCACACCCAACTGCAGTCTTCTCGTACAGAGAATGCACGTCGTTATCACACGGCACATCTCTCAGGCACTTCATCGGGCTTCTGCACTCGGAATTAAAGCGTGGGACCAGGCTCGGATGAGTCATCGATGCCCCGTCCCAGATCATACCCGACGAGCTGAGGCCAGATTGTCCGCATGTGTCCAACACCATCACTTTGTCACCCGCTGAGAGTGCAAAGCCCGTAACGCCCAGAATGCTGCAAGGCTGTCCTGTTACACAAGTTTGGTGCTGTTCGAGTGGCGCGGGTCCAACGATCGACAAGGCACCAGTATCAGCAGCAAACGAGCTGCAGACACCACTTCCTGAACACCAACACAGACGATACTGCCCACCTGAGACCATGGAAACTGTCTCCGCGCCCCATGATCCTCCAAATGTGTACTGCGACGGTGCTGTTTTTGTGAGGAAGGCTTCTGCACCCAACTCGAGCCATCCGCTGTAGGTAAAGTTCCAGGAAACGCCCAGTGCTGACACGACCAAACTTTCAAGGAACCATCGATCTTCGGTGTCCGAGAAGATTTTGATACCACTCCAGTCCCAACCAGTAGGCCACAGAACTGCTGTTTGGAAGGTCTGATACCCAACGTCTAGGTCGGTCAATTCTAAGGCAGTGGTGAACAAACATTCCTGATTCGAGCGGCACACGTACAATCGGAACGGGCCTGTAGAATTAGCGCCATTGCGCGGGCCAGTCAGCACTGTTGCCATAAGAAGTTGGTTAGGCACTGTGGCCCATTCGTTCACAACACCCAAGACACGATCTTCTTGACGCTCAACCCGTGCCACAGAGCGGTACAAGAAACAAGTCATGTCACTTGGCCTGTACGCCCAAATAACACAGTCGGAGTACAGGCTTCGCTGACACAGAGCGCAGCATTCACTTTGAGTCTTTCCGGTCAGGCCAGATCCATGGGCGGCCAGGGCATCAACAACCCCAAGACCCACATGTCCATAACAGGAAGAAGGCTGCAGATCCGAAACCGCACCTTGCGGAACACCAGTTGTCGTCAAATTGAAGCCACACGTATCCAGGACCTGCAACTGATCGCCAGCATCCAGCTCTACACCGGTAATGTCGAATGCAGCGACTTGGCCAAGAGTGCAAGTGCGCTCCTGACCCAGATATGGCCCCACCACCACTAGAGTTCCAACAAGAACTTTGAAGTCTTCTGGCACCGCGCAGGCTGAGCCGCCTCCACACCAGCAAATCTTGTAGTATCCGCCTCCAGCTGTCAGTGGCTCGTCTGTTGCAAATCCCCAATAAACCTTCTGAGCAGTCCCGAAATCAGAAATGCCATCATTTGGCATACCACCTACTGCAGGACTGCGTCCACAATCAGTCAGAACGGCATATTTGTTCAAGTCTGAAAGACCTTCTCCCACCAAGCCAGCAAGCTCACAGGGAGCCCCAGCAAAGCAGCGTTGAGACTTTGAACGGAGCGTGTCAACATCTGCATTGCCAAAGAGGTGTTCAACCGCAAAGTCTGCCAGGCCAACATCGTAGAACCTCACATCATCGACGGAGGCATGTAAGGGCAGATCTTGCAGGAAGTTCAAGTAAATCTGACCGTAGACGTTGCTTTGAGAATCGGGTGCAAGAGTCGAAAATCCCCATCGTTGCCCATTCCGGTAGAACATCACGGTGTCTGCTTGCTTGACGAAAACCAAATGCGTCCATTCATCGACCTCCAGAACCTGTGTCAGCGAGGTGCTCGCTGAGCTTTTCAACACTGGCGCGTAAGGGCGGTCCTGTGGAGTATAATACTGCTGGGAATAATTCTGGCCAAGCTCATCGTACATTGTCCATACGACACTCCCATCCGAAGTCATAGAGATAGATGGGGATATCTCCAAGTCAGGAAGATGCGCCAACCTCCGCCCAAGAATACCGCCCTCGGATGCAGAATGCGGCTTGACCCATATGGAAACAGTGAACTCATGTAAGGACCCGTTTGACAAAGCATCAGCTTGGAGTGGATCAACAGGCAAGGCAAGACTGCTGTCATCACTGAAGCGGAGGGCGCCCTGGTTGTAGCCGTCCCGTCCTACGGCAACTGAGGCCTCTGTCACAGGTGTTCCGACTGAGTCTAGAGACTCCCGGAGATTTCCATCATCAAGGCCATAAGATGCAACACTTTGAGGGAAAAGATTGCGCACCAGGAAGGTCCTGAACTTCGCTGCTCCGCCTAAGCTTCCAGTCGACACATACAAACCTATCCGCCGACCAGCAGAATTGCTTTCAACCTGCTCCGCTAGAAGCCTCCACTCCGTCTCGAGAAACAGGCGATCGCCAGGTTCGCCAGCAGTTTTGACGAAGACTCTCTGCCTGATGCTGGGATCCGAATCAGTGGCATCATCGGGTGCCAACCAAACGTCAGAGCCCAGCTTGTAGTTGTACCACAAGTCGAAGCGGCCGTTGCCTGTCCGCTCGATCTTCAGCGAGACCCACTCTACCGCAAGAGAGCCTAAATCTTGCAGTCCAATCGTTCCGGAAAGGCCGGCCGTGCCGTAGCGCAGAGCTGCAATTCCGCCAGATGCGCCGAAACCTCGTGAACTGAACTTGTCAAAACCGAACAGCAGGTCGGGTTTGTCCCCGTCTCTGTCGTAGACGGTGAAGCCAGCCGCAACATCAGAAGCAGCAACACGCACGGCAACACGTGCCTCCCAGAGACCGGACGGCGGAGAGTCTACATACAAGATCGGCATACTGCCTCTTGCCGAGCCAAGCTCAGAATTCACGGAGCAGTGGATGGCAAGACTCCCGCCATACTCTTCAATCGAAACCACGCTTGGATCTGGTACATCCCGACGCCAAATCTCCTTGGGCTGCTGTGGCCCAATTGATGTTGGGATGAAGAAGTCTGCCAAGTACTCGGAGGGGCCCACGAGGATGAAGGACCCCGCCTGCTTTTGGGGCGATGAGGAAAACGTCTTAGGGCTACAACATGCTACAATCAACTGCACGCACTCTGTACTGGTACACTGGGTTGTCACCTCAGCGTCACAATCACACATGCTCACATGCTTTACATTGTGAGCCCGCCTGTGTTTTGAAATTCTCTGATGTAGCGCAGCCGTTCGGGTTCACATCCCCGGCGCACCAGCAAAGCTTGTAGATGCCACCTGCTCACATAACACAACACAGGGAGAGATGCCGGCATTCTCGATGCTGGCTTTGCTAGACAGCTAGACTCAAAGCGAAGCCAGGCCTGCAGCTGTGATCAACTCTGCAGAGAAGCTAAACTGGAACGTGTCGCCGACGTAAGCCTGCAATGGCAAGCGTCCACCATCTGGGAATCCAGGAATCTCGGGATACCGGCTGCGAGGAGATGGCCAGGGCTCCACAGGGACGCCACATTCGTCTGCGACCATGATCTGGTCACTGGGGCTTAGATGAACTCCCACGATCCAACCCCAGCACGGGGAGCCAGAAGCACAGTAGACTTGATTCTGCTGACTCGGGCCGACAAGGGTCAGTGCACCAATATCGACGGAGAAGTGCTCCTGCAACTTGCACAGATACCCTGCAGCACACCAGCACATGCGGAACTGGCCCCCGGCTGTGGTCCAAGGCTCATCACCCCAGGAGAAGCGGCTCCCCCCTCCTAGACCAGGCAAGGAAAGACCACGCTGAGGAATGCCGGACACCTCTGTCCCGATGCCGCAGGTGTCAAGAATGTGCAGTGTGTCTCCGTATTGTGAGAAGAGCCCTGTGACGTTGGCAACAATGCAGGGCATGCCACTGACACAAGTGCTGTCCTGGTTTAAAGGCTCTGGACCAAGCAGTGTCAACTGACCAAGATCTGTCGCAAAGTGCTCTGGCAATTCGCAGGTGATGCGCTCGCCTTCCAGAACTTCCGTCAAACCTTTGGGTCTGCACCAGCACAGCCGATAAACTCCGCTGGCAGATGATATTGGGGCAAAGAGCGTCGAGGAATCCTGCAGCCAAGTGAAAGTCTGGCCACTGGTGGCAACACTGTTCACGATGCCATCATTGGGAAACCGTGAGATCAGATCTGCCTCCGTCGCCAAAAGACCACACGTATCTCTGATCATGATCAAGTCTTGTGACGTAAGGTCTTCTCCGACAATGCCTTTCAGTCTACACATTTGTCCACTCATACAGGTTCGATCTTGCTGCAGTGGATAGGGACCTTGGAGCTGAAGCAACCCAAGATCTTGCAGAAAACTCTCTGGTCCACCGCCGCAGTCGAAGCCACCTGCACACCAGCATAAGCGGTACCGACCTCCACCAGCCGTAACACGCACGGCGCTGAAATCAAATTTGCTCATGATTGCTTCTGGCACAGTGGCGGTGGTGCTTCCTGCAGCATCTTTGACGACTCCACGTAGTGAATGCGACGTCATGAGGCCCAGCATCGGCCAACCATGTCCATCTGAGAAGTTCATGTCTCCAACATGTGGCACACCACAAGTATCCAAGATCATCAGCTGATCGTCAATGTCCAACTTGAATCCCAGAACGTCTTGGATCCAGCAGTTCTGTGCTGAGGAGCATGTCCTGGATTGCCCAAGCTGCGGGCCATGAAGAACGAATTCACCAATGTCTACCCGCAGCTGCTCAGCTGTTGAACAGTCTGCAATCTCCGAGCACCAGCATATGCGATATTGCCCACCCGCTGCGGTAAGCGGTGTCGTGAAGTTGAGAGTGACTAAGTCGAGCTGCTCGCGCTGCAGTGACTGTGGCAAATTCCAAGCTTCTATCCGGCCCTCGCTCACGAGTGCTTCGGCTCGACCGCTCTCCGGAAGACGGTCGACAGTAGCTGCAATTCCGCATGTCTCCAAGATCATGAATGAGTCAGCAGCGCTGATGTGCAGACCACGCAGGCCCGCGATCTCGCATCTCTGTCCGGCAACACATTCTCGACGCTGGAAAGCCCCAACCTCGGGATCCAGCCTTGGTCGCTCTTCTAAGTAAAGTGTCCCCCAGGATTGAGTGGTGGCTGATGCTTGGTAACCACCTGCAGCCACTTGCGTCGGTCCAATCAAGGTAAGCTCGCCAACATAGACCTTGAAGTCTGCTGATAGTCCACATGCAGCGTCCGTAGCTTGCAGAGATGTCAGGGCACCAAGAGCAGGACGTTGCCCACACCAACACAGGCTATATCGTCCTCCAGCAGCTGTGATGGCATCTGTGCCCCATGCCACTGAAGAACCACTGCTTGAGACAGCGACAGCCTCGCCAGTCCATCCGAAACCAGGAATGAAGGATGACACCCCGCAGGTTTCCAAAGCCATAAAGCGATCACCATCTTGCAAGTGCATTCCGCGAAGACCATCAAATCTGCATGTTTGCCCACTTACACATGTCCTATCCTGCGACTGTGGCACCGGACCAATGAGAGTCATACTGCCCAGAGTGACCTAAGAATCAAGAATAGCAATGACCCAGGAAGCCTACCGAAGTGAGCTGCCATTCATAACTCCGTAAGCCCCTGGCGCTGTAGCTTGAACTGTCGCTGGAAACAGCAGAAGCCGAAGCCCAGCAGAGCTGGTAGGTGCCTCGTGGAAATTACAGCACACATCTTCTGACCTACAATCTACAAGTACTGAAGGTTGACTCTGATCCTGCCTCCGACAGCAGTGATCGGTGAAGTGAACACATAGGATGCACCGGAACTGCGGTGTATCGCAGGGGTGTTTGCCACGAGATCGCGGATTCCGCAGGTGTCCAGAAGTGCCAGAGAGTCCAATCCCACGAGGCCGTTGCCCGAAATCTCGTCTACCACGCAGGTTTGTCCAGCGATGCATGTTCTCCCGGTAGTGAGCCTGTGTGGGCCTATAAGTTCGAGCTGACCTACGGTGACTCTAAAGTCTTCTTTTCTGCTGCAATCATGTTCAGCTGCACACCAGCACAAGCGATATTGGCCACCAGGAGCTGTGACGAGCGTTGTGCCAAAGTGCAGTTCGCACTCCCCCCCGACACAAGTGGAGTTGTCAACAGCAGCAAGCGTAAGAAAGCCGGCATCCGGCAAACCCTCAATGAGGCCAGAGACGCCACAAGTTTCTAGGATCATGTAAGAGTCTGCTCCAGACAGCATAGTGCCGAAAGGTGTCGACATGCTACATGTCTGACCACTGAAGCACGTCCTGATGGATGCAGCGGATTCAGAGACTGGCCCGATAAGCATCAAACCACCAACGTCTATCCCGTAATGCTTTGCAGTATTGCATGTGGCTCCAGCAGCACACCAGCAAAGCCGGTAGGAGCCACCCCCAGCCGTGGCGACCATCGCACCAAAAGAAATTGCAGTGCCGCTACTTGTCACGGATGTTATTGCACCAGCATTGACGAGGCCATCTACGATGGATGCACCACACGTGTTCAGTATTGCCCATCGGTCTGACGAGCTTAAGCCGTGCCCAAGCAAGCCATCAGCAAAACACTCCTGTCCTGCGACGCAGGTTCGGTCCTGCTGCAACGGCCGGGGTCCGAATATACTCAGCCGACCGATGTCAATGCCAGGAACTTCACAGCTCCCTGCACACCAACAAAGCCGGTACTCTCCACCTTGCGCAGACAGCGTGACGCTTCCAAATGAGGCTTTGCCATCACTGGAACTTACAGACAGGCTCCCGTCACTGGGCAAGCCTGCGGGCCAGTCTGAAGCACCACAGGTGTCCAAAACCATCAATCTGTCGCTTGGCTGGAAAGCACCTGTGAAGCCGTCAATGCTGCAAGTCTGTCCGGCTATGCATGTTCTGTCCTGCTCAAGCGCAATGGCCGGTCCCAGTAGATGGAGTCGCCCCAGATCCACAGCAAAGTGCTTCGCCAGTTCGCATGGGCTTCCGGTGCACCAGCAGAGTCGGAATTCTCCACCAAATGATGTCACGGTAATGTTCCATTCGACAGAGATGGATGTTGTGGCAAGCGATGCTTCCTCGGCAATGAGCGGCGATGTCAATGGAAATCGCGGGATGACCACACCCAAGTCCTCCGGGCATCAGCATGAAGCACAATACACTCTATGCTAGTCATAATCCCAGGTCAAGAAGGAAGGTACAGCATCATGCTGGGACAGCACATGCAGCAGCTGCTTGTTCCCAGATGCTCCTCTGACGTTCCGCAGGTGTCAAGAACCATGACGGCGTCTGAGGCACCTCAGTATGCTTCTGGCTGGGCTCATTAGCAGAATATCCGTAATCTTGATGCCCCAGCGGAACGAACCATCGAGCAGTCTATCAGATTCTGGCAGCCAAGCTCACAAAGCACAGACCACCTCACTAGCCTAGACAACATCTCCAAATTCGCCAGGGGGCTGAGACGAATGCCCGCGACATTTATCTTGCACTCATAACCTGACATTGCTGTAACTGCCATGCAGTGGCTTTTGCCCTCTCTTGTACGCAAACCTTTCAAAACTGAAGCTACCTGCAAGCTTGATACCCTGCCTGCCACACAAGTGCGGTCCTGATCCAGCGGGCTAGGCCCAATCAGAGTCAGCTGACCGATGTCCGAGATGAAGTTCTCGGCCAGCAAGCAGTTGAAACCACCAGCGCACCAGCAAATGCGATACTCCCCACCAGGGGCAGTGACCGGGATGCCTTGCGGGCCACTTCCTTCCAAACGGAGGCTCGTCCCATCGGAGGTCAAGGAGATGCCCGTGCTCAAGCCTGGTGCCTTTGCGGGCAGCCCGCAGGTGTCCAACAAGACCCCTGCATCTGCTGTGCTCAGGTAGTTGCCCGAAATGCCCTTGATTACGCAAGTCTGACCAGCAACACATGTGGCTCCGCTAGTGAGAGGTTCCGGTCCAACGAGTGTAAGACGACCCATATCAATCACAAAGTCTTCAGCTGCACTGCAGACTTGGCCTGCTGCACACCAGCAGATCCGATAGGAACCTCCGGGTGCAGTCACGGATGCTTGCCCCCACGACACAGTGGACTCGCTCAAGGGAGATGAGGAGTTGACATCGTCCACCCCTGCACCGGCAAATCTTGGCGGGGCTGAAGATGACCCGCATGTATCTAGAATGTAGTACCGATCTGCTGTGCTGAGCGCAATTCCGGAGAGAGCATTGAGCAGACAGGGTTGTCCCGACACACACGTCCGGTCTTGGTGGAGCGGCCTTGGCCCCAGGACCTGCATCTTCCCGACGTCTACGTCAAAGCTTGAGGTCTCATCGCAGGATGCCATGTCTGCACACCAGCAAATCCGATAGAGGCCCCCGGCTGTAGACAGGGCCGAAAGAGACAGGCTCACAAAGGATAGTGCGGAACCGACCCCTCCCGGGACGGTAACCGCGGAAGTGGCGAAACCACCAGCATCTGGAACACCAGGAAGCACGCCATTTTCTCCACAGGTGTCTAAAAGAAGGTAGCGGTCTCCAGCACTCAAAAACCAGCCTTCAATGGGGCTGGGGTTGCAAGGCTGCCCTGCAACACAGGTTCGGTGCTGTTCCCTCAAAGCCCGGGGACCTTGGATGGTCAACTGCCCCATGTCCACCGAGTAATGTGCGAGCATGGTGCATGGCATAGCACACCAACAGAGCCTGTAACTGCCACCACTGGGTCTAGTGACATCAGTCGCTATTGCAAATGTGGAGCCTTCGAGTCCAGCCTGCCATCCGCCTGATGCTGATGTGAAAAACTCCGTTTCGGCGTGTTTCTGTGCGAGTCCCAGGTTGCAAGTGTTCAGCACCAGCAGGCGATCATCAGTTGAGAGCCCAATCCCCGTGATGCCATTGATTACACATGATAGGCCTGCGATGCAAGTCCGATCCTGCTGCAGCGGCCTGGGCCCAAGAAGGTAGAGTGAGCCTACGTCGGCACCACACTCTGCAGGCGTAGCTTCCACTGTAACGTTTGCACACCAACAAAGGCGATAGATGCCACCAGCCGAGCTGGTGCTTGTCGAAATTGCTGACAGGGTTGATGAACCTTCCGCAAACGTACTCATGCCGCTCGGCACATCAAGGAATGTCTGGAAGCTTGTGAGGCTGGGACTGTCCATGCTGTCGGCAAGTCCACATGTTTCCAGCAACATGATTCCATCTCCATCGCCAAAGTAGTTGCCAACCATCTCATACAAGCTGCAGGTTTGCCCGGTGAAGCATGTTGCATGTTGCTCGCGCAACATCTTTGGGCCAATGACCAGGATGCTGCCAAAGTCAACATTGAAGTCAGCCAAGCTGGAACAAGTGAAACCTTGTGCACACCAGCAAAGCCGATACGTGCCCCCTGCTAGCTGTAATGCGCCGGTCGAAGCGAAGGCAGCCAGATCTGAGCCGTTGTACCTGCTCAATTGTGATTCCAGGCGAGGAGACGTCGAAACGTTGGCGTCGAGATCTGGCAAGAGAGAACACGTGTCCAAGACCAAGACTTGATCATCTCCTGATAGCAGGACCCCATCCATGCCGCCAATGCGGCACCTTCGACCGCTCAAGCATGTCCGCTGCTGATGGAGACTGGGACCTATCACAGTCAGAGCGCCGACATCAACTGTGAAGTCATCTTTGGAGTGACACTGTGCATCCGGTGAACACCAACACAATCGATAAAGTCCTCCGGCGCTGGATATGGGGGCACTGCCAAACGTGTACACCGACAATGGCTCTGGGGGGCGGTAGTCAGGCAAGCCAGAGCACCGGTCATAGCAGTCCGGAACTCCGTCGTTGTCGGAGTCGGTGTCCGACACACCGCATCCACATTGGCCGGGAACTACTTTGCTGCTGTCGCTCGGGCATAGGTCGTTGCAGTCTGCAGTGGAATCGGAGTCGCTGTCGGTGTCCGCAACTCCACAGCCGCACTGACCTGGAGTAGTCTTTGTCCCATCTGATGGACAGCCGTCGCTGCAGTCGGGAGTCCCGTCACCATCAGAATCTGTATCTGCCACGCCACAGCCACAGGTGCCTGGCGCAACCTTTCCAGGATCAGAAGGGCAGCCGTCGAAGCAGTTGTTCGTGCCATCGCCGTCACTGTCAGCACTCGCAGCCGTGCATCCACAGACAGGCGGAGTCTGATCAGGGAACCCTGGGCAGTCATCGACACAGTCCGGCACGCCATCTCCGTCGGTGTCATCGATGTCTGCAAGCCCACATCCGCAAATGCCAGGAGCTACTTTGCCTGCATCCAACGGGCAGCTGTCTGTGCAATCAGGCACACCATCAGAGTCCGAATCCACCTCGCTTGTGCCACAGCCGCAAATACCCGGAGAAGACTTGAGGGGATCACTTGGGCAGGCGTCGAAACAATCTGGGACACCATCGGAATCAGAGTCTGTGTCCAAGATGCCACAGCCACACTGACCCGGCTGACTCTGTACAGGTTCAAGAGGGCATGAGTCCAAATAGTCGGGATAGCCATCCTCGTCAGTGTCCAGAGCAGCTGCGCTGCAGCCCCAAGACGGTCTCGGGGCCCGGCCATGAAGTTGCCCCGCTTGCGGCAGCCTCTCCAGCTGATCTCCCTCACCGCAGGTACTGAGAATCCAGATCGTGCCCATGCCGGAGCTTCCGAAAGAGGAAAAGCCTTCAAAGTTGCAGGTCTGTCCAGCAACGCATGTTCTGTCTTGCTGCAGCGGCGATGGTCCTACCAAGTTCAGACTTCCGACATCAATGGCAAAGTCCTCGAAGGTGCTGCAGCTCATTCCCGTTGAACACCAGCACAGGCGGTACTGACCTGCTGTGAGAAGCTCCGGTGAAAATTGGTAAGAGGTCCCACTAGCAGAGGTTGCCAAAGGCAGCACTGTCCACGGGTAGCGACCTACCTGATTCACCATGCAGGTCTCCATAACAACCACTCGATCATATTCCGCCAAGTTCATTCCGGTCAAGGAATCCAAAGTGCACGTCTGGCCATTGATGCAAGTCCAGCTCTGTTCCAACGGCGATGGGCCCACCACCTGGAATTGCCCGAGATCGACGCGGAATTGCTCTGCCCTTGTGCATGCCTGGCCGTGAGCGCACCAGCACAAACGATACTCTCCGCCTTGGCCAGTAAGTCTGACATCCTCAAAGCCGAATCCTTGCACGGTCAGGTTCGAAGTGAAACGACCACTGTTCGGCATGCCTCGAACCTCTGTGAGCGAGCCGCAAGTGGCTAGCACAGCAACTTGATCCTGAGGGTTGAGATGGGTGCCTTCCAAGCTATCGACACGGCACGCCTGGCCTGCAACACACGTGCGATGCTGTGTCAATGGGGAAGGCCCCGTGATTGTGAGAGAGCCAACATCGATCACAAACGCATCTTGCGTGGAACAATCGAAACTGGCTGAGCACCAGCACAAGCTGTAGGTACCGCCTGCTGCGGTCACGAAACCGCCGAACCTGGGATTGAGGCCATCGCGAGCCACATCGGGAGCACCAGGGCAGGAATCGTAGCAGTCTGGAACACCATCTCCGTCACTGTCTGTATCTGCCACATTGCAACCGCACTGACCTGCCGAGGTCTTTTGAGCATCCTGGGGGCACAAATCAATACAATCGCACACGCCATCACCATCGCTGTCTGTGTCATCACAACCACAAGCACTGAGAGCAGTGACATTCGCATTGTTGGGACACCGATCTAAACAATCTGGCATTCCGTCACTGTCTGAGTCCACATCAGGAAGGCCGCAGCCGCAGATCCCTAGGAAGATCTTATTGGCATCATTTGGGCATTGGTCGATGCAGTCAGGCACACCATCCAGGTCCGTGTCCGTGTCCGGCAGCCTCGGCACAAGTCGGAACACATCGTACGATGTCGAGCATCTCTTGCATCCAAGCTACCAATCGACACATCACTCGATAGAGAGGAAGACGGGTGAAAAGAAAAACCAATGGGAACATATGACAGATGTGCTACAGAGATTAAGCCGATGCTGCTTTCATTAAGCTTGGCCACCCGCACCCACAAGCTCCCAGGACAGTCTTCGTGGCATCGTTGGGGCACTGATCCAGGCAGTCGGCAACACCATCTGCATCCGAATCCAGCTCTGTAAGCCCTGCAAACAGCAGATCGTGCCCAAAAGCAAAAACCGAGCGTGAAGTTTATGAAGTTAGTTCTCAGCTACAGTAAGACATGTTTAGAAAAGGGAAGTGCTCCCACCTGTGTTGATCGTAATGGTGGCTGTCGGACTCCCATCAGCATCGACAATTTGGCAACCACACTGTCCAGGACTTGTTTTCGATGGATCCTGAGCAGAATTGAAGCTTCTCAGGAAACACTTTTACTGATGGGCCATGTCAGAGTGTCAGAGTTGTGAAGTTGCTGAGGTTCAACTCAGGAATGCGGCTGGCTTCGTGCCAAGTTTCGTAGGGGCAGAAATCTTGGAAGTCCAGGGTGCCGTCATTGTCGGAATCCAATCCGGCTATGAAGCCACAGGAGGCTGGACCGAGGGAGTCTTGCAGCCCATGGCAGTTGTCGTTGCAGTTCGGGGTTCCATCCGAATCGTCGTCCGTCTCAGGGACACCGCACCCACAAATGCCGGCTCTGGTCTTCAAAGGATCTAAGGGGCATTGGTCAACACAGTCCTTCGTGCCATCACCATCACTGTCATCCTCAGCTTCACCACAACCACAGGTGCCAAGAAGTGACTTCAGCAGATCATTGGGGCACTGGTCGATGCAGTCGGGGGCGCCGTCACCATCTGTGTCTGTGTCCAGGAGCCCACAGCCACAGGCACTGCCTAGGCCGGTGGCCAAGCAGTTGCTCGTCGACTCGTAGTGTGTGCCGCTGATTCCCGGGAAAGCTGAGGAAAGGCTGACTGCCGGTTCTGCAAAAACCTTGACATCACAGAGGGAGAGCTCGGCGCCAGACAGGACCAACCAGATCAGCTGACCCTGAGCCTGGCAAGATACGTCGATAACCGGAGCATCTTGACCCAGTGCTGGAAGGGCAGGCTGCTGAGTGATGTTTGCGCACCACACCCCATCGCTGAATGTCAAGGCGCCTGAGCTGACTATGGCTGGCCCATCCCCAAACGAACACACTTGTGTGGCCCGGTCCTTCTGTCCAAATCTCCTCGTCCTTTCCTCTCTCACCTCTCTCTCGGGCATGCAAGAAATGTCTGGAGCCTCCGTTCCCATTGACCCCCCCCGCGGCCGCATCGTTCGGATTTGGGAGGGTGTGGCCGACGACAGATCCCAACCTCTCGCGACCTGCTTTCCCACGGCAAGGCGTCTTTCGTCCTCGCTGTGAGGCCGGGGATTAGGGCAAGGTGTCTTTCTTTCTGTCGCCAGGGCTGCGATGTAGGAGGGACCCCCCCCCCCCACACAAGGCGTCGCTCCCTCTCTCTCCTGCCTCTTTGTCTGTCTGGCTTTGTCGCTCTCTTTATGTTGCATGCTTCGTCAATTTTCTGCTCAGTGTTATGTATTTCTCTCGCTTCGCTCTGTCGCTGCTAGCTTTTCCCCACTGCTCCAAAAATTTTTTTAGCTTTCCCTCATCGTTCTTTGGCCGCACCTTGGCTTATGTTTCGTTCGGTCTCCTGAGGCCTTGGCCCAGCCCTCGGCCCTCTCGGCCCCCTCGAGTTTGCGGGCTCCAAGAAACGTCTCTCGCTCAGAGCTCGAATTTGTTAGTGAACACACTTCATCAGTGTTTGGTTTTGAGCTGCTTGTGCCTTAGAGACAGACACACAGAGAGAGGGAGAGAGTGAGCGTGAGTGAAGGCTTCGGCACCGGGATCATGTCTTTTGGGACGTGCATATGCGCAGCCGTGTGTCTGGGTTGTTCAGTCTCGCAAGAACCGCGATCTCTCGCTCTCTAGAGGATCTGCCAAGATGCTGATTGAGGTCACCCACACTTGAACTCCCAAGAGACTGCCAGCACAACAGTCAGTGCGTGGCGTAATTCTCACGGCCTTCACGTCAAATCCAAATCCCAGGTCAACATACCACCATGCGTTGCTTTCTGCAGTTGTGAGGGTGCAGCTGCCGTGATGGAAATTCGCGCTCGTGGCCGCATCAACGGCCAGATGGGACATTTTGCTCAACTGAGTTGAGGACTGGTGTGTTGCCATGCTCTCCATGGCCAACCACTCCGGCCCAATGCATATGCCGGGTCTTTGCTTATTCACGTCAAGTGGGCACAAATCCTGGCAGTCCGGAAGACCATCCATGTCTGAGTCTGTTTCTGGCACGTTGCATCCGCAGAGCCCAGCTGATTTGGACTTGCTTGGATCTTCTGGACAGTGATCAAGGCAGTCAGGCACGCCATCGAGGTCGGAGTCGACATCATCAACGCCACATCCACAGACACCAGCCGTCGTTCTGTTGGCATCGAGAGGACACTCGTCCAAACAGTCTGGAATGCCATCGAGGTCGGAGTCGCCCGTTGCCGCGGCGCATTGGCATGTCAGTGACACCTCCATGCGCCCTGAGTTGGGTAGGCGAGGCACCGACACCTGCACTCCACAAGTGTCGAGCACAAGCAGACCATCCGAGGGCGACAGAAGATGACCCTGAATCCCTCCGAGGCTGCATAGCTGTCCGCTCACACAGGTCCGAGATTGCAGCTGATATGGCCCAACGATGTTGAAGTGCCCTACATCCGTCCGGAAGTCCTGCGTGGAAGTGCACTTGAACCCACCACCACACCAACAAATCCTGTACTCTCCTCCTTGGCCAATGACAAGACTTGGTGCAGTGGTTGCTCGAAGGGTCTTATCAGCCCCAGTTGCCAAGGGGTCCGAGATTGCAACTGCAAGACTGATGCTCGGAAGGAATTCGGAGGGCACCTGCTGGCCACAAGTATCAAGTATCAGCAACTGATCGGATGACTTCAAGTAGCGGCCGGTGATTCCATCAAAGGAGCATGTTTGACCACTGACGCAGGTGCGATCCTGTGTGAGTGGGCTTACGCCTACAACCGTGAAGGAACCAACGTCCACACGCATGTCTTCCGGATGAGCACATGTGGCAAGTGATGCGCACCAACACAACCTGAACGCTCCACCTGCTGTTGTCAGAAATCCTGCGTCCAGGACAAGTCTTGGGAGAACAGTGCCGGTCTCATTCCATTGCACAAAGCTGCCCGACCATCCGTGCAACTGCGAGTAGGTAAAGCCCTGACCACAAGTATCCAGAAGTTGCAGTACTCCTGAAGCCTCCTGCACGCTGATGTCTTCGATGACACAGCTCTGCCCGGAGACACAAGTTCGGTGTTGCGTCAAAGGCTCCGGACCCAGCAGCCACACAGCACCAACATCAACAGAAAAAGCGTTGGGCAAGTCGCAGTTGAAACCACGGCTGCACCAGCATAGTCTGTACAAGCCTCCAGCGATTGTCAAGAGCGTGCTTCCATACGTTGGGTACGACGCTGGGCTTGCCAGCGCTGTCACAAAGCCAAGGTGATGAGCCGAAGCAACACCACATGTATCCAGTATGGCCAAACTGTCACTCTGGCGTAGGTCAAAGACAACAGACCACTCTGTGCTTGCTCCGGTGGGCCACCAACGCGAGTTGTCACCAGCATCGCCATCCATAAGATTCTCTGGTCCGTAGGTTATTGGATTCGAGGGGTTCGACAAGTCTTGGTGCGGAGTACCAGTTGCAGTCGATGACACTATCCACGCCGGGGAGAAGTCCGAGGCCCACTGCGTGAAACTCTTATGAAGGGCTGCGCTGGGCCCTGCAGAACTAAGGAAGCGAAGCTCACGCGGCTTCGGGGGGTCTGAGCTCAGTCCCCAGGTCTGAGTGATGCGCCAACGCCAGAACGGTGCCGAGATTGATGTCGGCCAGTCGCAGCTTTGCCAAGAGCCGTCTTGTGCTGCAGCACATGTTGCTATCGTCGTCCACGTGGCCCCAGCTGCATTGGACTCATCAAAATCGTAAGAAGCTTCCACAAAGTAGTCTCTCACATCATGCTGGCCTGTGGTGGCATCTTGCAAAAATTGGAGGCTTGACACGTGGGACAGCTTATACGGATCAAGCCCTAAGCCATGGACACTCCCAAGGTCGCACATCTGTCCGCTTAGGCATGTCCTGTCTTGGCTGAGAGGCGCCGGGCCGAGCAGGGCCACCTCGCCGATCGTCACAAACTCCTCGCCTTGTCTGCACTGCCGACCAGCTGCACACCAACAGAGTCGGTAGTACCCCGCTGCTGCTGTGATGCTGACGGCGCCATAGCTCACTCTGGCACCACTTGCCTCAAGACTGGAGAAAACTCCAGCCTCGGGCCAGCCAGGAATCGGTGTGATGTGAGCGCAAGTATCGAGAACCATCACGGTGTCCTGTGGTGTCGCTGTCGCGCCTGCGCCCAGGTTCAGATCTTCCAGGACACAGCGCTGGCCGGCTACGCAGGTGCGCTGCTGCAACAAGGCTGGTCCCATGAGCCTCACCTGACCAAAGTCGACGAGGCTCTGGGAGTGCAGGGTGCAGGACGTTCCTGCAAAATCATGCGGTAACGGTTGGCACCAGCAGAGACGGTATGTTCCGGCTGCGGCCAGAATTGGCTCTTGGAATCTGAGCAGAAGCGTTGAAGGGCTCACTGCAGAAATTCCCACGTTGGAATTCGGCCACCCTGCAGAAAGCATAGGGGCACCGCAGGTGTCGAGAACTTGAAGGGTATCGTTCTCCGAAAGTTCTTGCCCGTGGACGTGAAGCGAAGTGCAGCGCTCTCCACTTCGACATGTCCTCTCCTGGTTCAATGGCGCTGGCCCAATGACAAGTAGATTTCCGGCATCGACTTTGAAATCCGTTGCCGTGGAGCACATCGCCATGGATGAACACCAGCAGATGCGGTACTGACCGCCGGCGAAGGATGAAAAGGATTCCTTCTCCATGACCCACTTTCCAGAGCCGCTTGAGTTGGACTCAGGCAAAAACAGGCCGATCGAATCTGCGTTGACCGCACAGGTCTCCAGCAGCATGAGATGGTCAGCAGACGACAGGTGCACACCTTGTAAGCCCTCCATGGCACAGGAGTGCCCGCTCACACAGGTTCGGCGCTGAGCCAGCGGAGCAGGCCCGATCAAGGAGAATGAGCCCATGTCGACTGAGAAACTGTCAAGCACGCCGCAGTCCGCAGCACCACACCAGCAGAGCCGGAACTGGCCGCCAGCACCTGTGAAGTCTTGCATGCCCCAGTGAATGACCTCGTAATCGCTTGACTCGTTCGTACGATTGATCTCATCTCCTGGCAGGCCGGCGAAGGCCGGATGCAAAGGCAGACCCTCATCGGCGAGCTCGGCAGCTCCGCAGGTGCTCAGCAGCATGATCTGCCCGTTCGCTTCGAAGTCTGGCTCCAACGAGAATGAGCATGTCAGACCACTGACACAGGTTCGATCTAAGGCAAGTGAGGGAGGGCCAAGGACCAGAAGTGTCCCCACATCAACTTGAAAGCTCTCGCCCGCAGCACAAGCCAAGCCTGCGGCGCACCAGCACAGACGGAAGCTGCCAGCAGCAGATGAAATTATCTCGGTTCCCCAGGAGAAGAGTGCGCCAGATGCCGAAACATCGATTGCACGTCCAGAACCAAAGCCGGCAACAGGGGATGCTTCGCCGCATGTATCCAACACCCATAGAATATCTCCCAGACTGAAGCCATGCGCAGCCTGGAAGAGGTCATTGCCAGTGTATCGGATAACACAAGCTCGACCCGAAACACAGGTTTTCGCAACTCCAAGGAGGCTGGGTCCAAGCAGATGCAGAGTGCCGGCATCGACGAAGTGCGCTTGGGAACCCTCTGACATGCAGTCAAAGGCTGCACACCAGCAAAGGCGGTAGCCACCGCCAGCAGCCGACACGATGAGAGATGACTTCCAAGAAGCTTCTGCTATATCTGTAGCTGCTACCAGCTGACCCGCATGAGGGAACTTCGGTATAACAGGAAGCATCTCGCCAGGCTCTGAACATGTCTCTAACACGAGCAGACTATCGTGCACCCGCAAGCCTCGGCCCAAAAGAGCTTGAATTTCGCATATCTGACCGGCCATACAGGTGCGATGCTGATTTGCAGCAGGGCCTCGCACGACCAGCTCGCCAACATCGACACCTGAAGTGCAGAGGAAGTCGGCAGCGCACCAGCATAGCCTGTACTGCCCACCCGTCAAGGCGAGGACTTGTGAGCTGCCGTTGCTGAATGAAACAGCAGTTCGGCTCATGTCCGTGGTGTTGACTGGCAAGAACTGCAGCTGTCCGCCCCAGACCGTGGAGCCACAGGTGTCCTGCACAAGCAGCCGATCTCCATCCGACAGCCCTACACCTGAAAGCCCATCCACGACACATGTGGTTCCGTCGGAGCAGGTGCGGCTAGTGCCAAGGGGCAGCGGACCAACGAGAGTGAAAGGACCGATGTCGACACCAAATTCTGACGGAGTCGAACACATTTGGCCGCCGGCGCACCAGCACATTCGGAAAGTACCACCTGCAGTAGTCAGCACGAGCTCGCCCCAAGCAACCATGGCCGTTTGGCTGCCGGAACTGGGAAGTGATGTGTTTCCGAACTGAAGCAGCGAAGGCAAAGGCAAGTTTTGCGACATGCCTGTGTTTTGAAGCGTCAGCACGACATAGTCCGAAGCTTCATCAGACACGAGTGAACATATTGAATACAGTTGGCAGGACCCAACACTTCGGGTGTCTGCAGGGATGCTGACGTTGCTTTGGGAGTCTTTGAACATCGCAGCAACACATGATGTGTTGCTGAACACATCGACGTGTGCATTGCAAAGCGCCCGGCATTGGGAGGCGCTTGAAGTGGATGTCTCCACGATAACCATGAAGTCTTGCAAAGGCACGGTGCCGACGATTGAGGCCCTTCCACAGTGTCCCCTGGTGGTCTGTACTTTGGGAATAGAACTGTCCACGCCACAAGTGTCCAGCAACAACAGGCTATCTTGCCCTGAACCGTCCCATACTTGTATTGGAAATTCGCACGTCTGGCCGCTCACACACGTTCGTTCCTGTTGAAGTGGGAAAGGTCCGATCACGTCCAGCTTGCCGAAGTTAACTACATATTCTGCAGCAGAAACACACGGCGGGGAGCTGCCTGCAGCCAAGGATGAGCACCAGCAGAGCCGGTACTGCCCACCTGCCACCTCCAAGATGGGCACATTAGTCGCGTTGGTCGGCACATCGTTGCGGGTGGACGTGGCACCGAGGGATTTGAAGAACAGCCCATCCCACCCCACTGATGCAAAGAGCGGGGATGCGAAGCTGGTACCTCCGCAGGTGTTGTGGATCATGACCATATCGCTGGATGACAGAAGGAGTCCGCCTAGGCCGTGCAGACCGCATGGCTGTCCAGAAACACATGTAAAGTCCTGATGCAAAGGAGACGGACCAATGAGGATCAGCGCACCTACATCTACCGTGAAGTGATTTGGGCGTTCGCAAGCCGGTACTGCCTGGTCTTGCCAAGGACGGGTGGTGCACCAGCACATGCGGTAGAAACCACCGGCGGCTGTGATTGAAGAGAATACAGCAGCAGATCCACTGGAAAGAAGAGGCAGCGCAACAGAAGTTGACCAGCGAGGTACAAGACCTGTGGAGGTGCCGCAGGTGTCCAGGACCAGAATGCGGTCGGCATCATCAAGGCCGTAGCCGGCAACATCACCAAAACGACGAGGATAACCGCTGACACAGGTTCGCTCGTGGCTGCGAGGGCCAATTATGGTGAGCCCTCCGAGATCCACGTTGAATTCCTGTGAGGCCGAGCAAGATTTTACTGCACGGGAGCACCAACACAGACGATACTCTCCAGCTGGCAATGTGCCGAATGCCACCGAGACTGTCCCAAAAACAGCATCGTACGATTGACAAGTGTCATGACAGTCAGGAGTTCCGTCCCCGTCTTGGTCCAGGTCTGGTGTCCCACAGTCACAAGCAGCTGGAAACACCTTGAAGGGATCACTTGGGCACAGGTCCAGGCAGTTTGGAGTTCCATCACTGTCGTCGTCCTCATCCTTCACCCCACAGCCACACACACCTGCTGAAGTCTTGTTGAAATCGAGTGGGCACTCGTCCATGAAATTCGGCACGCCATCATTGTCGAAGTCTTCGGCCGCAGCGGGACAGCCCGCAGCCCCGCCAGCGTTGTCAGGAAGATTGGGACACTGATCACTACAATCAAGAGTCCCGTCTGCATCTGAATCCACATCCATGGTGGCACAACCACAGACGCCCGGCAAGCTCTTCGCGGGATCATGGGGACACCTGTCGCGACAGTCGGGAACTCCATCCGCATCGCTGTCTTCGTCTCCGTGGCCACAGCCGCAATTTCCCACTGCGCTTTTGTGTGGATCTCGTGGGCACTCGTCTGTGCAGTCAATGACACCATCACCATCTGTGTCATTCATGGACTCAGCACAGCGGCACGGGTTTGCATAGCCACCATGCCCGACGACATTCTGAGATGTGTAACTCCAAGCGAGCGGGCTTCCACAACTCTCTAGGACCGCGTAGGCATCACCCTCCGTGAGGAAATGTCCCACGATGTCGTCCACAGTGCAGGGATGTCCTGCCACGCATGTCCTGTCCTGTCCGGACTTCCACCCATCTTGCGCCGATAGAACCAGGGTCTCGGCCGAGCGCGCAACAATGCTGCAATGGCTCCAAAGAGTGCAGAAGCCGGACTGCCTAGAGTACTCTGCAGCAGTGCATGTGGGTCCAGTCGTGTTTGAGACCTGAGAAGCACAGCGCAACCAACACGCAGTGATATCCGAGACATCGGCGAAAGCCAGCATAGATGAATTTGCGGGATCGCAATAAGCTGGCTTTCGTCTGAAATCCGATACCGTGCTTGAAGGCCCAACCATGTCGAGCTCGCCGATGTCCACCCTAAAATCCGATGCGCTATTGCAGTCATAACCGGAACTGCACCAGCACAGTCGATATGTCCCGCCAGAGGCAGAATAAACCGTCACATTGACTGGCAAAGCTGGGCCAGTGCCATTCTTCCCGTGCAAGCTCGGCATGGGGACTGTCCCCTGGCTGGGACCTTGCAAGCCGCATGTTTCCAAAAGCATGAGCCGGTCGTCAACTTGCAAGTTTTGCCCAGGAAGGCCTTGAAGGGAACAAGCAGTCCCGGACACACAAATGCGCAGCTTCGCAGCCCCAAATTGCATATCTGTGCTAGGGCCAACGAGGGTCACTGAGCCGGCGCTGACCCGGAAGGATTCTGCCAGCTTGCACGGGAAGGTAGATGCAGCACACCAGCAGAGCTGGTATGTGCCGCCGGCAGAAGTTACAAACTCCAGCACGCTACCTGCAACGAAGCCTGCCACCGCTGTGGAGTTCAAGAGAAGTTGAGATTGCATCGCAGGGAAGCCCAAGACCGGAGAAGGCGTTCCGCATGTGTCCAAAACCAGAAAGCGATCGTCTGCCTGAAGATGATAACCGGGCAAAGCTTTCATGAAACATGTCTGGCCACTGATGCATGTTCTGTCCTGTGGAATTGGGCCGATCAGTAGTAGGCCACCTACATCGACCCCAAAATTCTGGGCCACGTCGCACTCGGCATATCTTGAGCACCAGCAAAGCCGATACTGTCCACCAACTGATGTGTGCGCAGATTCCCCCCAGCTGATGAGCATGGAAGCATTCTGAAAGGATGCCCTCCCTTGCCCAGCCAATCTTGAGGGTGCTTGGACCCCGCAAGTCTCAAGAATCCAGAAAGAGTCATCCGGCGACAAAAGGTGCCCTGCAATGCGTTCAACGGCACAGACTTGTCCCGTCACACATGTCCGGTCCTGCTCGAAGAGTGGAGCTGGACCCACATGTGAGAACACCCCGAAGTCCACCTGGAAGTCGCCGTGGAGGCTGCACGAAAATCCTGTTGCACACCAGCAAAGGCGATAGGAGCCTCCTGCAAAGGTCTGTGTGTTAGCTGCACTAACAGCATCCAAATTAGTCTCGAGGCTTGTGTTGAACGTGGGGGCACTCAAGGCCTCACTTGTCATCCCACACGTATCCAAGACTCGAATCAGATCCGTTTGCTGGACGCCCAGCCCCTGCACACCTTCAACTCGACAAGTCAGGCCAGCGATACAAGTCATCTGTTGAGACAAAGGGAAAGGCCCAATCAGCATCAGTTCGCCGACGTCCGTTTCAAAGTCTGGCATGAGGCTGCAGCTGCCATGTGTTGCGCACCAGCAAAGTCGATAGAATCCACCTGCTGACGTCAATTGGCCAGCAAGCCAACCTATCGAGCGCCCCGCATCCAACGCTACTTGGGGAGAAAGAATCTCAGAGGTGCCTCGTGATGAGTTGCTTGCGGGTGCAAAGACCCCGCACGTCTCCAGAATCAGCATTGGGGTTGCCGAGAAGTTGGCCACATAAGGATGATGGGGAATCACGGAACTGCTGGTATCAATCAACCGGCGAATGAAGCAACTTTGACCGCTGACGCAAGTTCGCCTACTGCGTATATCTTCAACACCCAGTAGCCGCAGGGAGCCAACATCTACGACAAAGTCTGCACGAGAACCACAGTTCGCTGTGGAGTAGCACCAGCAGAGGCGATAGCTTCCTCCCGCAGCAGAGACGGGCACCTGTCCGAAGCTGGCGCGGACTCCTTGGAAAGCGAAATCGTCGCTCTTCGGACAAAGGTCGATACAATCTGGAACGGAGTCGCCATCCTCATCGACCTCAGAGTTGCCGCATCCGCAGATGCCAGGGAAGGCCTTGCCGGGATCGTTGGGACACAAATCCAGGCAATCCGCCACGCCATCTAGGTCGGTGTCTACATCTGACACATGGCATCCACAGATTCCTGCCAGGGTTTTGCTGGCATCCATTGGGCACTGGTCCAAACAGTCAAGTACTCCATCCGCGTCCGAGTCGGCTGCAGTACAACAAGTGCCCCCAACAAAGTCTGGCCCAGGGCACTGGTCGTTGCAGTCTGGCACGCCGTCGCCGTCACTGTCCAAATCGAGAGCGCCGCAGCCACAGATACCTCTCCCGGTCTTGCCCGGGTTGTGCGGGCACTGGTCAAGGCAGTCCGGTGTTCCGTCACCGTCAGAGTCAATGTCGGGCGTGCCACAGCCGCACCAGCCAGGATGTGTCTTCAAATCCATGGGACAAAAATCGCCACAGGTCGCACAAAGAGACTCGTTGGTGCCGGGTGGATAGGCACTGCAAAGTGAGGACGTGCATCCACATTGTCCGGAGATGTGGAGAACGCTGCCCTCGTGTGGAAATCGGCTTGCAACATCTTGCACCCCGCAGGTATGCAAGACCAGGAAATGATCATAGATGGACAAGTGGTTGCCGCCGATGTCATCCAAAAGGCACGTCATGCCGCTGATGCAAGTCCAAGCTTGACCGAGGGTTGGCCCGACCAGGGTCAAAGTGCCGGTGTCTACTTTGAAATCCGAGCCATCTTCACAGGAGGACGCATTGGTTTCCAATAGACCGCACCAGCAAATCCTGTAGAGGCCCCCTGCTGCCATCAACGTGGCCGTGGCCTGCCTCTGCGAGGCAAGGCTTAGCTCGATGCCGGGGCCCAGGCCCATCGCGCTTGGAAGGCCGGCCGTCCCACAGGTTTCTAGAATCAGCAGTCTCCCCATCTTCGCCGTGTGCTGAAAGTGGCTGAAATCGCAGGTCACACCAGCAATGCAAGTGAAGTCTTGCTGCAAAGGCAGCGGCCCGAGTACGCTCAACTGGCCAATTCGCATGCCAAAATGCTGAAGGTTCTGGCAAGTCTGATTTGCAGTGTCACTCTCGGCTGCGCACCAGCACAAGCTGTAGCGTCCAGCGGGCGCCAGGAGTGGTGCGGCTGCGAGGCTTTGCACTGTGGCTGACAGAGGCCAGCTCCTGACCGGCAGACCTGATGTTGTCAAGCCAGTCGCTGAGCAAGTATCCAGCACCATGAGCTGAGCAGCTAGATTCTCTATTCCAAGGCCTTCAAACCTTTCCACGATGCATCGATGTCCACTAATGCATGTCCTGTGCTGCTCCAGCGGTACAGGGCCTCGAAGGTACAGCTGTCCGAAATCCACCCGGAAGTCTTCCTCAAAGTCACAAGGCAGGGTTTTTGAGCACCAGCAAAGCCGGAAGAGCCCCGCCCGCAAGGGAGCAAACGTAAGCTGACTGCCTCGTGAAGTGCTCGAAGCGTTCCCTGTGAAGGGCATGACACTTGGCACCGCTAAGCCGCAAGTCTCCAAGATCAGAATTTGGGAATCCAAGCCACCAAATTGTGACATGGTGATCGGGCATGTAACTCCAAAAACACATGTCTGGTCTTGCCGAAGAGGCGCTGGACCCAGCAAGTCCAATGCCCCGACCTCGACACGGAAATGTTCAGGCACGTCGCAGGAACCCAGCGTCGCTTCCGGTGAGCACCAGCAAAGACGGTATGTACCGCCACCCAACGTGCTGATGCCCGTGCTGGACACCCGTCGAGAAACTGCAATGGTCAGGTTGGACACTGCTTCTTCCGACAAGAAATGCTGAGAAGCAGACATTCCGCATGTGTCTGACAGAAGGAGGCCGCCGCCGCCCGCAAAGCTGCTTTGCCACTCTGCAATCTGGAAGCTCTTCACCACACAAGCCTGACCACTGACACAAGTGCTGGCCACAGAGCTGATTGGTGCGAGGACATTCAAGGCCCCGAAGTCGAGGCCGGGCAAACTGCTGTCGGCACAGCTTCTGCCCTGGCTTCCCTGGCTCAGACTGCCGGAGCACCAGCACAGTCTGTACTGGCCTGCTGGCACATTGAGGAACAGCGCCCGCCATGACGTGTTGGTGTCGCTTGTCAAAGTGGCCCATACCACCCCACCACCTGAATGCTGCACCATGTCCCAGGACTCTAAGCCTGTTGGAGGTGACAGCATCTCTCCACCACAGCTTTCCAAGATCATCACCCTATCGCTTGCAGACATGAGCCAGCCCGCAATGCCATCCAACAAGCAGGTCTGTCCACTGATGCACGTGCGATCTTGTGCGTGAGGACTCGGTCCAAGAACATGGAGGGCACCCAGATCAAGACGGAAGTCCTCTGACCTGCTGCAGATAGCGTTTGCTGCGCACCAGCAAAGTCTGTATTCACCACCCAAGACCTGCAAAGGGAACGACCATGTGACTGACGCAGCTGCCAGGTTGCTTGAGCTGACGCTCAACGTCATGTGCGTTTCATTCGAGCCCGGATTGAAGCCGGCAGGTGTGCTTGAGGCTGCGCATGTGTCGAGCACCAACATGCTGTCAAACAGTGACAGTCCAAGTCCATGAATGCCCAGAATCTTGCAGGATTGGCCGGCAACACAGGTTCGTGAAATGTCCGTGTCAGAAGGGCCAAGCAGGGTAAAGCTTCCAAAGTCCACTCGGTAGTTTTCTGGGTAGGCACAAACACCATCACCTGAGACGTTGGACTGGTTGTGGAGCCAGAAGGATGTGTTGTTCCACGCTGTGCTGTCAGACTCGTTGAGCCTGGTCGAAGAATCGCCACACCAGCAGAGTCTGTATTCGCCACCCACAGCAGAGATGGTGGCATCATCCCAGAATAAGGATGCACTGCGATCAAAGCCTGCGAAGAGTGCAGAGATGCCTCCACCACCCCATCGCTGCACAGTCGATGCTGTACCACAGGTGTTGAGGATCGCGACCCTGTCCGAGGATTTTGTCCAGTCGACACCCGTCAAGCCATTTATGCTGCAGCTCTGCCCCGAGATACATGTGACTTCTTGGTTGAGTGGGGCCGGACCACGCAAAAACAGCGTGCCAAAATCAACAGCATGGTCTAGAGAGATTGCCGTCGCGGAAGCATTCACATGCGACATCCCAGCACTCCAGCAGAGCCTGTACGTACCACCGGCCGCACTGACTGGGACGGTCCATGCAGGTTGAGATCCACGAGTCCAGAACGTGTCTGCTTGGCCGGACAGCGGAAATCGGGGTACGAGTGCTGCATGTCCACAAGTTTGCAGGGCAATGATATTGTCAGAATCCGACAGGCCAACCCCCGCGACATTGTCGATCTGGCATGTTTGACCTGAAGCACAAGTCCAATGCTGTACTAAAGGCGACGGACCGAGCACAGTCAGAAGCCCGACATCCGTTAAGAAAGCATCACGAGTGGCAGGATTGCATCCAAACGTGCTCTCCAGCGTGGTGTTGGTGTACACGAAGCTGTCATTGCCTGGTGTTGTGACCGAACACCAACACAAACGATACTGGCCACCCATTGATTCGAGGGGCCGGTAGGCAACTCTGACGAAGGCTCCACTTGCCTGCACAGGGGCGGCTGCTGCTGTGCCTTGCACCCACTCCTGGCCACAGGTCTCCATAACGAAAAGACGGTCTGATTCCAGCCCCTTGCCGTCAAAGCCTTCTAAGACGCATTCCATACCACTGACACAAGTCTGTCCGTGATCGAGCGGCACTGGTCCGAGCACATGAAGTTCTCCAACATCAAGGTGGAAGCAGTCCAGCACCACTGACTGATTGCCGGTATGGTTGGAGGCCAAGGAATACGTCACGTTGCCGATGTCCTGCAAACCAACCATCGGGCACCAGCACAGGCGGAAAAGGCCGGATGCCACCAGCAACCCAAAATCTGCCACTGAGCCACTCGAACCCAGTGTACTGGAAGCCGCAAGCCGTGGCTTTCTGGCACCACCTGCCAAAACTCCCACTTCGGCGCATGTATCCAGAACAGCAAGCATGCTGTCCTGCGAGACAAAGCTTCCAGTCAAGCCCTCCAATCGACAGCCACGGCCGCTGACACAGGTCCTGGACTGCCCGGTGTGTGGACCGATCAGTCTCAGCTCACCGATCGGAATGCGAAAGTGCTCTGCTGCATCACAGTTCTGGTAGGCGGCGCACCAGCAAATCTTGTACAAGCCCCCTGAAGCCGAGATCGGCGCGCTGTTCCAGACTATGGTTGCCCCGCTGCCTGACACACCCTTGACCATGCCTGCCTCTGGCAACTTAGCTGTTACTCCAGCACTCCCACAAGTGTCCAGAATGAGTGCCCTGTCGCCAGAACGGAAATCAAAGGTCACCCACCACATGTTGTGCCAACGAGGGAAGCCAACACTTTCCCACCTAGAGGTGAGCAGGTCACTGTTCTGGTCGATGAGCTTATCGGGGCCGAGTGTTTGTGGGTTGGAGCCAGATGTTTTCCATGAGACGCCGGATGCAGAGAACACCCAATCCGACGGAATGCGCTCCACCCAGACCATCTGGCTCAGCCACTGCACTTCTCGAGGCTTCGGCTGCCAACCGGAGGTAGTTTCAAGCACCAAAAGCCTGAAGAAGGGAGCCGTCGTTTCATTGAAGAAGACTTCCTGCCAGTCTGACGTCCCAGTCTCCAGATCGAAGAAACTCAAATCCACAAAGGGCCCTACAGATGTGGCAAAGCTCACTTGAACTTTGGCCCGCGTAATATCAAACAGAACAGATCCATCCTGCTTTAGACGAAGCCCGGATATGTCCGGCAAGCGGTCTTGGTTGAGATGAAGACCTGCGCAAGCTTCGTGCGAGATGTCTGCACATCCAAGCCCGCAGCCCAACACAGAACAACGACAGAAAGAAAAATACATGTCGATAGAGATGCAGATGCAAACATCTGCTACATGCCTAAAAAGCTCGATACATTCGCAGGTATACATGTGTGTATGTATATATATATACATAACATACATATTATATATATATATATACATACATATATACATACATACATACATACATACATACATACATACATACATACATACACACACACACGCCAATACGGACGAATACATGCATCTCCTTATGCACGAACAACTATGATACTATTGATGTATCTACCCTAGATCCTCTGTCCATCTATGGTAACCCCAACCAGTTGGAAACCGGATTAACGACAATTGGTGCAGGGATTGCTTATACGTTACTCTTAGAAATTGAGGCTACTGGGTTTCCAACTTTTGGACTTCTACTGTATCCTCTATCCATCTATCCATGGCTATCCATCCTTCTGTCCATCAATCCATCCATCCATCTACACCAATACGGACGAATACAGGCATCTCCTTATGCCTAAATAACTATGGTACTGTTGATGCATCTACCCTAGATAATCTATCCATCTATCCTCTATCCATCTATCCATGTGGCTATCAATCCTTCTATCCATCCATCCATCCACCCACCTACCCACCCAGCCAGCCGGCTGGCCAGCCAGCCATCCATCCTGCATCCGTCCTGCATCCATCCATCCATCCATCCACCCATCCACCCTTCAATACCATCTGTCTACGCTATCTGAGCCAGATCTATCCATTCGATCCGACCTATCTGCTCTTTCTAACTTGTCTGGTCTAGGCAATACCTGCCAAAGTACGCAAATAATTTCGAGAGAACATGTATGTGCAAGCACTCGCACCCAAGAAAGAAAGCGAGAGAGAGAGAGAAACAAAAAGAAAAAGAGAAAGTGCCAGCGAGAAAACCTACGGGAGTCCGCGCGTGTGCGCGCGCGTGTGTGTGTGTGCAGATGTACACGCAATGCGTGCTACCTACGACACAGACACACACAGACACACGTGTGGCACGTGTAAATACATGTCTTTTGGCCGTTCGCTCCAGCCAAATGCATGCACGGTCATATGACCTACAAGTACTACCTATCTATCTGCCTATCTATCTACCTGCCTACCTAGCTCGCTAGCTAGCTATCGTTCTATTTATCCGTACACATACATACAACGCATGAATACATGTATGTATGTATGTATGCATGCATGCATGCATGCATGCATGCATGCATGTGTGTGTGTGTGTTTGTTTGTTTGTTTGTTTGTTTGTTTGTGTATCAGAAATTTATGATGTGATTAATTGACTAGCTGATTATCTAACTGAGGCGTTTGTAGATAGAGATACATTGCAGAATATGTTGTACAAGTGTCTGGGTCGGACAACAGTGCACTGAAGAGGGCATGGCTCTGGAGAGAGGGTGCGCAGACTTCAACAGTCTCGACAGCTGAATGCCCTACCTTGAATGCCATCGATCTGGCATGTCAGCCCACTCACGCAAGTGCGGTGTTGCGCCAAAGGCCGAGGCCCCACGATCTCAATGGAGCCGAAGTCTGTTTGAAAGTGCGCAGAGTCATAGCAACCCTCGGTGCTGTTCTCGAAAGGGTCCAATCCAGCACACCAGCAAAGGCGATAGGTGCCTCCGGCGAGCCTTAGAGGCTCTGTGTTGTACATGGCCATGTCAGAGACATTTTGCTGCCCAGCAAGAGCTTGCGCTGGTCCGAAGTAAGTGCCCGGAAGCTGCATACCCAGCCCGCAAGTTTCCAAGAGAAGCACTCTGGAACTCAGCATTCCGGTCACACCCCCCACCTCCACCTTGCAGGACTGGCCACTGATGCACGTCTGGCGCTGGTCCCATGGGGCCGGACCGATGACTTGAAGAGTCCCGGCATCTGTCTGAAACTGCTCCCATTGCCTGCAGTCCTCCGTGGTATTGATGGAAAAATTCCACATGCCTTCCAGGCTCGGCATGCACCAGCACAGTCGATATTGGCCACCTGGTGCCGTCAGCATGCTGCGCCCCCACCGAACGACCTCGATTTCGTTGTTGACGCTCCTTGCTTGGGCGATGCCACATGTTGCCAGAATGGCAAAGTAAGACGTCGAATCCATGAAGTGGCCCGTCAGGCCAACGCTTAGGCATGTCGTCCCGCTAATGCATGTGCGGTGCTGCGACAATGGAGAGGGGCCTATTACATCCAAAGTTCCCACTTCCAGGCGGAAGTCCTCCAGAGCACAGGGGAATGAGGCCGAACACCAACACAGCTTATACTGCCCGCCCGCACTGGACATCCTGATTCCACCCCAACTTACGCTGCCAGAACTAACACTGAGAGTGTAGCCAGTGAGAGGCAGGCCGGATAACACCGAAGTGCCTCCACAACTGCTGGATACTTGCCATGCGTCGCCCACCTGCAGCCCTTCACCTGCGATCCCGTCGAAGCTGCAGAGCCTCCCACTCATGCACGTGCGTGCATATTGCAAGGGAGCTGGGCCGATCAGCGACAAACTGCCAACATCGACACTGTAGCGCAGAACCGAGTTACAAACGCCATCACCACACCAGCAAATTCGAAACTTGCCACCTGTGCCAAGGACAACACTATCTCCCCAGTACGCAGATGTGCCGCTTGCCGCAACTTTTGAGGCAACCGCAGCAGCCGGCCAACCACGTACCACCGCATCCGGGAGTGCACAAGTGTCCATAACCATGAAGCTATCTGCATTTGTTGCTGACTCCAGCTCCAAGCCGTCGATGAAGCATGTCTGCCCAGACACACAAGTGCGGTCCTGCCCAAACGAGGGCCCAACGAAGGAAATAGAGCCCACATCTACTCGGTGCTGGTCTGCTGAAGGACAGGAGAAGCCAGATGCACACCAGCACAACCGATACCTGCAAGAATTGAACATGGACAAGCAAGGACAAAGACCTACCGTCTTGTTCTGAGTCCTACAGCATGGCAGAGAATGACTTCGAACCGTTTGTTGAAGCCTGCCTTCCACCCGCAGGTGTGACGGTACTCCACGTGACTCGCAAACTCTGCTCACTGGCAGGCCGTCGATCCTCAGCAATTCAACAACACATGCGCTTGCAAACTCAGAATTGGCAATAGCATCTGCAGCCTCAGTGAGTCTGAGGTCCGGTCCGTGTTGTTCGTGCCGTTGATGGTCATCACGGCAGTGCCAGTCGCCACAACTGTGCTTTGTGGTACACCGCTCACAAGCGATGTCGACCCACAGGTGTCCAAGACCATGAAGGAGTCATGCGCAGACAAGCCCAGCCCCGTGATGCCCTCGATGCTGCATGAGAGGCCACTCACACAAGTTCGATCTTGAGCCGCCTCGGAATGGAGAAATAGCACCTCAGAGTTCGACCCGTCTGTAGAGACAAAATCTTCACACGTCCGGAGAAGGGCACAGTTGGAGGAGTTGCCGAAGCTGTAGAACTGAGCTGCAGTTACTGTGGAAGGAGCATACCTGCCAAGCTCAAAGCACTGCGCCTTGGTAGCCTCGCCATGAAGGCTAATCTGCTGACTAACTGCACAGCTGCCACGCAGCCATCTGTCGTACTCGTTGAAGTTGGCAGTGGGTCCAACTACATGTAGTGCTCCAACATCAATCACAAAGTGCTGTCCACCGCCCTCTGCGCAGTGGTCGCCTGCCGGGCACCAGCACAGCCTGTGCACGCCTCCACCGCTTGTAAAGGGAGTGGGTCCCCAGGAGACACGGTACGAATCAGGCAGCGAATAATTGTAAGCTCCTTGTTCCAAGCTCGCAGGGTCAGTACCATTTGGGTAGATTTCCCCTAGAAGTGGAATGCCTCCTGGCAGAAACGAAGTCCCACAGGTCTCGAGAATCATGAAGGCATCACCTGCATGTAGATGGGTTCCACGAATGCTGTCTAAGGAACAGGTCTGGCCAGCAACGCATGTGCGATCTTGGTATGCATGCGGACCTCGCAGCACGACCTGGCCACTCGGGACAACGAACCTCTCAGCTGCCGTGCACGCGTACACATCCACGGCCGAACACCAACACAGCTGGTACGTTCCCGCCGGGGCAGTCACAGCTTGGCTCCAGGTGATACCGATGACAGGCTCAGTAGTGCGGCAGCCCTTGGTGCCGGGCATGACGGAGCACGACACACTTCCGTTGCTGCTGAAGGACAGATTCTCATTCTGCTGTGCCCAGCTCCAATCAGCCGAGATCCAGGACTGGTTGCCCTCAGGCGTCCATGACGGAACTGTTAATCCAGGCCCAAACCCAACGGGAGATGCTGTCCCACATGTCTCCAGCACCAGGAACACGTCCTCCGCAACCAGGCCCTGGCCTTTGATGCCATCGAATCTGCAGACCTGCCCACTTATGCAGGTGAATGCTTGACCGGCCTCTGGGCCCAGAACTGTAAGAGCTCCGAAAGGCACTGAGAAGTCCAAGCTAGACCGGCAATGTGAGGATCGGTTACTTTCATTTGCACCTTCGTTGTCGGAAGTGCACCAACAGAGTTGATAAGTTCCACCCTGCAGAGTCAGCACTTCCCACCGCATCTGTCCGCTGCAGTCGCTCGCTGCCACCGGAGAGTTCGATGGGAATGCTTGGGCACTGCCGCATGTGTCCAAGATCATAGCGAGCCCATGAAGTTGTCCTTCCAGACCGTCAATGATGCATGACAAGCCAGCCACGCAGGTTCGCTTCTGCACCGAAGCTGCTGAATACCATGGGCCCTGCAAAGTGATGGTGCCTATGTCCACGATGTACTCATGGCTATTCGAACAAGCTTGCGTGACACTGCACCAGCACAACCTGTACTCTCCACCAGGAAGGCTGCCGGGCAGGTCCTCCCAAGAGAAAACGGCACCACTTGCCTGTGCCGGGCCTGCGAGCCACGAGTTTGCAGAGTCCGAATAAAGGAAACCACTCGGACCCTTTGATGCCGTGCCACACGTATCCAGAATCCAGAGCTTGTCTCCATCAGCCAAGTCTTGGCCAAGCACACCATCCACGACGCACCTCCTTCCTGCAACACAAGTTCGATGCTGTTGAAGAGGTGTCGGACCCAGGAGGACAAGACCCCCAGCATCTGTTCGGAAGGACTCAGACACGCTGCAAGTGCTAAGGCCACTGCACCAGCAAAGCCGGTATGTGCCTCCAGCAGCACTCAAGGGGCTTCCAGGAAGGACGGTGCTGTTGGGAGCCAACACAGAGACCGTCAAACTAGTGTCGCCGACCCTTTCAATCAAGGAATCAGCCAGACCGCATGTGTCCATGAGCATGTAGCTGTCAGTGTCCAACAACCCATGCCCAAGCAGGCCCTTGATCATGCAGGGTTGGCCGCTGACGCAGGTCCGAGACTGCTTGATGTCCGGTCGCGCTTTGTCAGGGAAAAGGAGTAGCGTGTCCTCGCTGGAGTCTGCCAGGACCGTGCATTCCAGCATAATGCTGCAGAGGCCGACATCCGAACCACGATCTGCAAACAGTGCAACGATGCAGGTGTCTGGGTATTGGGCATCACATGTGGCACGGCAAGCATCCATGGTGAGGTTCAGGTATGCAGACCCTGCCCGAGGAGCAGGTTGCAGTGGCCGCTTTCCACAGTGACCCCGTTGCGTTGGAGCCCAGTGACCCAAACCATTCGGTCCGAGCACCTCCAGCTTGCCGGCATCGACCTGCTCTGAAAGGCAGCTGCTCAAGCTTGAATTCTCACCGCTCCAGCCACACCAACACAAGCGGTACGTGCCACCTGCATTAGTAAGGCTGGTGTGCCATGTAACCACCATACTGGAAGGGCTTGTTAAGTTGTCCGCCTCGAACTGTTGGACAGAAGCCACCATGGGAAAGCCGGCCACAGGCGTGATGCTACCGCATGTTTCCAACACGAACCAGCTGTCTCTTTCTGATAGGTGCAAGCCCTGCATGCTTTCTATTCGGCATGTCTGCCCGCTGACGCAGGTGCGATCCTGTGCCATAGGATGCGGGCCTATGATCTGCATATGACCGAAAGCAACTGTGAAATCTCTGGAGTTCTGGCAGGGCTGCACAGTTGCATTCCATGTCAGGCTTGCCAAACTTTCTGTCCCGTTGGAAGCATTGGCTCCTTGTGGGGCTTGGGGGCACCAACACAGGTTGTATTGCCCGCCCTGCATGGTAAGCCTGGCGATACTGACAGCATCCAATTTCAGCTCTACGTTCAACTGCACATCCCCTTCTGAACCACAAGTGTCCAGAATCATTATCGCATCCTGGCTGAGCCCCACACCGGTCATTGCATCTGTGCTGCAGGAATGCCCACTGACACATGTGAAGGCCTGCTGCAAAGGTGCTGGCCCCAGTACCGTGAGCGCGCCGATGTCAACACGAAAATCTGTGTGTAGTACGCAAGACGAGTTCGACTCAAAGCTGGAATTTCTCCCTGCGCCCGAACACCAGCACAAGCGGTAGCTGCCGCCGACGGCTACACTTTCACCATCCATCCACTGCCAAAGACCTCGCACAGGCGAAAGAGCCACAGCCAGTCTTGCTTCGGAGCCATCGGAAACCACTGGAGCCTCCGCTTGGCCACAAGTTTCGAGCACAGCTAGTGCATCCCTTTCGGTGAGGCCTGTGCCGCCTATGCCTTCGATGACGCAAGGCCATCCACTTACACAGGTTCTGTCCTGGCTTAAAGGTGATGCACCAATGACGAACAAAGTCCCTGCATCTGCCGTGTAGTCCATGGCTGATGCACAGGGGTCTGATACATTAAGAGGTTCTGGTGCACACCAGCACAGTCGATACGCACCCCCTGCAGCTGTCAAGGGAACCACTCCCCAACTAACCGTAGTACCACCTGTGGCAATATCAACCGCATGTCCACTTCCTGTGAATCGCTGGGTAATGCTGGGAATGCCACAAGTAGCCAGGAGCAGATAAGAATCGTTGCTGCTGAGGCCCAGCCCAAGTACGGAGTCGATCACACAACGCTGGCCACTGATGCACGTGAAGCTCTGGTCTGCCGAAGGGCCAACGAGGTGCAAGCTCCCGACATCTACCCTCTGTGAAGGCTGGGGGCATGGACTCCGGCTGAAGAAACTGACATTGAAAGGAGAACTGGCATTGCTGGCAAGCATCGCCCACTCAGATGGAGTCAGGGTCTGATTTTCCACAGCACGTTCCCTGGGCACGCCGTCTGCACACCAACATAAGCGGTACTCACCGCCAGGCACGGTCAGTTCCATGTCCCACAAAACTGAGCTTCCCTGGGAGCCGTTGACAGGCAAAGCGCTAGTCGCAGTCCCTCTTCCCGTCACGGCACATGTCTCCAGAATAAGGAACTCAGCGTTCGTTGACAACACACCTTGTATGTGAGACACTCTGCAGCGTTGTCCCCGGATGCATGTGAAGGACTGGTCAGGTGCGCTGGGACCTTGCAGCACCATCTCACCTAGGTCCACGCTGAACTCTTTGAATGAGCCGCATGGAAAGCCATGGCCACACCAACAAATTCTGTAGCTTCCTCCACTGGCTGAGACGGGTGAAAGGAAGGCGACATCAGTACCCTGATTCCCGGAGGATTCAAGGAAACCGCTTGGCGACTCAGGAACCAGGCTGGCGGCTCCACAAGTGTCCAAAATGAGATACATATCTCCTGCCTGCAAGTCCGTGCCTGCGATGCCTCTGTGGTGACATGGCCAACCGGCCACACAAGTTCGGATTTGATTCAGCGAAGGGCCCACGATGTACAGCTGCCCATAGTCTACCAGGAAGTGTTCGGGCTGCTCACAAAGATGTAGAGCAGAAGCATTCACACCATCTTCAGACCTGGTTGTACACCAGCACAGTCTGTATTGGCCTCCTTGCATAGTTTGCACACCATTCCATTCGAAAACGAGTTCTCCATCTCTCTGAGTCGTAGATGCAGGCTGCATGGTAGATCTTGGAACGTAACCGTCTGAAGATCCACAGGTATCTAGCAAAAGCAGAGAATCTTGAACGGATGCATGTGGATCGTGGAGGCTCCTAATCTGACAGGTCTGCCCACTGACGCAAGTGAAGGACTGATCTGGATGAGATGGCCCAAGTAGGTATAGCCTTCCAAACTCTTGCCCGAAACGACTGGAATCACTGCAGTTTGGAACCGTTACAAAGGATGGAGAGACAGGGGATCTTGCCAGAGCAACTGCTTCACTCTGCGTGCACCAGCAGAGCTTGTACTGTCCACCATGTGCCGTGACGACTTTCCAGACGAACGATGTCGCGTTTGCAAACATGTTAGACATGCCCGCGCTGACGACCCCAGAAACATATGTCGGAGATCCGCAGGTGTCCATTAACATGGCTCTGTCTGCACTGGAAAGGCCGACACCCAAGATGTTTCGGACACGACACATCCTGCCGCTGACGCACGTGCGATGTTGATCTGCTGCACTGGGTCCCAGTAGCCACACTTGTCCGACATCAATCGCATAAGCCGACTCAGAAGAGCAGCCAACATGGCACCAGCAGAGTCTGTACAATCCACCGTAAACCGGAATGTTCACAAGAGTATGCGCAGCCGGAGACTCTGTGAAATTCGTTAGTACATTGCGCGCGGTAGGTGATTGCATTGGCACTCCACAAGTATCCAGAATCAGCACGCTGCCAGGACTTTGCGAACTTAACAGGTGTCCATCCGTGTGCCGCACATTGCAAATTTGCCCGGCTACACATGTCAGAGCTGACTCCGCAGGTCTGGGCCCGACGACATGTAGTTCGCCGAAGTCTGTTGGGTACTCCTCCGGCAACTGGCAGCCGCTGACATTCAGGCCATCCTCTGTGGTAGCCCAGCTTTCGTTCGGCCCTGAATCAATAATGCCTGACACCCTTCCACACCAACACAGGCGGTAGATCCCGCCGTATAGCAGCACCTCTGGCTGGAATTTCAAGACACCACCGAGTTCAACATGTGCCTGCACAGCATAGCCGGCAGACCCCAATGTTGCACACGTGTCCAGCACCATAACTCGGTCTTCACCGAAAGCAAAGAGATGCCCTTCCAGCCCGGTGACCTTGCAACTCTTTCCACTGATGCAGGTTCGGTCTTGGGAAAGAGGTGAGGGACCACGCAAAGACAAACTGCCGACTGTGGACACAAAGGACACTGAGGTTCTGCACAGATTTTCAACAGAGATGTTGCCGTGGATCGGCCGGTTCGTGCACCAACAAAGCTGGAACATGCCCCCGCCGACTGTGTGTGGCGTTACTCCCCAATGAACCACAGCGCCGCTCGACGTCACCTCAACATGCGAGCCCATGTTCACCAAAGACTCTACAACCTGATCGGCACCACATGTGTCTTGGATCAGATAATGGTCCAGGTCAGAGAGGTCTTGACCCTGAATGCCTTCGACAACACACGTTCGGCCACTGATACAAGTCCTGTCCTGCTGATTGAATGGGCCCTGTAGTACAAGATCACCTGCTTCCACAATGAAGTCGCGACCGTCTGCACATGGGCAGCCAGAGGCACACCAACAGAGCTTGTAATGCTTCCCAATGCCGACCAGACGCGAGATCGCCATCTGCACCGTGCTCGTGCTGACTTCAGGCTGCGAGATCGTGCTTTGCATTGCGAACTCAAACTTTTGTCCTTGTACTCCACATGTCTCCAGCACCCAGATGCTGTCGTTGGTCGAGATCATGTGGCCTTGAATGGAGGACTGGCAGGCACGACCACTGACGCAAGTCATCGCATGCGGATGGGGCCCTAAGAGGTGCAGGCTTCCCAAGTCAACAACGAAGTCGGCGAAGGTGTCGCAAGACATGGAGCTCGCGCTGCACCAACATAGCCTGTACTCACCTCCGACCGCGGTCACGGGCTCGCCTCCCCATGACAATCTCTGGCTGATCGGAATGCTGCTGCCATTGGCAGGAACTGTTCCATTCTCGCCGACTGTGCCGGGCACAGGCAGGCTTAGGCCACCAGCTGGCCAGTTTGGAATTAAAGAAGGCAGTCCACACGTGTCGAGAGCCAGGACGAGATCAGAGGGCTGAATGCCCAGCAGGAGAAAGCTGCAGGGCTGTCCACTGATGCAAGTGCGCGCCTGTGCAGGCCACGGGCTGGAGGCCACCAGTACCTGCAAGGGGAGGGGCTGCAAGGGGCGGCATATGAAGCTGATTCAAGGCAAACCACATTCCCACAAATATATGTGAAGACTAAGAATGCCAGCCGCCTGCGATATTCCTGATGCAGAACAACATGCTACAGTCCCACCTCTTGTGATGCAGAACCATGCCTCTGCTCCATGACTATCTATCAAACTGTACCACAGCTATCTGTCAGAATATACGATTTGCAAAATTGTATAGCTTGTGGCTTCCGCATCCCGGCCCTGCCTGAGTGTCGTTGCTCGGAACAAAGGAGACATCATCAGCCGACAAATTCTGGTCAGCGGGATCTGGAGACAGCACAGACACATGCCCCATATCCACCTGGAAATCCTGCTGCAGCATGCAGGAACTGCGGCTGAAGTTGCTGTGTCCGCTGACATTAAATGCTTCGGCACCCAGCTCTGCACACCAGCACAGCCGGTACATACCTGCAGGCAATGTAGGTGCACGCCACACACCACTACTCGGAATCTCAAACCTCACCGTTGTTGTGCTTTCCGCGGCAGCGGAAATCTCACCGCAAGTTTCGAGGACCGCAAAGACATCATTCGGACGCAGATGGTAGCCTGTGATCGGGCGAAGGTCACAGGCGTCGCCAGCAATGCAAGTGAAGTCTTGACCCAGGGGGGCAGGACCAATCAGGGTGAACTCGCCGACATCCACTATCCTGTCCGGTATGATGGTTCTGGTCATGTTGTTGGTCGCATTGGTGATATCTGCTGCGTCTGCCAGCCGCACAAGAGTGAAGTTGTCGCTTCCGTTCCACGTGCGGTTGAACTCCATCGCTGGACTGAAGTTATCTGACTGGAAGGCTGCCCAACAGAGGCGATACAAGCCCCCGGCTGCTGTTACTTTGGATGCCCCCCAGGAAACTTCCCCGTCCGATGCTGAGTCCATGAGGCCTGCATTTGTAAAGCGAGGCAGGACGCCGAGAGTCCCGCACGTATCCTGCACTAGGAAGGAGCCGAGCTCAGCTCCTGCACCCTGAACGCCACCTATCCTGCAAGTCTGTCCACTCACACACGTCCTGTCCTGCTGAAGAGGTCCAGGACCAAGAAGGTTCAGAGTGCCAAAGTCCACATTGAATGCAAGGTCACTGGGCTCATCTGTCATGTTGGTAAGGTTGAAGCTGCGTGCGCCAGAGTACCAGCAAAGCCGATAGGCACCACCAGCTGCGGAGGTCGGTGCATCCCAGCTGGCTTTTGCGGAACGGCCGGTAGAGGGAAGGACGGAGGCTTGCACAGGCATTCGTTGCACCCCTGCCGCAAGGATGCCGCACGTCTCCATCACGCGCACATAGCCGATCTCAGTCAAACCAAATCCCTGGAGCATGTCAACATGGCACTTCTGGCCTGAAGTGCAAGTCAAGTGCTGAAAGTGCGGCGACGGTCCAAGCAACATCAGGCTGCCTACATCCAATGCGAAGTCGCCAGTGCCGGAACAGGAGGCCAGAGAGGTGTTTGAAGCAGATGAGTTTGAGGAGTTGGGGAAATCCTCGGGGACTCTGGATGCGCACCAACACAGGCGGTAGGTGCCACCAGCAAGGAGGATGGGCGTGGAGCCCCAGGAAAAGGAGGAGCCGTCAAACATCCCTGTCATGACAAGCGTGTCCATGCCAACGCCGCACGTGTCAAGGACTGCAAGATGCTGGTTCATACCGAGGCTCTCTCCCTGAAGGCCGTCTATCTGACAAGGAAGGCCAGAGACGCAGGTGTAACCATGGCTGGTAGCTGCACCAATCACCAAAAGTTCCCCGAAATCCAAGCTGAAATCGGTAGGCTCTGAGCATCGAGCATGCCTCGAGCACCAACACATCCGGTACCTGCCCCCAGCAGTGGTGATGGGTATGGTTCCCCAACCAAACATCTCTAGAGTCTCTAGAGTCTCTGGTTCGGGCGGCATCGTCGCATTCCAGAGCCACGTCTCATTCACTGTGCTGCTCAAAGCCTGGCTCAATTGCCAGCTGTCCACTGCAAAGAAGCGGTCGACGACGCTGCGCACTCCACAAGACTCCAACAACAAAACTCGATCGTCAGCAAACACACCATATCCTGTAACAGCTTGTGCGGGGCAGGCGCGTCCGCTGACACACGTTCGATGCTGCCGATTGGGAGAGGGTCCAAACAAATGAAGGCTACCAGCCGGTGTCTTAAAGTCTGCAGGTGACTCGCAATGCGCACCTGACGCTAACACAGGCCTGCACCAACACAGCTGATACTTGCCACCCGGCCAGATAAGTTCACCATCAAATGCAACGGACGCCTGCGTTGTTCGCATGAACGCTGCGGATGCATCACTGGACTCCACAACTGTAATGGTTCCGAGACTGGAAACCTTCCGCATGAGCGCACCCATCGATGCATCTATGCCACAAGTGTCCAGGATCATGAGCAGGTCCGTTGCTACAAGATCCTGGCCCCTGAACGCCTCTATCGTGCATGTCTGCCCACTTGAACACGTAGCTTCGTTGAGGTGCGGGCCCGCAATGGAAAGACTTCCGATCGACAGGCGGAAATCCTCCATTGGATCCAAGCAGGCGCCGCCTCGCGCGCACCAGCAAAGTTGGTATCGGCCTCCCTGTGCAGTGATCGCTGTGAGAGCACCCCAGGACACCCGGGCGCCTGTTGATGTGACTTCCTCTGTAAACCCTGCGCCAGGAATGCCGTCGACTAGGGCAGCAGAGCCGCAGGTTTCCATCACCAGGAAAGCATCACCACCTCTGACGTCGAACACGACCTCCCACTTGTTGTAGGCTGCAGGCAGGCCGGCAGGAATCCAACCTCAGCTAGACATCAATGCCAAATGCTAAGCCAAAGCGAGTGCCCACTGTCAGAATTACCGAGCAGCAAGAGAATTGGAATCGAGTAGTGACTAGTAGACAGCATAATCGCAAGATGATAGGCCTGAAGGGGCAGCGAAATGACTTCTACAGCACATACGCAAGGGATATGAGATAGCAGAAGAAGTACTGAAAGCAAACAGGTTGGCAAGTGGTAAAATGTCAGAGGCTGAGCCTCGTTCGGGGCGGATGGTCAGAAGCTCCTTGCTGTGGTGGCGGCAAACGTGGCGTTAAGATGCCCTTTCTGGCTAGAGGCTAGGTTAGGGAAATGGATGTTGGGAGATGTTGGGAGTACAGGGATGGATGTTGAACCCTAAACGAACATCCATTAACACTGTGAACTGGAAATGGAGTGCAAACTGAATGCGGCCACGGCGTTCCCTTGTTTGCGTGTCGGTCGTTGCAACCTGTGGGGTTTCGCATGAACGGCCGGGCAACATTAGGCACACATAGTCCCAAACCCAAGCAAAGCAGCTCATTTTGGCCTGGGGAGGTGAGAAAGCCACATCCAATTGGGCATCCAGTTTTCCGGGGAGGTATGAAAGCCACATCCATTTTACATCCAAGTTTCCAAGGGGCCGGAAATTAAGATCCATTGTACATCCATTTTCCCTTGGAAAATGGATGTAAATTGGATGTTGGGCGGGGGGTCGAAAAATGGAGGAAAATCCATCTTGCCTGGGAAAATGGATGTAAAATGGATGTTGGGTGGGGTCCGGACATGGACGTGCATTGCACATCCATTTTACATCCATTTTCGGACAGCCCCAAAAATGTAAGTTCAATCCTGCATCCATTTTGCAGCCTCGGAAAGGGAGGAGTGACACTCTGGTCACGGCTCACAAGCCAGGCTTCCCATTCATCGTCGCTACCCGCTACTCCACTGAAATGGACGTTGGCTTCACACCTCCATTTTGCAGCCATTCTGCGAGTTTTCGCGGATGCTGTTCTGTGGCGGAGCAGGCCTCCTAAACGTGGTGTTGGCCATGGTACTGGCGGGGATTGTGAAGGGCAGCGAGACGTGGTCAAATGCGGATTCCTTAAAACGCTCACATTGGTGATGGAACCTCACTGCTAGAACCTCAGCCAACTTTGCAACAGGGCACGCGAGTCGTCTTCGAGCTTGCCATCAACCAGCTTGCTCGCAGGGTAGCTGACACCTCCCGAAGAGTGGACAAGTCCCGAGGCTGAGACGACCTGGCTGGAGCTTAGCCGTACGATCTTGCCCTCAGCCACAAATTGGACTTCACGTAGTCGGGGCTCCTGGCCCGAGTAGGTCTGCAGCACGACCAAGCGCCAGTAGGGGCTAGCTGAGGGCGACCAGCCCCCAAACTCCTGCTCACCCACACCGGGTGCTGCAGCTCCATTGAAGGCCTTGATCCAGGGACCGTTCGGAGACTCCGAGTGGTAGAGTTCCCAGACGCGGACATCGTGAGATGTCGCACCATCCTGATAAAGCCGAATTCGGGAGATGTAGTACGAAGATGAAAGGCCTAGTCCCGTCACACCCTCGAAAGCACAAGAGTGTCCACTGATGCAAGTTCGAAGCTGAAGCAGTGGACTTGGGCCAACCACGAGCAGGCCACCAACATCTGTTCGGTAGTCCTCCACACGGCTGCAACCATCCAAGCACCAGCAGAGCCTGTAAAGAGCACCTTCCTGGAGCCACGGAGCCACTTCCGAAGCATTATAAGCATTCTCCGTGTCCCAGGCAACGACACTGCGCTTTCCGCCTCCAAACGGGGACTGCGATCCATTGAAGCCGCCTGAGCTCAACGCCCGAAGCCCTGGGCTGATCGCCACTGCGCAGGTCTCAAGGATGGCAATCGCTCCCTCCGAGGAGTCCTCGGAGTCTCCCCAAAAAGGGGGGAAATGGCCAAGCAGAGGGCTGAGCCTGCAGGCCTGGCCTGCGACACAGGTCCGGTACTGCAACGGGGACGGTCCGATCACCATTAGAAAGCCCAGGTCCGTGTCAAAAGAGTCCGGAATGTGACACGGGGCATTTGGGGCCAAGCTTCCGCCAGCACACCAACATATTCGATAAATGCCCCCAGCCGCAGAAATGACCATGTCCGAGTTTGCACTGCTCCAAACAGAGTCTCCAAAGCCTTCAACCGGACTTGCAAGTCCACATGTCTCCAACACCAGCATCGAATCACTGCTGAAGCCTTCGAAGACCTCCTCAAGCTGGCAGACTTGTCCACTCAAACAAGTCTTTCCAAATAGTGAGGGCGCCAGCAAGTGCAGCTGCCCGAGATCAACCTGGAAGTTTTCTGGCAGATTGCATTCAAAACCGGAAGAGCACCAACAAAGTCGGTACCCACCGCCTGCCCCCGTGATGTGCAGCAGAGAGGACACAGCTGACACAGCTGATATCACAGGTCCGGTAGCATTGGTGTCGTTTGACTGCGATCCTGGAGGATGGAGGAAGGCTGCTACACCGATGTAAGAGTTCTGACCACAAGTGTCAAGTAGCAGCAGGCGATCCTCCGGTTGCAGGTACAGTCCATCGAAGTCATGGAACCGACAAGCAAGGCCGCTAATGCAAGTTCGAGTTTGTGAATGAGGCGACGGTCCGATCAGTAACAGCTGTCCGGCATCCACAATGTAATCACTGGGAGCACATGTAGTTCCATCCAGTGAGCTACACCAGCACATCCGATATACTCCACCTGCAGCTGTTAGCACTGCAGGAGCAGACTGCAGCGGACCTGCAATTGGAGCAGCTGCGCTCACCGGTGTGGTAGCAGGGCATACATCATATAGATACACACTTGTATGCATGGACATCTCCACTGTCGTCATGGTGGAGGAGCTGAGTTGCACGACGCAACTCTGGCCGCTGACACAGGTCATCTGCTGCTGTAATGGGCTCGGACCTAGAAGCAGCAGATGCCCAGCATCGACGTTGAAGTGAGTAGCCTTCTCACATGGGGGCATGCCGCACCAGCAGAGCCTGTGCATGCCTCCTGCGGAACTGACATGCTCACTCAGAAGCAGGTCGCTTCCATCGGCACCACCCGTTGGTGCTAGCCGCGCTGGTAGAGAGAAGGTCCCGCAAGTGTCCAATACCATGACAGAGAGAAGCGAGGAATTCACAGATGCATTGCCTTGGTTTGGAGCCGGAAACATTTGCAGACCTTCTACATTGCAGCGATGCCCGCTAACGCAGGTCCTATCCTGCAGGAGCGGCGTTGGACCCAGGATAAGCAGCTCCCCGACATCAACGCGAAAATGATCAGCAGTGCTGCAAGCAAAGCCAGCAGCACACCAACACATTCGGTAGTTTCCACCAGCAGTTGACTGCATTTCGGGCCAGGAGAAGATTACCCCACTGCTGAAAACCAGTGCCGTCTGTGCAGACATGGGTTGCCTCACTGACCGCTGAAGCAAGGCTCCCGAAGCTCCACATGTGTCAAGCAAGAGAAGCTGATCGCCGGGAGTCAAATGATAGGCACCGGCACCCGTCAAGCCGTGAATTGCACATGCTTGCCCACTGATGCAGGTGCGAGTGGCTTGCAATGGAGACGGCCCAATGATGTGCAGGATGCCTGCAGGCACGGAGTGATCTTCAAGCAAGCAGGGCGGCGTAGATTGGTTGAAGTCAGCCATGGATGTGTTGGCGGCTGGTCGTGGGCACCAGCACAAACTGTATTGACCAGCAATGACCGGTGTCGTTGAGAAGTCTTGCAGCGTAAACCTGCTCAGTGGTAGAGTGCTGCTGTCGTGCGTGATTACATTTGGCAGGAATGGTGCGCTGGTGACGGTGCCACAAGTGTCCAGAACTGCGAAGCTGGATTCTGGACTCAAGTCCTGCCCTTCGATTCCATCGAGCGCACACGCTTGTCCCGCCACACAAGTTCTCATCTGCTTCAGCGGCCTTGGCCCAATTACGGTAAGTGCCCCAAAATCTGCATTGAAATCCTGCCCGCCGAGGCAATCGCGAACGGAGCCTGGACACCAGCACAAGCGGTACAGCCCACCGCTCAAGGCCAGCAGCGTGCCGGGTCGCAGGGTAGCCCCGGAGACTGCCCTGCTGTCCAAGCTCTTGTTGCCGGTGCTGTTGCCCCACAGATCCACCAGATCTGCAGAGAACTTGGAAGCCTCTGCGCCACAAGTGTCGAAAACGGAAACTACATCTCCTGTGGCAAGCCAGAGTCCATCGACGTGGAACGAGCAGGTCAGTCCGGAGATGCATGTGCGATGTTGCACGAGCGGGGCCACACCGATGACCAGAAGTTCTCCCATGTCAACACGGAAATCACTGCTCAGACTGCAGTCGCTGGAAGTGGCGCTGGCATTCGATGACCAGGGGCTGTCCACAGCGGAGCACCAGCACATTCTGTATATGCCTCCTGGCTGTGTCAGCGAGAAAGAGATGTTGCTATCATTCCGAAGCGCGACTGCGTCACTAGCACGCCATCCCCTTGTGTCGGCACCACAGGTTTCTAAGACCATCACATGGCTGGCAGCTGGAAGGGCGTAGCCCGTGAGGCCAGCTAAGCCACAAAGCTGTCCTGTAATACAGGTGCGATGCTGCTGCAGAGGCTGTGGACCAGCCAGATGCAGCGTGCCGAAATCAATCCAAGAGCCCAGAGAATCACAGGAATCGTCGAAACACCAACAGAGGCGGTAGGTTGCTCCAGCGGCTGAAACTGTGCCCCAGTGAACAGACATGCTGCCGCTTGAGTTCTCGGATGGCAAGAGCAGCTGGAAGTCATCAGGCCATCCTGGGATTTTCTCCCCTCCACAGCTGCTGAGTATTCTCACCTGACTCGTGTCTGCAACATGTAGTCCATCGAGACCACTGAGGATACAATGCTGGCCGCTGTAACAAGTTCTCGATTGATCTGTCGGACTAGGCCCGATTAATGTCAGCGAACCAAACTGCACAAAAGAAGAGGACTGGGAGCACATTGATGCGTTGGATGAGTTGGATGCCCCCAGAACTGCTGCACACCAGCACAGGGCATAAACCCCACCCTGTGCTGTCAGATGATTCTCAGCCGCCCCCCACTGCACAGCCCCGCTTGCGGTCCGCATCGCCAGGCCCGCGTCCGGTAGCCCTTCGGGAGGTGCAGCTGATATGTGGCAGCTGTCCCGCAAAAGGTAAGTGTCTGCTGCATTCAAGGCCATGCCAGTGATACCATCCACTGAACAGCTGAACCCAGCAACACAAGTGCGATGCTGTCCGAGCGGAGCTGGGCCGACCATGAATAAACTCCCAGAGTCGACGGAGAAATCCTCCGCCAAGGAACACTGGAAATCTCGACTGCACCAACAGATTCGGTACTGGCCTCCCATCACATCACCTGGACACTGCAATCAGCTTCGACAGGCCGAGACTCTGGCAGCTGGTAGCAACTACAGTATCCAGCTAGAATCCTTAAAACAAATGAAGCCGGCCAAGGGGCCAGAGACGCCTGTGTCCCACGCGATAGTCCCACCAGCCAGGGTGGCATTGCTTGCCTGAGCTCCACGCAGTTCTCCATAGCCTGTCAGAATGATTCCAGCTCACAGAACGAGTCGGAGTTTACTGTAACTCTTGGGTGTCTCGAGACAGCTTCGCAAATGTGGGCTACAAATGCCTTCGAATCACAGTTCATGTTGCGCACACTGAAGCGAAAGTGAGGCCGGGCGAACGATGGAAGCGAGCAGGTCTAGAGTCAGAGCTCAGATGAATAAAGAGCGCTGAACGGAGAGCGCGAGTTGCTATTTGGAAAAAGACAAACGAGGCCAAGGAGATGCATCAACAGGCCATCCCCTACAAGATTTCCAGGCCTGCACCTCCAACCGCGGCAAGGCTTTCACCACAAGTGTCCAGAATCACGAAGCGGTCGTGAATGGACAAGTGAAAGCCTTCCAAAGCCGCTGTCACACATGGCAGTCCAGAAATGCAGGTGCGAGTGGCGTGCAACGGATGGGGTCCAATAAGATGCAGGTCCCCAAAATCAACCGTGAAGCCCGATGGAGTTCTGCATGACGAAGAGTTGGTGTGGCCTTCCTCACCGCGCAGGCCGGCGCACCAACAAAGTCGGTAGATGCCACCAGCGGCTGTTACCAAAGCTGCATCCCACCCAGCCGCGGCACCACTGTGTGAGACAACAGCTGCTTTCGCCAGCATGTTGATGACACCTGTGGGGGCTCCACATGTGTCCAAAGCCATAATTGCATCGTCCGGGGATAGGGCGTAACCCGTGATTCCGTCCAGGGAGCAAGTCTGTCCACTGACGCACGTTCGCTGCTGATGCAATGCGGGAGATAATACACTGAGCCCTCCAGCATCTGTCTTGCAATCCGCCGGTAGCTGGGAGGTGCGATTTGATGTGGACATGCTTTGGCTCCCACACCAACACAGTCGATACTGCCCACCGGGAAGGGGAGCCACCTGAACATCCCATACCAGCACAGAATTACGAAGACCACCGACGACGAAAGTACCTGATATATCGGCTGGCATGCCCTGAGCGCCACAAGTGTCCAACACCAAGACTTGATCTCCAGGCATCAGATCCAGGCCCTTTATAGGACTTAAAGTGCAGCGCTGGCCGCCGACGCAGGTGAATTGTTGCTGCGTTGCCCCTGCAAGAGGACCCATGACATGCAACATTCCCATGTCCACGGTGAAATCGGGCGAAATGGCACAGCTCGTGTAGTTGGTGAAGTTTTGGGGCAGATTCTCAGCACACCAACAAAGTCGGAAGCTTCCTCCCGAAGGGGCGGCAGGAACCCGTGCCTCCCAGCGGAAAGAGGCACCCGACGCCAGCAGAGCTGCCACAGTTGGGCCCGTGGGTTGACCCGGTCGTCCTGAGGCTCCGAAGTCTGCCGAAGCAGCAACCCCACAGGTTTCCAGGAGTAGCAAGGAACCTGCTTCCATGCCGGTTCCCAGGAAGCCCTCAAGGAGACAGCTTCCGCCTGCCACACAGGTTCTGTCTTGCTGCAGAGGTGCCGGGCCCAGCATCGTTAAGCCACCCATATCAACCCCGAAATTCTGCGCCAGTTTACACTGCCCGCTCGCATTGCCCAGAATACCTGTGGCATTTGCATCCTGCAACAGCTCGCCGCACCAGCACAGCCGGTACAAGCCACCCGGAGCGAAACGGACTTGGCCAGTGACATCCGCTCTGCCCAACGTGTCGCTACTGGACGGCATAGCATGTCCAGAAGGCGGCATGATGAGAGCGGATGTTCCACATGTTTCTAGCACCAAGATCTTGGCTACATCCGCGCTACCGACCTGTACCAAGCCATCCAAGAGGCATGACTGGCCGCTACTGCACGTTCGATGCTGTGTCAACGGGGCAGGACCGATCACATGTAGAGCGCCCATGTCGACGACGAAGTGCTCGATCAGATCGCACGGATATCCGCGCATGCACCAGCACAGCCTGTACAGGCCACCTGGTGAGCTCATGACAATCTCTGTCAAGTTGGCAGTCCAGTCGAAGCTCGAACCGGAGAGAGTTGACGAGGGCACTGCCGGAAGACCATCCAGCATGGCTCCGGAAGAGCAGGTCTCCAGCAACATCAAAGAATCACCGCTGCCCAAACCGGTGCCCTCGATTCCGCTTATCTGGCAGGCCATCGAACTCACGCAGGTACGGTCCTGCTGCAGGGTTGGGCCGAAGATCTGCAGCACCCCGAAGTCGACGTCAAAGTGTTCGACACGACAGTCCGACACGTTCGACGTGCCCTGGCACCAGCATAGGCGATATTCCCCGGCCCTGACACTTCGGCCCAGATCAGCAGTTGCTGATCGAGCTGCATCCTTAGATTTTCTAGCTGACGATTCAGTTTCGTGCCTATGCACTGCTACAGCATGACACGGCATGACTGCACAGCATGCTCTTGACAGCTGAGCGGCCACAAAGGAGACGTTGATGTTGCTGCTGTTGTACGATGACAGGCGCAGGCTGCTTGGGCTTGCGAAAGGAGTCGATGCAAACAGCTGGCCACACGTATCTTGCACCAAAAGCAGATCTGCAGATGATAGTCCCGTCCCAGCGACATTGATGGCGCATGTCTGACCTGCTGCACACGTGCTCATGTGGAAAAGAGGTGCCGGTCCTAGCACAAGAAGCTTGCCGGCATCGATGCCAAAGTCCCAAGATACCGAACATACGGATGCGTTTCCGGTCATGCTGCTGCCTGCTGTCACGATGGATGTGTTGGATGTGTTGAAGTCATCCGTTGGCGGTGACGGCAGTCCGGAGCACCAACACAATCGATATTCGCCACCAGCTGCTGTCAATGAATCGGCCCAGATGATCCTCGGATGTGAGCTGAAGCTTGCCTTACCAATGCCGACCGTCGTGACAGCTTGACCACAGGTGCCCAAGATCATGTAGCTGTCAGCCTCACTCAAGCCATGCCCCAGCAAAGGATCTACAGCACATACTCTGCCGCTGATGCAGGTTCGGTCTTGCTGGTGGGGACTGACCCCCAACACGGTCATGGCACCCAGATCAGTTTGGAAATCCGTGCCACGCAAGCAGCCAGACGGCTTCAAGCCACTGCACCAGCACAGCCTGTACAGGCCGCCAGGTGCGGAAACGATCTCGGACCCAAGCCCCATACCACTGGGTGGCTGAGACGCATTGAGGTCGGGTACAATGAGTCCGTTCATGGGGAAGCGCAGCGGCACCGTCCCACCACAAGTCGCGAGAATCTGAAGTCTGTCGGCGGCACTGAGGCTCTGCCCATGAATCCGCTCTGCGTTGCAAGTTCTACCTGCAATACAAGTCCTGTCTTGTTGAAGGGGGCTCGGACCCACAACCAGCATCGAACCAACGTCCACGCGATACCTTAGTGTCGCAGTCACTCCGAACAGACCCCAGATTTATGCCAGCAACCACCGGGCAAGCGGCAGTGCGTTCTTTTGCTACTGACTCGGTGCACGACACATGGTTTGGAGTCGCATTGAACTGCACATGCATGAAAGCATGATGACTCAATGATTTTCGCTGAAACTCAAATCAAACTTCAATGGCCGGATGCACCGGCAATTAAAGCACTGAACACGGAGGAAATTAATCTGCTGCCCCAACGTTCCGGAGTGTGCAGAAACTTCCGGAGTGCTTGCCCGGTGAATGCGCAATTTGCAGGATATGAACCGCAGGCGTCTAATCAGGTTTCCTGAATGGTGATTCGACCCGGCGCATCCTCCTCTGATGGATGAGGAGCCGGCTTCACTACACCGGAGGAAAGCACTATAATTGGGGCACACTAGGCCGCAATCGAGTTCGTCGCATCCTGCCACATGAATGCTACGATCAAGTATCGTGTAGCCTTGATCATTAAAGAGCAAGTGCAGTGCTGACTGCTACTTGGCCATCCACCACAGAATCGATAAAAAGCTCCGTCTGTGACGTCTCGCTGTCTACGTATTTCCTGATATGCTGCCTGCACAGCAACTTTGCACTTATGGCAGGTGACTTTGTCGCACTGAAAGTGAAATGTCCTCAGCAAGGAGTTCTTACCGTGCTTTTCCTTGTTGCGCCCCCTTTTTCTGACGGGCATGTTCATGTTCGGGACTTGGCTCTGTGTAGATGATTCGCACTTATGCCATCAACGATACGACCTATTGACATTGAAGCTTTTCGAGCTCTTTGCAGATCAACATCTCACGGGACTTGGCGTGAGCGGGTCCGTAGGCAGCTGGACCAATGAGCCAATTTTTCTAAATGTCGGCGAAAAACTTAGGAACCACCTCCTGCGCCTTCCTGAACCCGGCTTTTCAGGAGATTCATGATGTGGTTCGCGGCGTTTAGGAGGTTTGGCGCCCGGCTTTTACAGGGCATCCGTGGCCTGTGTGGGCTCAAGGCCTTCGTACGGCTACACATCATTCGCAACGCTTGGTTATCCAACTCGCCTTTGGGGGCGCCTGGAATTGTTTCAAGCTGTCCAGCACGCTTTACAACCTCCGGGGCTGAGACAGCTACGTAGAGGGATTTGCTCGTGAAAATTAGATGTTGGTGTTGCTGGTGAAGGGATGCCACAGGGAAACGCGAAATTGATGCCACAGCTGCTTCTGCAATGAAATTTTCTCCGATAGATGGCTACTCACCATGCACTGATTACAGCAACACAAGCTCACAAACCACAATCCTGCAGGTCCGAGAGGCTCGTGGGAAAGTGCGCAGGCTCCAAGACCAAGTGACACTTGGGTGCCCAGGCTTTCGTTGCTCCGATTGCTCCAGCTGCTTGCATTGCTGCCTCGAGCAACGAATTTGGAGTGCGGCTATGGACTGTAATGAATGCTCTGCCGAGGAGCTGTTGAAACTTGGGGCACGTACCCACGGGGCACACCAACACAATCGGTACTGCCTCGGAATGCAAGACAACTGGAATAAAATCATCCTTGCATTGTGGCAAACTTTACCAGCTGCAGCGAAGCAACCCCCCCTCAGCAAAGACCAGCTGCCCAAAAGAGCCTTTGCTGCAGACAGCTCAATGTCAGTTTGCATGAAGGGTCGTGCACGAACTTTGCAGCTGTATAGCTCATTCGTGCACCGTCTGGAGCAAAAACTACTCCGCCATCTGATGCATTCGCAACCTTTGAGGTCAAGAGGTTGTTCACTCTGCTTTGGCTGCTCGGGCTCCTTGTTGCTGAGGCCAGGGCATTGACGGGATCCAAGAAGAGCACCAAGTTGCGGCCACCTTGATTGCACGCAAAAAATCCAACATCGTCCAACGACGGTGTTCTTTGCCACTGAGGGCGAAACAAGTGTCCAGCACGGCATACATGCCATCACTTGGCAAGTGAAGGCCTCTCACAACTTGCAGAGGTCACAGACTTCGTGAAGGTAAGTTCTTTAAACAACGAAACCGCCATCACTGGCCAGGCCTGTCAAGGCATCCACTTCACATTCTTGGCCCGCGATACAGGTTCGGTCTTGCTGAAGCGGTGCCGGGCCCTGCAACGTGAAGCGGCCAATGCCTCTCAGGAGTTGACGGTTCTTCCTGTCGCAGACAGCGGAAGACCAAGAATAGACCCTGAGAGCCGGGCCAATGAACTCATCTGCACTGGAGCACATGTCCCCTCGATCGGAGGCTCCACGTGACCGGCACAAACCAGAAAGCAAGCACGAGCCAGCACTCCGAGCCTGCACACCAACACAGCCAGTAGTTGCCTGCCGACAAAAGGGACAGTTCGCTGCTCGATGCGCATGACAAATCAGTGACGGCACCTCCGCTAGCAGTCAATGTTGAGAGCAAGATGCCAGAACCACGTGCTGGTGCTGATGCAAGAGATTGCGAGATGTGCACACCTTGGCAAGCAGTTGCACTGCGGAGGGAAGATACCACGAGGCTTGGCATCTAGGACCTACGACTGACTTGCTCAGGTCGGCACCATCCAATCCCACACCGTGAACGCCGCAAGTGTCGAAAGTTGCAACTTGACCGTCTTGCACATGGTGACCAGCGAGATTATTTAGGAAGCACGTTTGACCACTGATGCAAGTCTGGCTTTGTCCAAGCGAAGGTCCCAGGAGTTGGAGCTCCCCGAAGTCCACGTAAAAGTCCTCGGATGAAGAGCAGGCCGCCTGTGCTCCACACCAACAGAGCCGATACCTTGCACCCGGTGCACTGATGTACCCAGCCAGTTCAAAGCGCATTAGTGGACCGTAAGTGGAGCCACGCATTTCATCCGTCAAATTGAGTTCTTGGACGGCAGACCAACTCATACCATCGGCTGCGAAGCCTGCAATAGCCGCAGGAATCTGCGTCGCGTTTCCAGGTTGCGCGCATGTGTCCAGAACCATGATCCTGTCGGACTCGGACAATTGCCACCCTTTGACACGAGATATGGAACAAACCTGTCCCGAAATACAGGACTGCGAGTGTCCAAAGCTTGGACCAATCAACAAGAGCTGGCCGATGTCCAGCTGAAAGTCCTCGGGTACGAGGCATGTGCTGTTGCTTGCGCACCAACACAGACGAAATGCTCCGCCAGCCGCGCTGAACTGCAGGTTGCCCCAAGTCACTCGCTCGCCCTCGATCTCCATGTGCTCAAGCTGGCTCATGAAATGTGGCATTCTTGTTGGGGTTCCATCCCATCTCTTGCCCACCGAGGGCAAGCCACAGGTATCCAGAACAAGCAGCCCTGAGCCGCTGATTAGCCCGTCGAACGAACATGTTCGGCCACTGATGCATGTGCGGTCCATGAACAGTTGCTCGGGTCCGATCAAGGTCAGACTTCCGAAATCCACTCGCAGAGAGCTTGCATCTTGGCACCGTGCACCGGTGGCACACCAGCAGAGTCTGTATTGCCCCCCCGGTGTGGAGAGGGCGTCTTCCCAGCTGACGGTCAAGGCATCAGGCTGCAAGTTCAACACCTTAACAAGATTGAGCGGCCACGCTTCAAGGCTTCCACACGTGTCCAAAACTGCGACGGAATCACTTTGCTGCAGGGAGGAACCCTGAAGCCCCCGCAGTGTACAGGTCTGGCCACTGACGCAAGTGTACTGTTGCTGCAATGGCGCTGGACCAATAATGTGCACTGTGCCAGCATCAGTTAAGAAAGACGAAGGCAAGTCACAACCAGAAGTGTTCGTGCTCGCAAGAAGCGCACACCAACAGAGCCGATAGCTTCCACCTGCGAGAGGAACATAGCCACTGATAAGCCCCTGGGGCTCGCCCGGTGCAAACTGCAACGTCGTGGAGGCGATTCCACAAGTGTCCATCAGAAGCAAGACTCCAGCATTAGACATGCCATAGCCGGACAAGGTCTCCAAGGAGCAGCTTTGACCGGCGAGGCATGTGAACTGCTGCTGCAAGGGTGCAGGGCCTCGCAAGTACAAGCTGCCCGCTGTGGAGACGAAACTGGATGTGTCGCTACATGAATGCCCACACCAGCAAAGTTGGTACTCACCACCTGACTGCACAAGGGCTGCTGTGCCCCAGCTGACGGACAGGACGTCTGGCGCGGATCTGTGAACCTCTGGTATCATGGAAAAGGGCTGCCTTCTCTTGCTTCGGATCGCTCCACAAGTTTCTGCTAGCAACAAGCGGTCAAAGTCCGAGCCACCTGCTACTGGGATGTACATCTGACATGTCTGCCCAGCCAGGCAAGTCGCTTGATAATGCTGACTCGGACCGAGCACCAGGAACCTGCCCAGATCCACCCGGAAGAACTCGGAGATCTCACAAGCATCTTGCGCACACCAGCACAGGCGATACTCACCACCTGGAAGGACAAGCGAGGGCCAGGATGCTGAGCCCAAGGGCCCGAGGAACTGCGCTGGCACCACATCTGCTGCTGCACCGCAGGTGGCTGAGATCAGTACCTGGCTCTGGCCGGTGGCGTTGCTACCTCGGAAGGGCTCCAAGTCCAACGCGAAGCTACAGGAGCTCCCAGAAATGCAGGTCCGGCCCTGGCTGAGAGGCGCAGGTCCAATTAGGCTTAGGACACCTACGTCGATGAAGTGATTGATGGAACTGCAAGAAAGTCCCACTGCGCACCAACAAAGCTTGTAGGACTGCCCGGCAGCTGTAAAGGCTTGGGACCAGGAGACTGTAGTTTCGTTCGCACCCCAAGATGTCAGCCCATCACTTGGGAGTCTTAGGCTGACTTCCCCTTGAACTCCGCATGTGTCAGCAAGCATAAGATGCCCGCCCGAGTCCAAGCCATACCCACTGAGCACATCAAGAACACAACTCTGACCGCTCACGCAAGTGGCGGACTGCTCCAAAGGAGACGGGCCGAGCAAGAGTAACTCACCAATGTCAACGTGGAAGGAGACTGCCGGCATGGAGGAATTGCTGGAGTTCGCATCAAGTCGAGTCCAGCAAAGCCGATACTTACCTCCAGCAGACGAGGGCCTTGGATCCTCCCAAGCAACTCGCGCAGTGAGGCCTGGCAGTACTTGAAGCTGGGCTGCTGGAGGGAATCTTGAAGGAGCTGATGCAAGGCCACACGTATCTTGCACAGCCAGCAAATCAAAATTTGATAGGCCTAAACCAGTCAGGCCGTCGAGGACACAAGTCTGTCCGCTTATGCATGTTCGTTGCTGATGCAAGGGGGCAGGACCAAGGATGGTGAATGTGCCAGAGGAAGACGCGAAGTCCTCTGCGCGTTGGCATGGGTAGCTCGCATTGGGATTTTCAGTCGCGTTTGCGTTCACGACGCGCAAGTTGGCACACCAACAAAGCTGGTACTGCCCAGCCAATGTGGCGGTTTCCTCCGGGATTGCGATTCCGGGTTTGACTAATCCTGCATAACCCGAAGGCCAAGCCCACACTGCTTCACCACATGTGTCCAAGGCCATGTACATGTGGGAGCCACTGAGGTGCAAGTCTTCGAGACTGCAAAGGCGACCGCTGATGCATGTATGGGAGCCAAGCCGAGGACCAATCATGGTCAACTCTCCAACATGAACTCGGAAGTCTGCCGGCAATCTGCAGCCTGTGGCTGTTTCAGGTATGCCGCACCAGCAAAGGCGATATGTGCCGCCAGGAGCTGTTGCGACGTCCTGCATCGATGCACTCAAGAGACTGTCAGCTGTTGCATTCGAGCTGCTATTGCTGGTCCAATGCAGCGGAAAGCCTTGAGGAACAGAAACTCCACCGCAAGTGTCCAGTGCCAACACGGCATAGCGCAGTCCAACGATGTCACTGTTATTCGCATGCTCTATGCCAGAGGAGAGGCGGCAGAGGTGCCCCGACACACACGTCTGATGCTGAAGGAAGGGTGCAGGTCCAAGGACGCTTAATTGCCCAAAGTCTGCCCTAAACTCTCGCACCTGGCTACAAGCCATAGATGCACCACACCAGCACAAGCGGTAGGAGCCTCCTTGAGGTGTGATATGGACGGCACCCCATGAAAAGCTTAGCCTTCCCGCCGATGCGTTGCTGGCTTGTGCTGTCCAAGAAAAGCCAGTCGGTACTTGAGTGCCGCAGGTTTCCATGATGAGCACTCTGTCATACATTGATAGATGGTAGCCCTCAATGCTATCAATCACGCAAGTTAACCCACTGACACAGGTTCTTTGCTGCTCGGCGATGGCACCAATCATCATCAGCGTGCCAACAGTAACCTGGTGCTGCAAAGACAGGCGACACGAACCTGTCAGACTGTCCTCGGAACGCGTAGAATTCACAGAGGGCAGTGGAGCGCACCAGCACAGCTGGTAGATGCCTGCCTGAAGGTCAGCTGACGTCAGAGGGCTTGAGCCCCAGTTTGCTTGGCCCTGAGCCGACAGAACGGGACTTGCAGTGACAACACTTAGAGGTGTATTGGCTATGCCGCATGTCTCCAAAATCATGTAAGAGTTCAGCTCGGACCATGCACGTGGAAGGCCGTCAAGATAACAGGTCTGACCGGCGACACATGTTTGATCCACCTGCACAGGCCCAACCAGCAGGAGTTCACCAAAGTCAAAAGGGAAAGCTTCGGGTCTCCTGCACGAACCACTCTGACTACACCAGCAGAGGCGATAGCTACCGCCATGTGCAGATATGGGGGTCTCCCCCCAGCTCACGCGAGACCCACTAGCGGAGATGTGGTCAATAAAGCCACTCCACGGAAAGCGGGCTGCGACATGATTGGAGCCACAAGTCTCCATCACCAGGATAGTGTCGTTCTGGCTCAGGCCGTAGCCGGCAATGCCGCCGAATGAGCAGGTGTATCCGCTGACACATGTGCGGCGATGGCCAGGGAGTGGGCCGTACAAGTGAAGGGTTCCGAAGTCTACGCTGAATTCAGATGTCAAGATGCAGCCCGAGGTATTCGTTGGAGCCGGAAGGAGGGCACACCAGCACAAACGATACTGGCCTGCTGAAACTGTCAAGGCTTCAGAGGTCCAGCTGACAATGGACATGCCACGAACGTCCAGCAGGTCTCCAGCAAGTGGTGAGGTCACAATGCCTTCCAGAGGCCTCACCTCATCACTGAGTCCACCTGCTGGAAACCTTTCCAAGAATCCGACCTGTCCACATGTGTCAAGCACGTGGATTCGACCAGACAAAAACATGCCACCGCCTGTCGTAGCCACCATGCCCCTCGATGAGCAAGTCTGCCCGCTGATGCACGTCCGGTCTTGCAACAACGGTGTCGGACCCAGCAGCCACATCGCACCCATGTCCACGGCAAAATCTCCAGCACGTGTGCAAGACTGGCCGGCGAGTGTGTCATTGATGGGCAAGGTCGCACACCAGCACAAGCGGTACTGTCCACCAGCAGCACTCACGATGGCTTGCCATGAGGCAGCTGTGCCGCTGCTAGTTGTCTCCACACTGCCACCAGCCAAGCTCCATTTTGGCACCACGGAGGTAGGTTCAGCGCAAGTGTCCAAAACCAGAAGTTTGTCCAGGTTGCTGAGACCGTGCCCAGTGAAGCCATCAAGCTGACAGTTTTGGCCGCTAACACATGTCCGGCTCTGCAAAAATGGCGCTGGCCCAAGAATGCTGAGGCTGCCGATGTCATAAGTATACTCTGAAAAGATGCGGCAGCCTCTTGTAGTGCTGTATGACTCATTGAGCGGCTTCATGACGAGGTCTGCGCACCAGCAAAGGCGGTACTGCCCCCCCGCAGCAGTCAGAGGCAAAGGGCCCCAGCTGGCTGCACCAGAAGACACGGACAAGCCACTGTTGGGGATGCGTAGAACACCTCTCTCCGAGCCACAGGTCTCCAACACAACCAGCCTGTTCTCGTTCAAGTGAAAGCCCGTAATGGGGTCGATGTTACACCCACGACCAGCAATGCATGTGAACGCTTGCTGGCTCGGCACAGGCCCCAGAAGCGAAAAAGCGCCCACATCAACTCTGAAGTGCTCCATGGTTGAACACACCTGGCCATCGGCACACCAGCACAGACGATATTGACCCCCTTGTGCAGATGTGGATGTCAAGAGCCAACGGAAAGTCGAATTGACCTGTGCATCTGGCAGCATGAGTCCAGACCTAGAAAGTCCACGGATCAATGCATCACTCTGGCCACATGTGGCGGCCACCATCAGTGCATCACCGCTGGAAGTATAATAGCCGTCTATGTTTCGAACTGCACAGCTCATTCCAGCAATGCAAGTCTTGTCCTGATCAAAGGAAGAGGGTCCAATCACGGAAACACTTGCAAAGTCCACAAGGTAGTCAGTCGGAAGACTGCAAGAGAGATGGTGCGACAAGTTCTGAGTGCCGGCCCGTCCACACCAACATAATCTGTACTGACCACCAGGCACTAGCACCACCCCTTCAGGTTGGAGTGACGAATTGCAAGGCTGCTCAGAAAATGCAATGCGAACTGCGAGGACATCCGTGGCCAGGCTATTGGGACTGCAAGTGTCCAGCACCAAGTATTGGTCGGCAAAGGACAGATCCTGACCCCTGACTCCGTCGAAGCGACACGACTGTCCTGCAATGCATGTGAAGGTCTGCGACAGCGGCGACGGGCCTCGCACCATCAAATCGCCGAAATCAACTTTGAAGCTCCAGCTAGAATCACATCGACCTTGTGTGGCATTCGCCGAGTTCATGGCAGCTCCACACCAGCATAGACGGTACAATCCACCTGTTACTGGCTCAGCCGACCATTGCACGGCTGCTCCAGACGACAGAACTCCGGGACTGCTGAATGCGCCCTGGACAGCACCAGGCTGACCGCAAGTGTCCATGACAAGGAAACTAGTCTCGTTCGAAAGGCCGTATCCAAGAATGGAACTGACTGCGCAAGAATGACCACTGACGCATGTCCGAGACTGTCCCTGCAACGGCCCAGTCAATGACATGCTGCCGAAGTCCACCCGATAGCTGGAAGCAGCTAGGCAGTTCGACTCATGACCGCACCAACAGAGCCGGTACTGACCACCAGCAGCAGGAACGCCTGCAGCTGGAATCATCAAGCTTGAGCGGTTCTTGAGTCCAAGCACTAGGCCATCAGTCACGTTGACATCAGCACTGACATTTGATCTCGCATGTGCCAAAGACAGGACTTGCAGCGAGATGTCCGCTTGGTATGCAGGCTGCTGTGCATCAATGCCGCATGTGTCCAGCACACGAAGCCAATCCAATTCACTGGTGTACATGCCAGAAACAGGTTGCATGACGCAATCATCACCAAAGATGCAGTAAAGTGGCTTTGCAAGCTCTGCAGGTCCGCGAAGCACAAGCGTGCCGAAGTCGACTCCAAACGCACTCGGCAAGCTACATTCTGGGTCAGACGCATTTTCCGAATAGCTGGTGTTCAAGTCTCGACTACACCAGCACAGTCTGTATGCTCCTCCCTTCGAGGTGACCACGGCATTCCCCCAGGACACGTAAGCCCCACTGCTACCAACCTCGTGAGAAAGACCCGCTGCTGGAAACAGGGGTACCATGTTGGGACTGCCGCAGGTGTCCATAACCAGCACACGATCGTCTTCGTCAAGTCCAGTGCCGAGCAGACCCTCCAACGCGCAGCGCAGTCCACTCACGCAAGTCCTGAACTGTGACGGCAGTGGTCCCAACACCGAAACTTCGCCGGCATCCACCGTGAACTCGAATGGGCTTGAGCATGCCGTCGTGTTCGGGCTCCAAGGCTTTGCACCACACCAGCACAGGCGGTAGCTGCCGGCCCTAGTGATTGTGAACACGACAGACATCTCCTCGCGGAGGCTCTTTGAGAGACCGCCATCGGCAACTCGAGGACTGCCACAAGTCTCCAGAAGCAGCAGCTGGTCTGACGGACTCAAAGCAAAGCCATCCAGGCCTGTGAGAAGACATGGTCTTCCCACAAGACACGTCCGAAGAACGGGTCGCGGGCCACGGAGAGAGAGGCTTCCAGCATCTACCCGGAAGGACTGAGCCGAGTCGCAGGGCGAGGGCTGCGATGTGTTGGAGATGTTGGCCCAGGATGTTTGCACTCCTAGCCCGGAGCACCAGCACATGCGATATTGGCCACCATCAATCTTCATGGAGGTGCTGGGCCAATCCACAAGCACGGCCTGTGCGCCCGTGAATTCCAACTGCTGTACTGCGGCGAGCTGCTGCGAGGATGTGCTAACACCACAGGTGTCCAGAACTGCCATGAAGTCTGAGTCGGAGAGATGAAGTCCACGAAGCCTCACAGCACAGCGGCCTCCGCTGATGCATGTCACTGCATGATCCCGGGCCGGGCCAATGAGAAGGAGCTGGCCCATGAACACCGAGTGGTCTTCAGGCAGGCTATTTCGAAGGCTATGGTTTTCATTTCCCGACTGTTGCAGCGAACCATTTCCAGTGAAATTTGCGAATCCTGCATCAGGCTCCACATGCCAACACAAGCTGTAGATGCCACCGGAAGCCGTGATCTCCGACCAAGTTGCAGAACGTGTTGACGTGTCTATCCCAGCTGCATCGGTCGGGAATCCGTCCAGAAGTTGCATGGATGCGCACGCTTGTTGAACTTGAAGAGACATGCCTGCGAGCTCTGGCGGATAAACCTCGAGCCTGTCCACAGCACAGGGACATCCACTAATGCAGGTCCGGTGCTGAGATAGAGGCAACGGACCAAGCAAGTGCAAGGTGCCAAAATCAACACGGAAGTCTTCCAGGCGGCATGAGAACATCCCCGAGCACCAGCAAAGCCTGTATGTGCCACCTTGCTGTGTCAGAACTGGTAGCTCCCATCGATGATCGACGGAGCTGTAGTTCACAGGCAACGTCAAAGAGGAGGGACTGCCACAAGTGTCTTGAACCAGAAGATCTTCCAGCTCAGTGCCAACTATCCCTTCCACTGCGCAGGTATGCCCACTGACGCAAGTTCGATCTTGATGCAGTGGCGATGGACCCAGCAGAAGCACTGGCCCTACTTCAACCGCATAGTCTTGCATCTGCCGACATGGCTCATGCGCCCGCGACATGTTTGATGTGTTTGATGCATTCGCGTCGACTCGAATGCCAGGAGCTGAAACTTGTGATGAGCCTCCAGTGGCATTCGAGGAGTTGGTATTCACGGCAGCATCTTTCCAGCACCAACACAGCCGATAGGTTCCACCAGCGCCTACAAGCACTTCTGGGCCCCAAGACACCACGGAAGAGCTCACAGCCGGTCCTCCAAGGCTTGAGAGAGACTCACCACAGGTGTCCATTAGAATGAAATCTTCTGAAGGCTGCGCGACAACATCGATCACACAAGTCTGGCCGCTGACGCAGGTGGCCGCTGGAAGCCGCGAGGGCCCGATCAGCAGCAGCTCTCCAACATCCACCCGGAACTGCGAGGCCTGCTGGCAGAGGAAGCCCGGATCCGTCAAGTTGGAGACATTGCTCGAGTTGGTAAATACCATGGAGGCGAGTCGGCGACTGGAGAGATTGCTCGCGTTCGAAAGGCTTGGCACCCCAGCAACCGCACTCCAAAGGGTGTCTAAGTCTGAGGCATCCTGGGCTGGATTGTCAAAGGCACCTGTTGGAGATCCAGCACACCAGCACAAGCGATATGATCCACCAAATGCAGTGAATTTCCCATCCCACTGAACTGCAGCCCCACTTGAGGTCGACATTCCCGTGCCGTCTGAAGGAATTCGTGGCACCAGGGGTGTTGACCCTCCTTGGATCGGAGGCAGGCTGCCGCTGCCGCCGCCACAGGTGTCAAAAATCGCCAAGCGATCCAGGCTGGAGAAGCTTCTTCCCAGCAAGCCTTTCAAGGTGCAGAGGCGCCCCGACACGCAAGTGAATTGCTGAGACTGCGCGGGGCCAAGTACGGACAGCCTGCCAAAGTCCACGAGAAAGTCTTCCGCTGAGCTGCAGCCTGCTGCTGCGCTGCACCAACAAAGCCGGTAAGTGGCACCGGGAAGCGTAGTGGCTCCGAAGTCGACCCAGGAAGCAAAGGACCGAACCGGAGATGACTCGTCCATTCTGCCTGGCAGTCCACAGGTGTCCATCACCGCAACCTGGTCCCCAACATCCAAATGCAACCCGGTGATGCCGCCGAAACTGCAGCGTTGTCCACTGACGCACGTGTGCATCTGATCCAGGGGACTGGGACCCATCAGCGTGAGCCTTCCAATGTCAATCATGCCTGTAGGTAGAATCAAACGGCCAGGCATCTGAGGTAGTGCACAAGTCCTGTTCCCTCCAAGTGTGTCATTGCAGCCGCCCAGGAAATTCACTGCTTCCTCGATACTGAAATTTTCGCTGCTGTTACCAAACATGTCAACCTGAAGGGCCATCCAGCTCGTCCAGCAAAGCCTGTACTGGCCTGCTGCTGCCGTGAGAGTGTTGAACATCACGGTGCCGTTACTGCTCCTGACACTCTCCGCCGACACATATGAGCTCCCAGCTGCTGGCATCAGCGAAATCAGGGACCCACCTGCTGGCAGGCCTATTCGCGAACGGTGGTCTGCACATGTGTCCTGAATAACCACAAGATCTGAGCTGGACAAGCCTATGCCCAGGAAACCATCAACTTCGCACCTGCTGCCAGACACGCATGTTCGATCTTGCATTAGCGGGGAAGGGCCAAGCACCAGCAACCGGCCAAAGTCCACCCTGTAACTCTCGGCCAGCGTACACGGACATGATGCGATTGCACACCAGCAAAGACGGTAGGAAGCAGCAGGAATGGACAACAGTGAGTTTTCCCACGAGCTGGACAAGCCCCCGACAGGTGCACTGTGGAACACGATCTGGCTGTCCGGGGCACCGCATGTGTCCATGATCACAATCTCAGTTGGAAGCCCAGTTCCAAAACCAGTGCTGCCATCAATCCGACATGATTGACCAGCGATGCATGTCCACGTTTGCTGCAGTGGCGAGGGTCCGAGGATGGTGAACTGGCCAAAGTCAACCTGATAATCTGATGCAGTGGCACAGGCATCTTGTGCATATTGGGTACTGCACCAACACAGCCTGTATTGACCACCCGGCACTGTCAACTCGTTTGTCCAGGTAAGGATGGTGCTGCTTCCGTTGACAAGCTCACTGGCATCAAGGCCCCTGTACAGTAAGGCTTGCGTACCGCAAGTGTCTAGGATCATGACCTGATCCTTCGACAAGCCCAAACCAGTCAGGTGATCAACGACACAGGTCTGACCACTGATGCAAGTGTGGGCTTGGAAAAGAGGTGCTACTCCAAGTACCCAAAGCTCGCCTGCCTCGACAGAGAAGTCAGATGCAGTCTCGCACGCTGAGAAGCCGCTACACCAACAAAGCTTGTATGACCCTGCGGATGATGTGACAGCAGCTTTGCTGGAAAGGGTTGCTCCGCTGCTGGAAAGATGGTGCCAGGTACCCAGGTCAGTCAGCTTCCAAGCATTTGCATCTTCCACTGCACATGTGTGGAGGACTAAAATCTGATTGTGATCGGATAGATACTGACCGTCAAGTTCCACAGAGCAGGAGTGCCCTCCAATGCAAGTGTTGTGCACGGTCTTGGGACCGACGACGGTCAACAGTCCCGCATTGACGGAAAAGTCTTCCTTGAAGCTGCACCTGAAACCCCGCGCACACCAACACATTCTATACCGCCCACCCTGGACGGTCAAAACGTCCGCGGCATATGGACTGAGAGGAACAGGACCCCAAGCTGACGAGCTCGTGGCGCAGGTGTCTGCAATGACTATGGTGTCTGGCTGTAAAGCTGTGAAAGTGAGCTGAATAGGATGCCCGGAGCCTGCCAGCACCCAATCTGAAAGGAGTCCATCCGACAACTTGCCTGCATCCCCATGGACACCGACGGCGTCAGAAATTGTGGTCCATCCCTTTCGGCCCAGGAACTGAACCTCAAATATCTGCAGTGTTGCGTCAGAATGTAACGAAACAAACCACTGAGAGGCAGTAACTGCCGGCTGCCAGGAGCACGAATACCAAAGCAACGCTTGCCCTGCAGACAGAAAGGAGCCCGTACTCGTCATGCTGCAGGAGGCTGCCAAGCTGACATCACTCATGTTCGGAGCATGCAAATCTGCGGAAGTACTCGCGTAGTGCACATCCACAACCGCGAGTCGCGCAGAGAGCACGTTTGAAGGGAGGAGTGCGAGGCGAACGGAGCTGACTGCCTCCACTACGTATGGGCTCATGTCCATCCCATCGAATGCAATGTTGCAGCTGAAACCGGCCACACAGGTTCTGTCCTGGCCAAGAGGGATGGGCCCCCGCAAGGAAAGCGATCCCACTTCGACAGCAAAGTCTTCGGAGCTGGAGCATGAAAAGCCGGCCGCACACCAGCACAACCTGTAGGACCCTCCTTGGCCCGTAAGTGGAGTCTGAAGACCCCAATTTGCTGCGCTGCCACTTGCAGCAATGCTCACTGCCAAGCCGTTCTGGGGGAAGCCATCGAGATCTGGACTCGGCACACCGCAAGTATCCAGAATGGTGATGAAGTCGCCTGTCGAGAGGTGCTGACCGAGCAGCCCATCCACGACGCAGGCTTGCCCACTCACGCAGGTCACCTCAACAATGTTGGACGGACCAACTACCAAGAGTTCCCCGAAGTCCACCTGAGACCCTGGAATCACCCTGCAGTCAGAAGCCGTCAAATTGCCAGGGCCGCCCGTGTCGTTCGCTGCACCCGTGGCAGCCATGGATCCACACCAGCACAGGCGGTAGCCCCCACCAGGTAGAGTCACCTCATCCAGGAACCAGGCTTTGCTTTGGACAGCCGGCATCTCTCCAGAAGCGTTGCTGAAATTGCCGTGTGCCACCGCACTGTCTGCTGCGGCATGCACGTCCGCAATGCCAAGCCCACCAAAAACATTGCAAGTCTGTAGGATCATCAGATGGCTAGCATCTAGTTCTCCATAGCTAGACACCCCATCGATCCTGCAAGCTTGGCCCGCGACACAAGTCCTGTCCTGCTGTAGCGGTGTTACTCCAAGGAGGAAGACGGTCCCTATGTCCACCATCTCATTGCAAGCCTGGAGGGCACACCAGCAAAGTCGATAGGCTCCACCCGCAGATGAGATCTTGTCAAACCACAAAGGCGCCGTGTTGTTTCTTGTCTCGACTTCTGCTACCTGCCCCGATCCCGAGCAAGTGTCAAGAATCTGCAAGCGGTAATCCAACGAAAGACCGAGCCCTTGGATGGCGCTACTGCAAATCGCGCCGGCGACACAGGTCCTCGCATGGTCACGGAGAGGGCCCAGAATAGTGAAAGCGCCAATATCGACCAGAAAGTCTTCTGCCAGGCTGCAGCCATCCCTGTCCTGCCAGGCAAAGGAAGGCAAACCAGCGACAAACGCTCTGGCAGGTGGAGTGCACCAACAAATTCGGTATGAGCCACCGCTGGGTGTCAGGATCAAAGAAGAATTTCCAAGCCCCGAGGCTGGAAAGCCAATGCCAGCACCATTCTTGGAGCCACAGCTCTGCATCACCATCGCTGCATCTGCATCTGACAGCAAGTTACCTGTGAGTCCCTCCAGCGTACACGCCGCTCCGCTTATGCAAGTTCTATGCTGCTCCAAGGGCGCCGGACCCAAGATTGTAAAGCTTCCGACATCATATCTGAAGTCAACAGACGCCAGGCAGTCAACAGCGGACACAGGGTGACACCAACAGAGACGATACTGTCCACCTGCAGCAGTCAAGGCCGTGAAAGAGCCGTTTCCGTCCCAGTGGAGCGTGCCCGTCGCGGAATCAAACGTAGCAAACGCAGCATTCGGAAAGCGCGTCGGCGTGGTCTCGGTCCCGCAAGTTGAAAGTATCACGAACGAGTCGTTGGGGGATAAATCCAAGCCCAGGAGGCCATCTGCGAGGCAAGGAAGGCCGCTCACACAGGTGTGACCGCTCGTTGGCAGCGGGCCCAGGATCGACAGCTCCCCGATGTCGACAATGTAGTCCAGCATGGTTTCACATACGCTTCGGTTTGACGCTGAGTCGTTCGTCAGACCGGAGGCGCACCAACAGAGCCTCCACTTCCCAGCAGCTGATCTCTCAAGGATCTCAACTCCGGTGATGTTGCTCTGCATTCTTGGTGGGGCAAGTGCCCTCTCCGCTCCACAGGTCTCTAGAGCTATCGCCGTACCGAAAGTTGAAGACCAGGAGATCCCCGAGACTCCGAAAGACCACGAGGATGCGCACGCCCTTCCCGCCACACAGGTCAACGTTTGATCCAAGGGCGCGACTCCGAGCAGGAGAAGCGATCCAAAGTCCACCTGGAAGTCTGTGGGTGTACTACATGCACTTTGTGAGCACCAGCAAAGTCGGTAGCTTCCTCCTGCAGCTGTATTCGGGGCAGCTCCCCAGCTGATGCTTGCACCACTTCGAGAGATGTCGGTGAACACCCCAGCGCCGGAAAATCGTGGCACCACCTGGTTGATTCCGCAGGTCTCCAAGACCAGCACATTGTCCGTGTCGAGCAGCCCTTCCCCCAGGATGCCATCAATGAAGCAGCTGAGGCCGGAAGCGCAGGTCCGGTCTTGATCTCTCAGCGGGCCCAAAAGCGTCAGCGTGCCCAGGTCAATGCGAAACTTCGAGGCCACCTCGCACTCGCCAGCCCCAGCGCCGGAAGCATTGTAGCTTTCAAGGGGCCAACACCAGCAGAGACGATATTGCCCTCCGGCTGCGGTTACCGTGGTCCACGCAACTTCCAGAAGGAGGTTTTGCTGAAGAGTTTGGCTTGCATGGGCAAACCCGGGAATGACGGCAGCGGTTCCACATGTCTCCGCTACCAGGATTTCGGATCCACCAGCGAAGCTCTCGCCCAAGAGACCCGTGAGTCTGCATGAATGGCCACTGACGCAAGTTCTCGTCTGTTCCGGGAAGCTTGGGCCAAGGACCAGGAGATTCCCCACCTCTACAGTGAAGTCTTGCGAGGATGCACAGTCATGCGAAGAGTTTCCTTCATAGGAGTCTGCCCCCTCGCCACTACACCAGCAGATTCTGTACTGGCCTCCATAAGCAGCCACTGGCACAACTGGCCAGATGGCACGAGCACTTCCGCCCTGAACCGACAGCTGCTGTCTGGGCAAATACGGATGTGAGCCCGCTTCTCCACAGGTCTCCAGAATCTGGAGGTAGTCGTGGTTCGAGATATGGTATCCACGAATCCCATCAATCTCACAAGTTCGCCCAGAAATGCATGTTCTATCTTGCGCACGAGAAACTCCAACAAGCTCCAGCTTCCCCGCATCGACTGCAAAGGACTCTGAGGTAGAGCAGGTCCTCGCAGCACACCAACAAAGCCTGTAGACGCCGCCTGCAGATGTCAAAGTATCGAACGTCACGGAAGTGACACTTCCCGTAGTGGCCACCGCAGCAGTTCTTTGCGGTGGATCACGGCTCAGCCCGCAGGTGTCCATGATTGACATGGACCATGTGTGGTCACCGTAAACGTGGCCACCGAATGAACATGTCCTCCCACTCACACATGTTCGATCTTGCGATAAAGGGGCTGGGCCATAAAAATGAAGCTCGCCAACATCGACGGCAAAATACTGAGGGTCACTGCAATCGCCCAGCGCTCCACACCAGCACAGTCTGTACTGGCCACCGGCAGCAGAGTTCAGTGCTGCACCCCAAGAGACCGCAGCCCCGCTGGCTTGCACGCTATCGAACTGCCCGCCGATTGCAAATCTGGGAACAACTTGCATAACTCCACCTGGTTGCGGTGCTCTGCTTTAATCGTGCACAAACAAAAACAACAAAGTCAGACAGTCAGGTCCCTGCACATCTACATGGTTTGATTGGCCACGGTTTTGCCCGTCTTGTCTGTTTGCAGCTGATGCGATTCTGAACTGACGCATACGACAATATATGTCATGTCTGCAATTGTTCATATGGTCAAGTATGATTGTACAGGATTGCCAGAAACCCCACACCACTCTGCAAGCTGCGTTAGTTGAAAGCTGTGGGCTTGTGGAGAGAGGGCCAACTGCTCGGCTGTAGACGCTGCAACGATCTCAACAAAGGCAAGACAACGATCACAGGAAGGCCACACAGGCTGTACTGCTTGTTGCTTTAAAATGTTTGTTTCACCGTGTCTGCAGTCTGCCTACCTTCCTTCATCTGTCTTTAGCTTGTTCGTTCGTTCTGTCTTTGGGGGACACCTTCTCATCCGATCCTTGGAGTCATGCTTCACGTCCTCCTCTGTATGTGTTCCTCCCTTCTTCTCCTTCTCTCGTTCGTTGCTCCTCGTCGCCTGCTTTCTCTTCGAAGTGGATGTCAATGTGTTTCTGGCTTCTCGCTCACGAAAACGATTTCCCGCGAAAAGAAGCAGATTAAGAAGATTAAGCATCCAAACACACAACAAAAAAAGTCGTCCAAGGCACAGGTCTCCATCAGAATGAACGAGTCGTTGGTATCCAAGTGGTGTCCCAGCAAGCCATCCACTCGGCAGGTTTGTCCGCTGAGGCATGTTCGAGAAGCGTCGGTAGATGGTCCGATAAGTGTGAAGGCACCCATGTCTATCCAACCTTCCACGTCTGCAGCCACCGCTGTTCCATTCAGCTCCGTCCCCACATGCCAGCATAGTCTATACTGACCTCCTGCAGAAGAACTACGTACTGAATCCCAGCTTGCCGTCCAGCTTCCACCTGCCGTCTCTGACAGGCGCGGGCTTTCTTGAATGAACCTCGCTGGCACCCCTTCGTCATGTAAGCCGCCACAGGTGGAGTGTATAGCTAATACATCTCTTTCCGTCCATCCAACTCCGAGCAGCGACTCCAAGACGCAAGTCTGCCCGCTGATGCATGTTCTGTCCTGCTCGAGGGGGGTCGGGCCCACAAGGAGGAGGCCACCCGCATCCACCTCGAAGTGAGAGGATCGCAGACATTGGCTTTCTGACGTGTGATTCGTATGTGAGCACCAGCACAAGCGATAGTAACCCCCAACAGCCGTGACGGCCAGGTCCAGCCACGAAGCAAAGCCGGGCCGCTTTGTCCACAAGTCTGCGGCATGGGCCCACTTTGGCACTGTGTCATCCCGCCCACAAGTGTTCATGACGAGCACCTTAAAAGATGCATCTTCCAAGCCGACTCCTTCCAGATTGTCAAGAGTGCACTTGCGGCCGCTAATGCAGGTACGATCCTGACTCAGGGGGCTCAGCCCAAGGACTGTGAGGGTGCCAGCGTCGGTCAGGAAATGCTCAGGCAGCAGGCAGCTCTGCCAAGTGGAGTTCGACTCCCGGCACCAACAAAGCCTGTAAACTCCTCCGGGCGAAGTGATCTCGGCGGATGCCCAGACACCACCACTCATGAAGCCTTCCTGCGTCAATCGGGTTGGCAGCACATTGGCACCACAGGTATCGAGGATCATGACTCTGCTGAGGCTATCCAGATAGTAGCCGGTAAGCTGATGGAACTGGCAGGCTTGGCCGCTGAAGCAGGTCATGTGCTGGTCGAGCGGGCTCGGGCCCTGCACATCCAGGCTGCCCAGGTCGACAGAAAAGTCCTGTGCCTCTTGACAAGGCAAGCTTAAGTTTCCGGTACCATTGCTTGTGCTGCTTGTGTAGAGCTCGCAAGATGCATTGGCCGGACTTTCTGAGCAGTGTGCCGCTGGATTTTGCAATGAAGCACACCAACAGAGACGATATCGGCCGCCTTTTGCAGACACCACAACACCAGAAGTGACAGAGCCGGTCGCGACCAAATGTGGTGCTAGACGACCTGATTCAGACCAGCGGGGCAGGATGCCTCCAACGCCGCAAGTCTCGAGCACCACCAGCTGCCCAAAGTCACCAGTTGCCGCACCGGCATCTAGCCCAGAGACTGAGCATGCCTGACCAGAGATGCAAGTCCACTCTTGCCTCCTGGTGGGGCCAAGGACAAAAAGCTCGCCAGCATCTGCAGCGAACTCCGTCGGAACACAGTCGCGCGAGCTGTTGGCACTACTTGATACGATCACGCCCGGACACCAACACAGCCGATAACTGCCGCCCAGTGCAAGAACACGAGCTGAACTCCAGGTCACTGTCGCGTAGGTTTCGCTCAAGGCAGCAACGCGACCAGTCCAACTCAGTCCGGCGGTGGCCTGCAGGCAGTCTGTAACTGTTCAAGACTGAGGCTGCTTTACTTAGAGAGGAACTTTAACTTCACGTTGACATGCTTCCCAGGCCTGGCTGTGCCCACAGGTCTCCATTACCAAGAACTGATCCGTGGCTTCCCATCCCGTGCCCACCACGTCCTCGACAACACAAGTTTGCCCCGACACGCAGGTGTGGGACTGCAGTGGAGACGGCCCAATAATGTGGAACTCTCCGGCATCTATGGAAAACTGAGAAGATGTACTACAACGCGCATCACCCGAGCACCAACAGAGGCGGTACTGCCCGCTTGCCAGTGTGAGAGCATGGTTTCCCCATGAAACGAAGCTGCCTGAAAGCGACACCGACGTAACAAGTCGCCCGGCCGGTGAGATGATCTGATCCGGCACTCCGCAGGTCTCCAAGGGCAACCACAGGTCGCGATCTGAGAGGTGCTGACCTTGAATTCCGTCTATCATGCACGTCTGCCCCGACAAGCATGTCCGATCTTGCCCCAGCGGGGCCACACCGATGATTGTCATGCGACCTCCATCAACCTGGAAGCTTTCGGCGGTGGTACAAGCAGCTCTGTTTGATTGGTTTGTACCGAGCTTTGAGATGTTCAAGGGTATGTTCGATGAAGCCGCTTTGGAGCACCAGCAAAGCCGGTACTGTCCGCCAGCTAGGCTGAGCTTCTCCGAGCCCCAGGAAAAGATCATCGTGGAGAAGGTGTCCTGAGCGGTTCCCTAATTACGTTTACTGGCGACTCTTGAGACTCAAGCATAAGAACAACTTTGCTGGAAGTAAGATCCCTCATGACCTTCGATGCCGGAAAATCTAAGCCCGCGGCTCCAAAAACGTCAAACCCAGAGCCAACCCAAAACCCTGTCGTAAATACATGTGTTTCGATTTCCCACAGTCTGGAAAGGCACGGTGGCGACGAGCGAATCGGCCACTGCCATCCCTGATCCTCGGTCCCCACGAACATCACCTCGGCTTTCAGAAGCAGGGAGATTGAAGCGGTCGTCCAAAGAAGGACCGAGCACCGTGCCACATGTTTCTAGTAGGAGGAGCTTGTCGTCAAACGTGAGGTGCCGTCCGCTGATCCCGTCCACCACACACCTGAGGAAGCATCTGGGATCAAGCTGCTGTCACGAAATGGCAGGACAAACCAGTCTCAATGGGGGTTGTGCCGAGTGGCATCTGACCACTGATGCAGGTTCGATGCTGCTCAAGGGGAGCCAGCCCCACAACCGTCAAGGCACCAACCTCGGATGCTTGTCAGACTGTGATTTCCCGGTGGATACAGGGTTCGATGCTGGAGACATTCCTTGCCGCCTGAGGCTGCGACGTCAACAACAAAGTCCGAAGGCTCGCTGCAAGCCTCGAGGCGAAGACCAGAATCATATGCGAGAGACTCATTAAGAAGAGACGACGCCGTGTTTGCACACCAGCACATGCGGTAAAGCCCACCGGCGGCACTGATTTGCAATGCCGACATGTTTGCCGACTTGTTTGCTTCTGTCCTTCCAGGAAGTGGCACTACGCCATCTGGAAGAAAGCGTGGCAGCAGAACTGGAAGGCCGCATGTTTCCAGCACCATTAGCATCCCAGCTACTCTTGCATCGACAAATGATCCCTGGAGGTCCACCATGCAGCTAGTTCCTGATATGCAGGTTCGATCCTGCTTCAAAGGGGCAGGGCCAAGGACGGTCAGAAGACCTACCTGAACAGAATGATGCTGCACCTGCGCCATGCAGGATAAGGCCTGAGAGCTGCACCAACAAAGCCGATACAGGCCGCCGGGCTCATTCATGCGCGGCACCGCCTGTACAACCGTTACCGGTGAGGAGCCGCTGGGCACAGAAAGGTATGAGGTTGTGCCGTCGATACTCCTCGCGCCAAGAGTCCCGCAGGTGGATGCGAGCGGAATTGCCAGCAGGCCATCCACCGGGTCCACTCCAAGCCCCTCCAGACCATGATCCGGCGAGGCCGCCAGAAAGCAGGCCCGGCCACTGATGCAAGTTCGGTGTTGCTCCAAGGGCTGTGGACCAAGCAATGTAAAGTCCCCTACATCCACCGAAAAGTCTTGAGATGCTGAGCAGCTGGCATCAAGCTCACTGCACCAGCATAAACGATACGTGCCCCCGGCTGCAGTCAAAATGGTGTTCCAGAAGTCTGAAATATTGGTTGCCAGGGTTCTGTTCGTTGGCACTAAGGCCGTACCTGTGCCAGGAAATCCTGCAGGCAGAGCAGAAATGCTGCCGCAGCTGTTCATGACAAGCAGGCGATCACTCGGGGCCAAGCCGTAGCCAACAAGCCCTTCAATGCGGCACAACTGACCCCCAATGCAGGTGCGTGCTTGACCCAGAACTGGTCCGACCAGATGAATCTCGCCAGCATCAATTTGGAAGTCTTTCGATGTCGCGCAACCTAAAGTTCGCAACACACTGACTGAAGAGTTGCTGTCGTTGTCCCCTTGGATCCAGGTCTCTTCGGAAGAGCCACACCAACAGAGTCTGTACTGCCCACCAGAGGCACTTTGCACTCCCGTCACCCCGGACATGCTACCAGAACTTTGAATCATCTGCCCCTGGTCAATCGAAGTGCCCGCGCCACAAGTGTCAAGCACCATGAAAGCCGAGCTTGCAAAAAGCCCTGGGACTCCGTCAATATGACACCTCCTACCGCTGACACATGTGAAGCTGCTTGAGCTTGCACCCAGCACCGTGAGCTGTCCAATATCCAACCGAAAAGACTCCAAGGCCCTGCAGTCGACGTCGGCCGAGCACCAGCAAAGGCGATAAGTCCCTCCAGCCGCAGAGATCGGTACGTCCACCTCGCCGAGGGAGAAAGTCAGACTGTTGTTGCCAAGAGCAGAGGCCTCTAGCAGACCTCCTGCAGGCATCCGCGACGGCACGACGCCCTGCGCACTCACTGCACAGGTCTCCAGAAGTTGGATACGATCTCCCTCCTGCAGATGAAGACCCTCCACATGCTCCAATTCACAGGTTTGGCCACTGACACACGTGTAGTGCTGGAACAAGGGAGTTGGACCTAGAAGTGTCAATGCACCAAAGTCCACAATCATCGACTCCGTGGAAGAACATTTTCTCTGGAAGCTTTGCACCGGCGTCCCACTCACGTTCAAAGTGTCGTTTGAAGCCCAGGGATCGAAGTCATCGTCTGTCTCCCCCGAGGTCCAAGACAATCCAGGGCACCAACACAGCCGATACTGGCCGCCTGCTGTTGTGACGAAGCTCCAGGATACGCTGAGCTTGCCATCTGTTTCGAGCATCGTGGGCTCCGCTGGCCAGCGTTGCAAAGCCTGTTGCCCACAGGTGTCGAGGACAGCTACCTCGTCCAGAGCAGACAGGCCAAATCCCCGCAAGTCTAAAAGCTGGCAGCTTTGCCCAGCAACGCAAGTTCGGTCTTGCGTAAGTGGTGACATTCCAACCAGCAGCAATTCTCCGATGTCCAGAACGAACTCCGGGGCAAAGCTGCAGCCGCGTCGAGCAAGATCATCTGTCCAATTGCTGTGATTGAAGAAACCATCTGAACACCAGCAGAGTCGATACTGTCCGCCTGCGGCTGAAACCGGATAGTCGAAGCTGACAATGCCTTCAGGCATGGAGATGGGAGAACGGCCGTCCATCGCAAATCCTCCAATCAAGCCACTTCTCGTCCCACATGTATCTAGCACCCACATGTCTCCACTCCAGAAAGTCCCTGTTAGTCCGCTCAACTCGCATGTAAGCCCGCTCACACACGTCCGATGCTGATAGAGGGGTTCCGGGCCCACTAAGGTCAACTGGCCAAGATCCACCAATGCATCACGCACGCTGCAGGGTTGCCGGGAGCACCAGCACAAGCGATACTGACCTCCTGGGCCAGAGGAGGGTCGCATGGGCCACGACGTCACTGAGCCACTGGCAGAGCTGACGGAAGCTTCATCCCACCAGGACCTCATGAGCGTTGCCCGACCAAGACCACAGGTCTCCAGCACCAGAACCGAAGATTCTGCCGCAATTCCATGGCCGGAGATGTCCACTAAAACACAAGCAGCGCCAGCGAAGCAGGTCCGGTCTTGGTGAAGAGGGGAGACTCCCACCAAAAAGAAGTTGCCGAACTCGACCTTAAAGTCCTCAGATCTGTCGCAGCCGCCAGCCCAGGAGCCACACCAGCAGAGCTTGTACTTGCCGCCGGCAGCCGTCATTTCAACGTCGGTCACCACATTTGCCGAGAAAACACTACTTCCCGGCTGCTGCTGCGATGCAAAGCTCATAGGAAGCCCAGCCCATATGTCCGTTCCATCAACAAGGCCACAGGTGCTGAGAATCGCAATGCTGCCTGCCTGCAGCATGCCATAACTCTCAATACCATTCACCGCACATTCCATGCCACTAACACAAGTCCGGTCTTGTGACAGCGGCCGTGGACCCAAGACGAAGAGCCTTCCAATGTCGAGATCAAAATCTTCGGCCCAGTGACACTGCTTGGATGCACTGCACCAGCACAAGCGGTACACGCCCCCTTGTGTTGTGATGGTCTGCCAGGCTGCATGTGTGCCGTTGGCAAGAGCTCGAGGCTGCAATGGAGCACCGGCTCGTCCACACGTATCAAGCACAACGATGGAGTCCCCATCACTCAAGCTGATGCCAACTATGTGATCAAGCTCGCAATCTCTACCAGATACACATGTGAAGTCACTTGCCAACGTGGTCGCTCCAATGAGAAGCAACGCACCTACATCCATCCGAAACTCTTCGGCAGTTCGACACGGAAAGGCGGTGTCATTGGATGAGCTCAGATTGACAAGGCTCATGTTCCACGGCAGGAAAGACTGGTAGCCGGAGCCGTTCGATTGGTTATCGGTCAAATTCGACCCAAGTGGTGTTTGGTTCAGCAGGCCACTACACCAGCAGAGCCTATATTGACCGGCCACGGCTGTAACCGTAACCGAGGCAACAGCCGCATTGTGGATAGTGGTCTCCAGCGACGGCATGCCCGTTATGGGACTTGCGACTCCGCAGGTGTCCAACACAGCGTACTGATTTAGGACAGACAAATCTTGCCCAACAATGCCATCCACGACACAACTGAGTCCAGCGATGCACGTCCTGTCCTGGTTGGACCCGCTGGGCCCCACGAGTGTGAAGCTACCAAAATCAGTGCGGAACTGCTCGCCACTGCTGCAATGCTGGCCAGAGGAACACCAGCATAAGCGATACTGGCCCCCAAGAGCTGTGACTGGAGAAGCCCAGAACACTGATGCTCCAGATGCTGATGTATGTCGCATTGCACCATAACCTGGAAATCCGCTAACATGAGCCACGTTGCCACATGTGTGAAGAACAAGCACCTTGTCATCGTCTGCCAATCCGTGGCCGGTAATGCCATGGATGTGGCAAGGCAGCCCTGCAACACAAGTCCGATGCTGAGAGAAGGGCGCAACGCCGAGGACAGTGACACTCCCAACGTCCAGAGCAAAGTGCTCTGCAGGAGCTGTGTCATTGCCAGCAATGCAGGAGCCATTCAAAAGGCTTGATGACTGCTGCTCTATGCCAGCACACCAGCACAGACCTTGGCACGGAGCTAGAGCTGCAGTCGTGCATGAGACTATCTAGGGTGAACTGTAGCGTGCGCAGAGCAGAACTGGGGTCCTGACGAAAGTCACCTCCGGGTATGGTCAAAGGATCATGCCACGATGCACGCCCATGAAGCGAAGAAAGCAGCTCCAGTGGAGCCGCTGGCCGTGGGAGGCCCGCCGTGCCAGAAAAAGCTGTTCCACAGGTCTCCAGAACGATAAGCGCATCGAGCGCGGACAATCCATGGCCGGCGATTGCATCCAGGACACATCCCTGCCCAGACACGCAAGTCCATCCGACCTGGGAGAGTTCTGGTCCTACCAAGGACATGGTTCCGACGTCAACTGTGTGGTATTCTGCATGCTGACACCAAGAGGTAACGTTGTCAAAGTGGTCCGCACACCAGCACAACCTGTAGAAGCCACCAGAGACTTGGGTCTCCCCCACCCAGCGCCGTGTTATTGACCATCCGTTGCTAACATTTCCATGGCTGTCAAAGGGCAGCAATGTCAGAAGAGGTCCCGAGTGGACACCGCAGGTCTCCAAGATCATGTAACCATCGGCTGAGGTGAGGCCAAAGCCAGTGAAGCCCTCGACAATGCAGGAAGAGCCACTCACACAGGTCCTAGACTGCTTCAGAGGCGCGACCCCCATGACGAGCAGCCCACCGAAGTCCACCCTGAAATCTTCCAAGTGGGAGCAGCTGCTGTAGCTGTCTGCCGAGCTCTCATTAGACACGTTGCTCCCATTTGCACCCAACTTGCCTGCACACCAGCAGAGGCGATATTGGCCACCTGCCATTGAGATCTGTTCCCTGCCAAGTCCGGCCACAGAGACGGCGTACTGGGTGGAGGTCGAGACTGGCGGACAATCTGGAAAGCAAATTGGCCGTCGGTTTCCATCAGGATCCTCGTCCGAAACCCCACAGCCACAAATGCCTGTCAGGTTCTTGCCGCTGTCGAGGGGACATGCATCGACGCAGTCAGGCAATCCATCAGAGTCCGAGTCGATGTCCGAAACCCCGCATCCGCAGTCGCCATACTCGACTTTGCCAGCATCCAAGGGGCACATGTCCAAGTAGTCAACGATGCCATCCCCATCGCTGTCTGTGTCAGGAGTGCCACAACCTCCTGGCCCGGGCGCCAGCTTCAGTGGATCTAGTGGACACAGGTCATTGCAGTTGGGGGTTCCGTCGAAGTCATCGTCGGCAAAGCTCGCAGCACACTGGCACACGCCAGCAACACTGTCTGGCTGGCTGGGGCACTTGTCATAGCAGTCTGGCGTACCGTCGATGTCTGAGTCTGTATCGGGCACTCCACAGCCACACAGTTGAGGGTTGGTTTTCGTCGGATCAAGGGGGCATCTGTCAGCACAATCTAGCACACCGTCCCCGTCCGTGTCATCTTCGGTGTCGCCACATCCGCAGTATCCAGGAAGTGTCTTGTTTGGATCCAGGCGGCACCAATCCAAGCAGTCCACTAGACCATCACCATCTGTGTCGATGTCGGCGACGCCACAGCCACAGATCCCACCATAGATTTTAAACGGATCGTTGAAGCACTCGTCTCCTCCACAGGCAGTAATGCCATCTCCGTCAGCATCCACGAAGCCCACTGAAAAAGATGAGAGATACATTGTAGCTTGGAAGGGTGTTGAGGGGACACCATGTGGCAGACTGTTTGTGCCGCACGTGTCCACAACCAGGAACGAATTTCCTGCGTGCGGTAGGTGGCTGGTCATTTCAAAGCTGCAGGTGTGACCACTGATGCATGTCTTGTCCTGCCGGAGCGGAGCCGGTCCCAACAAGCTGAGTGTGCCAGCGACTTGAAAGTCACCAGGGCTGCAGCCTGTAAGAATGCCGGAACACCAGCAGAGCATGAAGTGACCACCTGCAGCTGTCACTGGCACGGATCCAAACGAAACACGTGCTCCAGAAGCTGTGACTGAAGTGGAGAAGCTGCTTCTTCCCAAGAATCGCGGCAGTCCCAAAGTAGTGCCACAGGTGTCAGCCACCAGGTAGACATCTTGATCGGATAGATAGTGGCCGGTAATTCCATCAAACTCGCAAGTTTGTCCACTCACGCATGTCCGGTGCTGCGGCAGAGGTGACACACCCACGAGCTCAATGCGACCGATGTCCATCAAAAAGTCTGCTTCAGCTGTGCAGCCTGAAGGCTTGGGACACCAGCAGAGTCTGTGTTGGCCACCTTGCAGAAGTATCGAGGCATTCCAGAATACTGCAACCTCTTCTGATCCAGCAGTCACTCGGGTCGAAGACCTGAGCGAGGGGAGGTGAACCAAAGAGGAAGCACGGGCATAGAAAAGCAAAACCGAGTCCAGACCTCTTGGCAGATGGCACTTCATCCTACAACTCCCGGCAAAGTCGAGAAAAGTTCCCGCAATCTGCTAGTGTTTACCTGTAGAAAGCCCGCTGCAACTATCAAGAAGCTGCTGAGCTCAGTCAGCTTCGTAATTGGCCAAAGCGAAGCACACACAGGAACTGGGAAGCGGACACCGGCGGGAAAGTCGTCTTCCAGGGTGCGATGCCACACGTGTCGAGAATGGAAAAGGTGCCACCATTAAGGTCTTCTAGTCCGATGCCTGTAAGCCCCTCGATGGCACATGGCCGTCCACTAACGCATGTCCTATGTTGCTCCAGAGGCCCCGGTCCAAGCAAGGTGAAGCTGCCAGCATCGAATTTGAACTGCTGTGCATCAGTGCAGCCCGTCTGCCCACCACACCAGCATAGCCGATACTGCCCTGCAGCCGCTGTCACCACTCCAAACTCGAGGCTTGTGTATGTCCAATTCGCAGCGTGAGCCGGGATCGAGATCGCCGGGAGTCGGGGTACTTGGCTGGCGGTGCCACAGCTGTCCAGGACAAGCAGCTGGCTACCTGCAGGCAACTCTTGGCCTTCAACTTGATGCAGGCGGCAAGTCGTGCCCGCAACACAAGTTCGCGAATGACGAATGTGCTCTGCCTCGGACCCAAGCAGCATGAGCGATCCGAAATCAACGACAAACTTGCTCGGAATCTCGCAGCCATGATGTGATGCCGCACACCAGCACAGACGGTAAATCCCTCCGGCTGCCGTGATCGGTTCAGGTCCCCAGGAAAAAGTGGAGCCGCTGGCCGCCACGCTCGTCGCCAGCCCTGCCCAGGCAAAGCGGCCAATCGCCCGATTGACACCGCAGGTCTCCAAAGCCATCACAGCATCCCCGTTCTTCAGGTCGAGGCCTGTGATGGCATTTATTTGGCATGTCTGGCCAGAAATGCAAGTACGGGCCTGGTCCAGGGGGAACACCCCACGAACCCGAAGCCTTCCTGCATCGAAAAGAAAGCCGTGGTTGGCTGCAGGCTGCAGCATTTCACCGGCTCCAGACGAATTGGCCATCTCGAGAAGGGCGGGATGAAGAGAGCACGAACGATCAGAGATCTGCGAAGCAGCACGAGAACACCAGCAAAGCCTGTAGTCTCCACCCTGGGCTGTCACAAGTGTCAGGCCCCAAGAAACGGTAAACGACCTCACTGACAGTTCAGTAGAGCTGTTCCGGGCCGTGGAAATAGGCTCGGAAAGGCCTGACGAAGGGAATCTGGGCAGGGTCGTGAAGGCTCCACAAGTCTCTGCCACCAAGAACAGATCTCCGTCCGACAGACCCAGCCCGAGGACGTCCACGGCGCAACTTTGTCCTGCCACACATGTCCGATCTTGCCCACGCAAGGGTCCCAAGATGTGCAGCTGTCCAAAGCCAAAGGTGAACTCTACAGACAATCTGCAGCTCAACAGACCAGCTGTTGCACACCAACAGAGCTGGTAGGAACCACCTGGTGCCCGAACAACTTCCGTGCCCGGTGAGCTTGGTAATCCCTCCACAGATGAAGCCACACCACAAGTCTCCAGGATCATTGCACGGTCGACGTTACGAATGCCGGCGCCAGATATCTCGAGTGCGCATGTCCACCCAGCAACACACGTCACCTGCTGCGAAACAGGTGACGGCCCGACCACCGTGAACGTGCCAACATCAATCTCGAAGTCTTCCCCCCGCATGCATGAAGTACCCCACGTGTTGGGATCATCCGTCCATGTTGTCGTGGAATTGGGCAGTGTCTGGTTCCTGTGATCACGAGAATGTCTGCTACAATATCGCATCCTCTGCAAACAACGTTTCGGCCTCACCAAACCACTGCACCAGCAGAGCCTGTATTGACCACCTGCAGCACAGAGTCTGCAGCCCAGCACGGCCTAGAAGGTTTCACGATGCACTAAGGGCCTGCTGCTCTGCATTGTCGGCTGCTTCCCGCTTGCATGGTTGGCCAGCAGCTGGGCAATGCTGCGGCTGCGGCCTTACAAAGCTTCTGCAGACGGAAGACGGGATTGAGGACCGAGGTTTGGCCAAGAGGCCAAAAAACTGCCATCTGCAGCAGAAATCGGCGATGTCAGTGGCTTGGCAGCGCTAGTACCACAGGTATCTAGCACAACTACCTGCATCGGGAAACCCTTGCTGGATCAAGGATTCAAGCTTCCAACAAGAACGTGCCTGGCTCTCCAAGGGCATGGCGAAGCCTTGCAAATCGCTCATAGGACATGATTGGCCACTTATGCAGGTCCTGCAGGCCACTGCACATACAGATGGGCAAACCATGCAGACTTCGTGCATGTCGGAAAAAATCGAGGCTTCACGTTGCGTCCTGTGCTGCTCCAGAGGTGCTGGGCCCAGCAAAAAGAGGCCCCCAACGTCGAACCTCACAGAGGAAGCTGCACTCGTCGTGGAAACCGCGAAAGCCAGAAGATTCTACATGTCTCGCCTGAACTGCTCTGATGTGCTGCATGGCTGCAAATCGCCACACCAGCACAGCCTCGCAGGTCGAGTAATTTCCGTCTCACGCTGCTGTTTCAGAGCATGTGGCCTATATACTCCTCCTGGGACCGTCGTGCGCTCGAAGGACCAACCTGTGCGCTTCAGTGGCTTCAATGTAGAACACCAACTGTTCTGTGCCAACCTGGCGAGACCAGCACGCTGGAATCCTGTCGGCTCACAGGCATGCCCTTCTCAATCCAACTTGACCTGAGACTGAGACCGCCAAGGCATGAATCATACCATGTCTTGATCCCTTGGCTTAGCTTCCAGCTCTGGGCTGCCACAGGTGTCGACAACGAGGAGACTGCCAGCAGAATGCCACTAGGGCCAAGGTCAACTGTCAATCACGACATGGTGGCCGAGACTTGCCAGGACAGCCCGCGACTTGGGACTGCCCTGCTTCAAAGACACTTGAGGAGTCAAAGAACCCTGACGCTACCCCACGGACCGTAACCGAGCCTGTCGTTGACGGATAGATGCTGGCCCGAGAAGCCCTCGGTGAAGCACACCTGCAAATCGGGCTCTGACAGACATGTTTCGTTGGACTGGCTTGGGCGATGAATAGGGAAATTGTCGAACTCGGCCCTTGTAAATCCCAGGATTCTCTCAACAGTTGCAGGGAAGGAAGCTTTGGCTGCGCAGTGGCGAAGTTGCACACTCAACTTTAACATCGTGCAACAGTCGTCAAGTTCGGGCATGACAGTTCGCACCCCTGCATTGGTTTGATCATGGCCTCCCCGGCCACACACGTCCGGTCCTGTCAGAAACTGATCACACGAACCTCTGTCAACTCACAAGTTCGGCTCCAAGCGTCCTGATTGAATGGGCTCATTCCGATCAAGGTGAAGGTCCCCGCGTCCAACCGAAAATCCTCCGGAAGCCGTGCATGGGCCAAGTGCCTATGTTTGCACGCGCCCCTGGCCTCTGTCAAGCTGCAGGAGAAAGCTGGGGACGCGCACCAGCACAACCTGCGGGATTCCGAGGGCGGGGCCACTACTTTGCTTGTCGGTATGACCGCGCCTGTATTGCCCGCCACCAGCAGTGACCGGTAAGGCTCCTGACAGTGCGAAAGGCGCTCGGACGTCGGAGACTCGCACAGGTCACAATCCGGACAAGACTGCTGTCAGCAAAGTCGCCCCATGAGACGGATGCAGATGATCCGAAGTTGAATCCATCGGGCCTTGCTGCGAAACACAAACGCGAATGACGACGACCGGCAGAGAACGGTCTTGTCGTGTGCACAAGAGAATGAGTACTTCTCGAGATCTCGCTTTTCAACTCACTGGGCGCCAGCGCTGTGTGGCATTTGGCGAAGGTTCCGCAAACACCTGCACAAGGAGCGCCTTCTGTCAGCTGCGACTATGTTTGCAATTTGCCACGTCTGTGACGCAGACGCACCTCCTGTGCTGGCCGCATCAAGATCCCGACGGAAAAAGCTGGGCGCGAGGCGCCACAGGAATCGAGCACCTTGGCGGGAACTTGTCCGGACACGTGCCAAGCCAGAAGCCCCACCTATCCTGCTCCCGCATCCCGAAAATTTACTGACATGCGTTTTTGGGGTTCGGCTGGCCCCTCCTTGACCTGTCCTTTCCCTTCGTGCCAGTCCATTTTGGCTAATTCCAGACAGTTTTCCTCGCTTTTCCCTGTTCTGGCCCCTGCCCCCGTCGCCCCAAAGTCCAAGAAGGGAGACCAGCAGTAGTCGACTTATGGCCTGCATGGTGCCCTGAAAGAAATGCAAAAGTTGTCGACAAAAGACGATCGTCGTATTCGTGGCCTCAATTCTCGAATGTCCAACAGCACGTTGTTGCGCGAACTGACATTGCAGGTGGTGTACCGACCGCGAGAGGTTGATGCAGCCAAGAGCTTTAGCCCCTTTTCGCGCTAACCCGTCACTCGACCACGAGACGTTTTCGATTTTAACTACGAAGCGAACAACACTTCAAGTGGTTTATCTAGATGTTGACGCTTCGTTGACTCGATGTAAACACTTCCTGAGAAGTCTGTCTGTACCTCTTATAAGTATTCACCTATAGACTGGCAGAAACACGAGGACAGTATGATGTTCCTCACATTTCACAACCTCTTGCGGAACTCACAAGATTGCACTCGTCTCAAATTTTGTCACCTCGCGTTTCCGGCGGTGCAGCTGCAGTTGCTGGTACTCAGCGAGTGTCAACACATCGCAACCTGGGAACGGCTGTTCTCCACACTGCCGTGGCGTTGGTGCCATTCGGCAAGTCTCTGCATGCACCGTTTTCTTACATTGACACTGCTTGCACCGGCTGGGCTTCCAGAGCTGCCTGAGACGATCCACGTCCGCACGAGCTGCATTGATGCATTTGTGGCAACGGTTATCGCCGTTGCGCTTGCAGGCCTTCATGTAGCCAGTCGCAGGCCACATTTCTTGCAAGACGTA